AATTACTTGTAATTTCAGCACCAGAGAGATTTGAATTTAACTTAGAAATTAGTTGTCTCTCCAAGAGAACTTCAGCAGCCGCAACAAACCAGTATACCCTAGATCTATTGAGCCTAGCAGAGACTAGTTAAACACCCTGAGACTAGAAAGTATAAGAGTAAGATTAGGATCGGTGTTAGACTAAGAAGTTGCACGAATCTATCCGGCCGAAAATAAGATAGCGTGACGAGCAGACGGTGTACCCTATCCGAAATTACTCTATGAGTTAACCACATCGGTCCTAATTCATTACAATTATGAATTTTCAATTATTTTCTTTCAATTTTTTTTTGCAATTTTTTGGTCCTGATAATTACTTATGCAAAACAGAGTGTTCAGCATTTTGGGGTAGATATTGAGTGGGTTCCGAAGATAAGTAATCCTTGCTCAATATAAATTTTTGCTCTAATTGTACTTTTCATAGGTCTTGTAGAATTGAGTATTATATTTTCTCTGAAACATTGTTTAAAATGCACGAGAAATTAATTTTTTGCTCTTTTTTTCTTCTTCTTGAGTTTGAGAATTGTAATAATTATTTTACTTTGTTGTTCATTTTAAGAATGAAATTACTGGTTACAGAAGGAAACGACATTGTTACAAGATGTTCAGCTCTCAATGGTGAACCGTTTTGTGCCTTTATGTAAAACTACATTTTGCGGGCTGGCTTTTTGGTAGGTTAAAAAGTACTCTAGTAGGTACCGTTGTTATAAAAAAATTCCATTCGGATATTTTTTGAAAATCCCTCACCACACAGGCATCGGTTTCTAGTGAAAAAGGAAGAGTTGTTTTAGCATTTTTGTAAGCATGTCAAAAGCGAGAAAAATCATGGGACAAATAATATGATTGGGACTGAATTTCAACTGGACAGAGAGAACGCATTTCAAGAACTAGAAAAAGAAGAAGATTTATTTCTCTCTCAAGACTTTTTTAACTAAAAATACCCCTGAGAGGACAGCCAATGAACACATTTGGGTTGCACACGGCTGCCTTTTACACAAAATTGAAAAACTGGGTTCAGCTTTTTGTTTTGACTGAACACGATGGAATGAGAACAAAATTATGGAAAAAAATTCTTTGTTTTAGCTAAAAAAAAACAAAAGACATCCGAAGTACTTGATTAAAATTGCAAATTTTAACCGAATAGATTGATAAAGACATTTTTTTTTCAACTGAACTTGAAAATACCTGCGATGCTGTTAAATTAATTAGCTTGTTGTTATTTAACAGAAAAGAGGCGAGCTAAGTTTTAATTTTATTTTTTATTTTCCAAGTAGCAGATAGAAAACGAATAAACTTATGAGTTTAAACTCTATATTTCCGCTAGATCAAAAAGAGCGAGCCAATTTTTTGGCATTTTTTGCATCTTGTACTGTTTAGACAGGAGAAGAGCCAGGTTTTTGTTCAAGTTTCATATTTTGACCTGACAAATAGACGATGAGCAAAACATTCAATTTCAAATTGGTTTTTTAACTGACAAATAAGGGCGCTTGGAGTTCTGAATTTAAAAACAAATAAAAACTTGGTGGTTAGGCAGTTAAAAAACGCGCAATGTGGTGATTAGTCAGTTAAAAGTCAATTTTTTTGATTTAACTGAACAGATAGCAAGCGAGCAAAGTTTTGGGTTCAAACTTTTTGTTACCAATGAACAAAAAAGGCCCAGCAATGAGTGTTTAGCTAAAATTTAGACTCGAAAAACATGTAGTTTAAACTCCATGTTTAAAAGCCACAGTTAAAAAGCGAACAACTTTTTTTAATGTGCAGATGGAGGGAGAGCAAATAAATCTGGTTAAAAACTCAAAATAACTAAAATAACTAGACAAAAAGCAGTAATATAACTTGATGAAAAGCGAGTAATGATGGAAGCAACAATTAAGTCAGCAAAAGGATTTGCCAGGAATTGAGGGTCTTTGTTTTTAAGGAATTGCGTTCAATCACTGAGACAAAAAAAAACATTGAAATTAATTGCAACAGATAGTGGAATACACTGCTTCGTGAAACGCAATTTTTAATAGGTACAAACAAATCCGGACAACAGATTCTAGGATAGCTTCACAGTGAAAAATATTAGTAATTCAAGTTCATCAAGAATTGAAGGACTGGGAATAGGCTTACCTCTTGTGTCGACACTGATTGTTCTATCGTGTTTTTTTTTGGTTTTCAAAGTTATGTGCATTTTCTAAAAACTTTGAACTAGAGAACTAAGAACAAACCTTTCAAATAACTAGAGGTCAAGCAAACAAAAACTGTTAGACAATTGAAGGTAAATCGAAATTTGGTTACCAATTCCCGTGCGTTTTTGGTACAGTAGAAGTTTTTGCTACTGGACAGATAATATGCAAGTAAAAATTTTGGTTCAGTGTCAACGTTTTCAGCAGCCAGATGGATGTCTAGCAAATGTATTTCTTAGTTTCTGTATTTCAATTATACATATAAAATTATCATAATTTCGCAATTGAATTCTTGTTTTGACTGGACAGATAAAAGTTAAGAAAGACTTCGAGTTCAAATTATAAGTTTCAACTGAGCAGAAAAAGCGAGCAAAGTAACTGCTTAACTTTTCACGTTTTTTTTAGAAAACGAGGCAAGTATTTGGTTTAATTACTAAGTTATACTGGACAAAAATAAAAAAAGAAACGCTGTGGGATGAAATTTAGGTTTTAACCGAACATATAGAAAAGAAAACATCACAAATTTTGGGTTAGAATTTTTCACCTGAATTGATTGCAGGAGCAACGTTGTTTTTTAATCATTTTTTCATTTGGACCAAAAGAAGGTAAGCAGTATTGCTCTGGACTCTTTTAACCTAGCAGATTGAATGCAATTAAGTTCTTGGTTGGAATTTTATGTTACAACTAGACGAATAGTAAGCAAGCTACGTTTTTGTTCCGACTTTCGATACGAAAGTAACGGAATATTTGTGCTCGGGGTGGGTTTTTTTTTTCTTCAGACAAATTTCGACTTCTTAACTAGCCATTTTTGACGGAATATTTTTATATCATTCGAAAGCTATTGTTGTCTTGAGCTCAAATTTGAAAGGATATTTTACCTGTGATCATTTTTCGTAAAGTTATGGGGGTTTAAAGATTGCCATTTTGGCCAATTTGGGACAATTAACTCGCGATATATTTCGCGCTATTAACGCGTAAGCGGAGACTTAATCCGTCTTTAAATTGTTCCAAATTGGTTGAAAGAAGCTTATTTGCCATAATTGATTTGTTACAAGGAGCGAAATCTATCATTTTGTACTTTATATGGCGTGTGGGGGGATGATTTTCATAAAAAATTTCAAATTTTAGAGAAAAAAAAATGTCATTTTATTTTTATTACAGTTAGTTTTTTGATGTTATTACTGCTCCATAAAACCTTAAAAGGCAGTTGGAACATTCAGGGCTTCGCCCTGATACGAGCAGTCTTGTTGTTCCGACTTTCGATACGAAAGTAACGGAATATTTGTGCTCGGGGTGGGTTTTTTTTTTCTTCAGACAAATTTCGACTTTTTAACTAGCCATTTTTGACGGAATTTTGTTTATATCATTCGAAAGCCATTGTTGTCCTGAGCTTAAATTTGAAAAGATATTTCACCTGTGATCATTTTGCGTAAAGTTATGAGGGTTCAAAGATTGCCATTTTGACCAATTTGGGACAATTAACGCTCGATATAATTCGCGCTATTAACGCGTAAGCGGAGATTTAATCCGTCTTATAAATCGTTCCAAATTAGTTGAACGAAGCTTATTTGCCATAATTGATTTGTTGCAAGGAACGAAATCTATCTTTTTGTACTTTATATGGCGTGTGGGGGGATGATTTTCATTAAAAAATTTCACATTAAAAAAAAATTTTCATTTTACTTTATTTCATTTAATTTTTTATGTTTTTACTGCTGCTCCATAAACCTTAAAAGGCGGTCGGAACATTCAGGGCTTCGTCCTGATACGAGCCGTCTTGTTTTGTTTGCGTCCCATGTTTTAAATGGACTAATAGATGACAATCAAAGTTTCTGGGTTTAAATTGCATTTCTCTACTGTACATATTAAGGGCAAGCAATTTTTTGTTGCTTATTTTCTATATTACAACTGGGCAGATAGATTTTTTTGCTCAAACAACTTTTTTCTCAATCTTTTGTCCTAAACATCTTGTTTCGACCAGATCGACAGACTGCAAAGAAACAAGAGCTTAAGTTCGATGTTAAAACTGTACAAACAGAACGCAAGCCGAGGCTATGTTTTGATTTCTACATTCAAAGCTGACAATTAGAAGGAAATCTTTAAGCTGTAAAACCATGTTTTAATTGGACCATGTATTAAAGGCAGTCGGAACATTCAGGGCTTCGCACTGATACGAGCGGTCTTGTTGTACTTGCTTTGGTTTGGTGAAATATTGAGTTATCTCTATGTATAGAAATAGCTCTGCCGTTATTGTACTGTTGTCAGAAGCTTTCATTCAGAAACATGAAAACTTTTGTAGACACTTAACGGTTTGACATAGCCCGGCACAAAAACTTTCTTTGCACTAAATTTCTATATCTGACGGAGAGCTTGAAAATGAACTCACTCAACCTTATTGTAGAGTAGATTCTGTAAATCTACGCTGTAAAACTGTATTGCCCAACATAACCATCTTTGCTAAATCTATATATGTATCGACCCCATTTATCATCTAAAATATTTGATCTAAACCCCACTATCTTAACTATTAAATGACTAGGCGAGGCCATTTGCTTTTTCTATCTGAAGGTCGACGCCATCTTTCGTACCAACACAGTTTGATGCAAAAGTGTTTTCACGCACAGCACCCGAATTAGTTCACGAAGTGATAGGAAAGAGACTTAAATTCGTTTAACTAAATCCTTTGCGTAGAAAGAGCAGCAAACTATGTTTGAAGGTTGTAAATTGATAAGATATTGTAAAAGACAAACAAGTATGAAAGATAAATGAAAAAGTTTGAGTGGACATGCCATTTTCTCAATTCTATCAAACCACGGTCACTTGCCCCAAGCTCCTCTCAAACTTGAATCAAATCACCTGATCAAGACACTCCCTAAGAAACGCCTCTACTAACAACTCGTGCACTACTACTTATTGAGTTCAAGTTCTAGCAATAGTAATCTAACTTAACATCTCAGAAGCCAGAAGAAACGAAGCAAGGTACACGTTCAAGGCCGCCGCAAGATATATAGATAACTCATCACAGAAATAACACAACAAACCATGTCACCTGCCAATGCAAATCTGGCGCCTGTTGTGCAGCACAGAGGCAACAGATTCCTGTTTTCAAGCGAGTCTGTCGGCGAGGGGCATCCGGATAAAATCTGCGACCAGATCTCGGACGCAGTGCTGGACGCTTACCTGGAAAAGGATCCTAATGCACGCGTCGCCTGTGAAACAGCCACCAAAACAGGAATGGTAAGTTGTAGACTGTCGTAACATCTGTTCAGAGGGTACTTTTGTGCCTGCAGTATGAGCGTTATGAAAGACGATTTTTTATGTCAGATAACCAAAGCGATCCTCTTTTAAAAACAAATTTGTTCCTTTATATTTAGTAAAAGAGGAAAGCCAGTAGAGTTTTCCGGAAAATGCAAAAACTTACAAAAGTGAGTAGCTAAGATTTAACTGAGATGAAATTTTCGCACAAAAGTCTATCAAAACGCGCGAAGTGATGGGGTTGGTTGCATTTAATTTTAAAATATTTTAGGGGCAGCTAACTATTATTGTTCCGACTTCCGAAACGAAAAAAAAAACAGAATTTTTGGTTTTTCTCTTCCGACAAATTTCGACTAGCCATTTTTGACGGAATTTCCAAAAAAAAATTCTCTATAACTTTTCCACTTGATTACACTCACATGTTTCAGCTTGATTTATATTAGAAAACGTCATTCAAATATTTTCAGCAAATTTGCCTTCAGCAACAGTCGTAACTGAAAAAAAACCAGCGCAAACTATAGATCTTGAGAGCAATCCCAGGTTATTTTCCATTAGAGCCCGGTAAACTATAGCCTAACCATTTGAGACAAATTTATATGCTACTTGTCGTCCAACTATACAGGAATAATTCAGCGATTCAACTTATGTGAATTGTGTGTGTAACTTGTTGTAATATCTTTCTCCACAATAGGGGGGGGGGCTTGAGATTACAACAAGTTACACAATTCATTTAAGATTAATCGCTGAACTATTCCTGTATAGTTGGACAAGTAGCATATAAATTTTTCTAATATGGGGGGGGGGGAGCTATAGTTTATAGGGCTCTAATGGAAAACAACCGGGGATTGCTCACAATATCTATATTTTGGGCTGTTTTTGTCCAGTCCCCATGTGCTTATGGCAAAATTAGTTTGAGCCGAAAACAATATTTTCGAGCCGAAAGAATATAACTTCTTTTTTACATTTTTGCGCATTTTATTAGAAAAATAAAAGAAAATTTTTAATTGAAAACATTTTTTTCGGCTCAAATTTTTTGTTGTATCTGGAAAAAGACTGCCAGGAAATTATTAGAAGTAGAATATAAAAAGTGATTTTTGGTACCATTTTGATGAATCATTTTCCTTGTCTTTTTTTCAGCTGACCTTTAGCTTGAAATTTGATTTTTTTGATGAAAATTAGTTCAAGTTTGAAATGAGCAAACAACATCATCTTATAGCTGAAAGCATCCCCGTTGCTAAGTTCACAATGATTAAAATTTTGGTCCCATTTTAGATATGACTTGAAGAAAAGAAAGTTAATTTTGTCATCTTCTTTTTAATGCTTTGCTTGCCTAGATGTTATCAAATGAACTATCCTAATCAAAAGAAGCAACTGAACCTCCTCCAGCAAAATTAAATGTTTGTTCGTTCGGGGAAAAACTGTTTTCCCTTCCGCAAAATTAAAGACAGCTATTTCATATCGAGCAAATTAAAAATAAAATTATTCAATCGAAAAAAAACTGAGGTTGAACTTCAAGAACAAAATGAACGGTATAAATGTTATTGCTTATGGAGCAGGCTTAAATTTTATCCTCTCCAATGATGTTTTCCCAGAAAAGAAGAAAAAATTCTTTATGTCCAGCAGAGTATATTTTCAGAATTCAGAATTAGTTTAATTTACTCGTAACTTCATCAGTTTTCATCTCGTTAAAGCGTTGCCTTATGATACACATTGCTATTCGAAAAAACTAACGCAAGCCAAAAAGTTTTTGACTTCATTCAACAAAATCTTGAAAGGAACTTGAAAATGCTGAAAGTTAGTCAAATACCTCGTTATTTAGTCAAATGATTTCTTTGAAGCCTAAATTACGGAAAAAATATGAGATATTTTTCATGAAGTAAGATCAAATTGATTCAGAAACTCTGCAAGCCTACCTTTAAAGAAACATTTAGGGTCCTAATAACCAGATTTGCTTTTTCCGACTACTGAAGTGGCGGTCGAGCATGTTCACCAGAAAAATCTTCACAATTTAAAAAAAAATCTAGAAGTCTCAATTCTCAGTGGACCAAAACCGGTACCGGCTTTCGAAATAAAAAATTAAAAAGTTATTGATACGCATTCTAATCTATTAATTAGGAAATTGTACTTTATGGTGGCGGAAATTCATTTTCTCTTTGGGGGAGGAGTCTCTGGAATAGGGTTCCCATTGGTCAATCTAAGACCGAGACTAGATGTGATTGATGATGATTGACAGGTGATGGTGTTGGGTGAGATCACTTCAGACGCTGTGATTGACTACCAGAAAGTGATTCGAGACACGATCAAGGAAATTGGATATGACGACAGCAAAAAGGGCTTCGACTACAAGACGTGCAATGTCCTCATCGCCCTCGAGAATCAGAGTCCCGAGATTGCAGACACTGTGCACAAGGCCGGCGCCGAAGAGGATTACGGGGCAGGTACGAATACGAAAGAGGGAGTATTCTAAACCTAATTTGGGTACATGCATGCAAGAAGAATCCTTATAAATTGACACGGGCCTTTGGTTCCTGTAGAAAAAACTTCGGGTCTTAAAGAAATCAGAAACATCATTCCGAATCACTCCTAGGATGCAAAAAACCGCACAAAAAGATAGACGATTTTAGTTGGTAAATCAAAAAAGGACGAGATACTAGAAAAGAGCCAGTTTTGACAATAGTCTGACGTTACTCATGACCTGTAAACATTAGAGGACATAGAACAAGGCGGCGGACACCTGTCTTCGCCTCCAAACCCAGACTTTTTAGTAACATTTTATGCTCTTCCTATGAAAACAGCACAAAATTTCAGAAACAAAAAGAACAAAAAAGAAATTGAAAACTCTTTTCTTCTTTTTTCTTTTTAAGGTAGTTTTTTCTCCTTTATTTTTTAAAAGTTTTTAAAACAAATAAGATTGTTGAAACAAACCAAGTTAACATCATAAGTTAACAAAGCCGTTTAGCGGGAGGATGTGAACTTGGTTCTGAGTTCGAATTTCCAGCCAATCAGAATAGAGCAGTTTACTCGCAGCGCTTAGCAAGTTCAGTTTAAAATGAACGCCGGTGCGGGTAGGATCTTAACTTGGTCTGTTCGAAGAGGGCGGAAGGGGCGGCGGGGTTGAGGTTGTTAATTTGATCCGTTGAAACTAATGTCTTTAGTTACTTGCAGAGCAGAGCAATAAAGTCATTTTTTATGTTTTGTTTAGGTGATCAGGGTATCATGTTTGGATATGCGACTGATGAGACAGAGTCTTGCATGCCATTAACCATCGACCTCGCACACAAACTGGGACAGTAAGTTCAGCTCATGTTGAAATAGTAATTTTCATTTTTCCTTTTTGCCTAAAATGGACTCCGAGTCTAATTTTCATGCGCCAGAAACACTTCCTTTTTGTTGCTCAGATTTCCCTTCTCGTATGCATTAGTTATTCGATTCAATTCAGTAAATATCAAATTTGTGGCAACATCCTTTTTGGTCAACAAACCTGAACCAATCGAACATAATGTTTTTAAATTTTTACAACATGTAAAAACAATGTCAAAAAATTTTAATTAACCTAAAATCAATGTTCAATTGAATGACTCCGAATTTAATTTTTTTAAGATTAATTTTGCGGCACACAAATTTCTGTGATGGATTTTTTTGGAAAGTGTCGACCAAAAACTGTTTTTTTTTGCGCGCGCGAAGTTAAGCCCCAATTTAGTGTGTATTGGCGCCAAAGGTGTATTCCTACAACGTCATTTTTGGACTGTTTTTGTGCGACACAGAAATTTGTTGTCGAAAAGGTCTTCATAAGTTTTCGGGGGTTTTTAAAACATCAATTTGGTCGACCTAAGAACCTCCCTCCTCAACACGGACAAATCTAGGATTTTCTTGAAGAAGTTTGTGGGCCGCTTCGGAATTTCTATGCATTAGCTTATTGGTAAAGATTGGCGCCATCTAATCAGCATGAAGAAATACAGCACAAAAATCAAAAAAAGACTGCTCGTATCAGGGCGAAGCCCTGAATGTTCCGATTGGCTTTTAAGGTTTATGAGCAGTAATAACCTTAAAAAAATAAATGTAATAAAGTAAAATGAAACTTTTTTCTAAAACTTGAAGTTTTTTAATATAAAAATCATCCCCACACGCCATATTAGGTACAAAAGCATAGATTTCACACCTTGCAAGCAATAATGGCAAAAAAGCTTCTTTCAACCACTTCGGAAGGATTTCTAAAACGGATTAAATCTCCGCTTACTCGTTAATAGCGCGAATTCTATCGCGTGTTAATTGCCCAAATTGGCCAAAATGGTAATCTTTAAACCACCAGCAGGTTATAAAAAAAGATCACAGGTGAATTTTTTTCAAATTTAAGCTCAGGACAACATAACCTTTTGAATGATATAAAAAATATTCCGAAAAAATGGCTAGTTGAAAAGTCAAAGTTGTCAGAAGAAAAAAATTCCACCACGAGCACAAATATTCCGTTACTTTCGTATCGAAAGTCGGAACAACAACAATTTTTCTGAAATCACTCTTATAAAATTTAAAGATCTTCTAAATTTTTCAATTGACCTATGTAGATAACAAATAGAGGCATATGCGTCAAAATTACTAAAAACAAGACTGCTTGTATCACTGCGAAGCCCTGAAAGTTACGACTGCCTTTTAAGGTCTATGGAGTGACAAAAATATGAAAAAATTAAAATAAATAACAAAAAAAAATTTAAAAAAATTGAGATTTTTTGTGAAAATTATCCCCTCATACACCATATAAATTAGAAGCTGATAGATTTTGCTCATTTTAACTAACCAATTATGGCAATGAAGCTTCTTTGAACTAAAGTGGAACAATTTCAAAGCCGGATGAAATCTTCCGCTTACGAGTTATTGGCACGAAATATATAGCGCGTTAATTGTCCCATTTTGTCCAAAATGCCAATCTTTAAACCCCATAACTTTACGAAAATTGATCACAGGCGAAATACATTTTCGAACTTAAGCTCAGGATAACACTAAATTTTGAATGATATAAAAAAAGTTCGTCAAAAATGGCAAGTTAAAAAGTCGGAACTTGTCTGAAGAAAAAACCCACCCCGACCACAAATATTCCGTTAGTTTCGTTACAAAAGTCGGAACAATGAGAAATAGTAGTTGATACGATTAATGTAATAGTAGATACAATATGCCGGCTTGGAAAACAGTTTCACAATTCGAACGCAACAGTGAAAATTTTATTGTTCGGACTTTCGATACGAAAGTAACGGAATATTTGTGCTCGGGGTGGGTTTTTCTTCTGACAAGTTCCGACTTTTTTAATAGCTTTTTTTTGAAATTTTTTTATGTCATTTGAAAGTTAGTGTTGTCCTAAGCTTAAATTTGAAAGATATTTTACCTGTGATCATTTTTCGTAAAGTTATATAGGGGTTTAAATGTTGGCATTTTGGCCAATTTGTCACAATTACGCCCGATATATTTCGTGCTATTAACGCGTAAGCGTAGATTTAATCCATCTTAGAAATTGTTCCAATTTGGTTGAAGGAAGCTTATTTGCCAAAATTGACTCGTTACTAGAAGCGAAATTTCTCACTTTGTAATTTATATGGCGTGTGGGGGGATGACTTTCATAAAAAAATTTCAGTTTTTAGAAAAAAAAATTTCATTTTATTTTATTACGTTTATTTTTTTAATGTTATTACTGCTCCATAAATCTTAATAGTCAGCTTTGATACGAGTAGCCTTGTACGAGCAGCCTGATACGAGCAGCCTTGATACGAGCAGCCTTGTTAGTCTATAAGCTCAAACGCATGACCATATGCATATAAAAGTGACTACCTATTGGTGAGGGAGGGGGTGATCTGAATGTATGTTCTTTCGGATGCAAAGGCGTTGTCTTTTGACATAAGAGGTCGTCTGACTATTCAAAAAAAAACATAGTAATATTTCTGAAACTATGGCCAATTTTGTAAATAAAGGGGCGTTAAGCTGCCCGATTCAATATCCGCTCTTTTTAAAAGATCTGGGGTAAAAAAATGTTAGACCTTGAAAATTATCATTAATATTACGTACAATTATGAATTTTCAATTATTTTCTTTCAATTTTACAGTTTTTCTTACATTTTTTTTCATTTTTTTCTTTTTAAAATTTTTTCATGTTATTACTGCTTCATAGACCTTAAAAGGCAGTCGGAGCCTACAGGGCTTCGCCCTGATACGAGCAGTCTTGTAATTTTTTAAAACCTTTTTTACAGAGTTTACGTTCAGTAACGACTGTTTCAGTTCTTTATAACCTTTGATACTTAGCCATTATTTATTACTTCGCCATTATACAAAATATCTATATACTCAACGCTTCAAGTCAATTGTGATGTAAAATATCCTGGCTGAACGAAAAACCCAAATCTAAATCAATATATTTAATTTTAAAGCCTGAGGGAAGTGTTGAGAAAAATGCATTGCACTTGTAAATGAACGCTCACGAATGAATTTGAATGGCATTTCAATTCTAGACGAAAAGCTTTTATGGTCCATCAGTTGTATTTTTCAATCATTAAAGTGTATTTGTCTAGGAAAGTCATTCATTAAAATTACAAAAACCACACAATCGGTTGAAATGTCAGAACTCGATTCGATCTAATTGATGAATCAATCGGGATGAGGTCTTTTGTATCATGGAATTGATTGAGCAGAAAGAAATTCAGTTCAAAACCCCTAATTTCCCTTCGGAAATTAATATCATGCTCGAAGTCAAACACTATCTGATATTTCCGTCGCAAAACCGCGCATGTCTGAATGAAAAAAAAATAAATTGATTGACAATTTCCTTTAAAGGAAAAGAAACAGCGTGTTTATGAACAAGCTTCCCGCACCGAGCGCCCATGGAACATAATCGATTATATTGTCATAATATGCTCTTTATTATGACAATCTACAATATTACCGATCAACCGTTCAATCCCCTCCCCAAATCGAATTAGGGGAGAGGAAGTATGGATTTTTCATAAGCTAACTTTGAGTATAAGCTAGATTCAAAATTAACCGTATTACTACGGAAAATTGAATTAAAACATTATTCTAGGTATTTAACATCATGCCAATGCAATCCCGCATTAAAAACCCGGGTTGACCTCCATACATCAAAAATACTTATCATGCAATTCCATGCAACAAAAATCATTACCATACAAATCCATACATCAAGTGCATGGATAAAATGCTTGTCATACAATTTTCATACATTTTCGAAAAACAATAGAAAAAAAAATTAAACCATTTCTGCGGCTTTTTGAGAACAATTGAACAGACTGGTGAGAAAAAAAAACTGATTTACAATATTTCTTTTTGAAAAAAAAATGCTTTCCATACAATTTCCAATTTCCTCTTACCACAACCGCCATTTGCCCCCTCCCTTATGATTGAACATGGCGGGATTATTTATTGGTAAAATTTGGGGAGGGGTGTTAATGATTGACAGGCTCCCCCAGTTTACTACCCCCCCCCCCCCAGTTTACCCCCTCCCTTCTCTTTGGTTGGGGGATTTAGAAAAAACTTTAGGGGGGGACGTCGAGACATCGGATTTAGTATGAGACAAGGCAGATATTTTGCAAATTTCTTGCAAAATTTGAAAAAAATTCCGCAAAAACATCGAAATTAGTTCTAAAAATTCAACGGATTAAATTCAATTGTAATGGGTTGTAATGAATTTTTATTTCAAATTTAATCGCTTATAATGAACTATCTTGGCCACTAGCGGATTTAGGGGGGGGGGGGCGGACGCCTTCTCTCAGAGGTTTGACCCCTGCCGACCCAAAGGGTCCTCCCTTTTTACTATTTTGAGATATCCATTTTTGGCTGAGTGACCTTAAAATTTTTCTAGTGGCGCTTTCGGCGCTAATCTATACTATTTTTCAGGGGGGAGCGCGCGCCGAAAAAACGCAATTTTTTGGTCGAAATTTTTCAAAAAAAAAGTGCCTAAAAATGCCTTTTTTTGGCCTTTTTTCAAAAATTAGCCTGTAACGCAGAAAGTTAGGTCAAATTAGGGTCTTTAAAGTGGTTTGGGAGTTCTCAGAAAATCATTTTGGTCGACCTAAAAAAAGGCCGACAAAATTTTCAAATTTTTTTTTGAAAATCCGAAACCCCCCCCCCCCCTCGAGAAATTCCTAGATCCGCGCCTGATCTTGGCGCAAAAAATCAAGTTAAGTGCCAAAAATAATGGATTATAATCGATTATAATGGTTTTTTTTCAAAGGTAATTGATTATAATGGCAAGATAATCAATTTCGTGGCCTGAATTTTACATCTTTTATGGATTTTAAAGGATTTTTTTTTCTCAGGAATCCATTATAATCGATTAGAATCCATGGACGCTCGGTGCGGGTTGCTCGAAAGAAATGATAAAAACTTCAGGTAAAAGAGGCTAAGTTTTTGAATATATGCCAATTAAAATGGATGAGAGCAAAAACGCTGCGTTTCCTGTATAATTACATGAGAAAATAAATTCAGGAGCTATTTTCGGCTCTTGCACCAATAAAAATATTTTATAAGCGAACCATTAAATTCACAAGGTCGCTGATGCTAACTAAATGTGTGTGGAATTGAGTAGTCATACCATGCATTTCACAATAATCGTGCTATGTCAACGTAAGTTAAATTTGGTAAAAACCACAGTTGAGGTGGGGGCGGTAAAATTTAAATCTTTTTCCTTATTTGAATAAAAAAGAAGAGAAAAATGGTTCACAAATAGCAAAAAAGTTATAATAATCTGTATCTCACAAATTATGCCATATAAACTTTGAAGTTTCTACTCGAAAAATTCAAAATGAGCAGTTTTCCAATGTCCAGAAAAAATATAAAAACATTTTGGGTTATCTTCTGCTAGGCGATAAAGAATGAACAGTTGAGATGATAGAAAAATTCTATGAGTAAATTGATTTTGCGCAGAATATTGTCTGAATCCTAACTTTTTGCCAGTGCGTATGGTAAAAAAATGCTGTATCCTTAAAGCAAACATTCACCTTAGAAAAAGAAAACATTGTCAGTACGTTTTCTAATCTAGGAAATTGCGTCATTAAATTTTTATGAAAGACTTCAATGCAAACTAAATTAATCTCCGCTGAAAATGTTATTGTATGTATAACAAATGTCTCTTGCATATTAAAAAAAAAGAAAGCAGCCACTGACATTATGCACTTTAAAAAAAGTAATTAGTTTTATGAATTCAGTTTCAATTGGGTATTTTTGGTTGCTTTTCCGCTCGTTTTTAATTTCGACTTTGGCTTTTTTGATTGTGGGGTACTTTGTTCATTAAAATGTACCCGATGGAAATACAAAACATGCCTACGTAGAGAAATTGCAGAAGCGCCTGTTTAATCTCGCTTTACTAATGTAAAAGTTCAAATAGTTGTTATATTATAAAAAAGCTATATGATGAAAAAACGTCATAGCTTCTTTTTAGTGTAGTTAAATTTGTTATTTCCTTGAGGTTTGAAAATGTAAGTTCGCTGAACAGTTAATTTGCTTTGATAGTGTTTGTTATCTTCGTCATGAAAATTTTCATAGGATCCGAGAACTTTCTTGAATCCATTGAAAAAATGAGAAAAAGCTTCAAACATTTTTTGTGGAGCTGAGCAAGTCAAAAAGTTTGATTTTGTTCAAAGTTCTCTTTTTTGAACCGGCCATGAGAATCAGCTCGATTTTATTGTGGACTTTTTCCAGTGTAACCTTAGCAGCTCAGCATTGATAAAATGTTATTCTAAATTTCTCGTTTTCTCATTCAATTTGCTGTAATTCTTGCCTCTGAGATTGGTGCTTACTCCATTGCTTTCATTATATTGAGTTTTTGATTTGCAGCGTCCAGTTTGATTTGTCCCAGAAAAAAAATTGAATAGATGAAATGTTTCCATTAAGGAGAGCAGCAACGCCAAGATGCCACCCTTCTATGGCAATTGTTGTCTTGATTAATCCAGCAAACGGTTCTTCGAAACGCTTCCAAAATTTTAATGGAAAAGAAGGCTGTGAGAATGCCGTCTGATGTTTTCGCCGTTGATATAGTTGCGTTGGAATTCTGAGGTTACCTCAACAACACATATAGAGCTCGCGATTAGTTTCATAGTCATTTTGGTCCCACTTCATTTTTTCCCAGATGAACGCTTGACATGAAAGAAAATAACAGCCTTCAAGCAAAGCTCAGGTTCTTCACTTTCAAGGTCGTGAGGCTTGATGTTTTTTTTGATGGCTAATAAGCCCTTCGGTAGCTTTTTGTTTGCATACTTTTTTTGTTTGGCGTCACTGCATAAAAGCAGGAAGCCGGCGAGCTGAATGTGGATGGTGTAAAGTTGATAAAGCTGAATGGGGTAAGCTTTGAATGTTTCGTCGCACAGCCAAACATCTTGAGGTAAAATCCGATTCTGGATATTTTCGCAATCTCCAAAAATTAGCATAATTTCGGGATCTTCAATCCCGCTATCTAAGACGCAAATATCCTCGTTTTGCTTTGGAACCTCAAATGTCTGTGGAAACAATGTGCGCCTCTCATTTTTAATTGAAGGCCAGATTGATCGCCGAACGACAATGGAGAGCTTACTGAACGGCTTTTTCTTCGGACACAGTTGGCAAGCATTTCACAAAAACTGTTTTTGAGGGGTACTTACCTAATTTTTGTGCCCTGTTTTGTTTCCTTCAAGAGAAGCGTTGAAGCTGAAGAACCAGGAAATACATCGTGGGTGTGTTTAATTCTAGGGGAAATGATATCGTTATCTCGGGTTAGTGCAGTGGTTTAGCCTTTATGGCACTCTACCTCGAATACTTCCAGTGAACTTTTCCTTTATTTGTTTCCTGTTTCTTGTTAAATTCGTGGTCAATGATTACTTGTGTTTTTTTATTCTGTTGAAATAGACCCCAAGAAAAATGACTCATTTTAGTAGTAGCAATTTCTAGGAAAATTGATATCATAAATTAATTGTTGTTTTATTTTGTTCGTCGTAAAAATCAGAGATTTAAACCTGTTAATTAAGACCAATTTCAGAGTTTGATATCTAATATGCGTTTTACTTTTTTGAGCATTTTGCCTAAGTGCAAAACTCAGTTTGAGTCTGAAAACTCAAACTCATATGAAGTAACCCCGGCTGTTAATAATCCCATTCTAATCAGCACTGCGAAGTTTTAAATTAATAATGCGGCAAATCGACACAGAGTAGATTGGTATGTAGGGCAGATTAGTCTATGGTAGTTTGTATAGGGTAGATTGGTATGTAGGTTAGAATGGCATAAGGAAGAATAGCATAGGATGGTTTGGATTTGATAGTTTGTCCTGCCACCAATAACAATTAAAAATTCTTTCATAACAAGCGACAATTCGTTATAACGCATTGGCATGTAGGGTAAGCTTGCTCGGCTGCGCTTTTATCCGGCACGAGAGCAATAAAATAACCATTCAGTAAGAATGCAAGTAGAGTTGGAAAAACAGTTCGAGAGTTATTAAGTTCACCGAGACTTTTTAGTTTGATGGCAGACTACATATTCTTTTTTAATTCAGGTTAATTGAAAGTTGAACTCAACGGCAACTTTCTCCCGATTTCGACCAAAGAATCAAACTGCTATGAACGCTCTTATTGCATTCGACAAAAAGTAGCTCAAAACTCCCTGACCAAAAACCCGTCATTTTAACGAGCATTCATCTGGAGATTTTGAAAACTTTCTCAAATTCATTAGAAAATTAGCTTGCAAATTGCACCTCTCGTATGGCAGTTTAAGGCACATTGAACTCTGACCATAGTGACCATTGTCCTCAAAAACTTTGTTTTATTTGAAACTTCATTTGGAATAGCATTACAAGCTAGACTGAATTTAGTTTCAATCAGTGAATGCACAAAAAAATTTAGGTCGACTTATTTGATTTTAGGTCGACTTATTTGGGGGTTTAGGTTAACTTATTTGATTTTATTTTCCCAGCTTTCCGTTAAAAATCTTTAGAAATTTAGTCGTTTTTATAAATAATGCTGGTGGTCAGCAATCAAAGGGGGGAACCTTTGGAAAAGTTTGGCAACCAGAATTGAGGGGGGGGGAACGGTCGCCTTTTCTTCCTATCAGCACGCTGCTGGTTTCAATTAACATTTTTGATGAGTGTTCTCAATTAATTTTCAAATTATATTTGAGATTTGCATGGCTCAATGCAAATTCTTAGTTGTATCGCAGTTTTGATTTTGGTTTTAGGCGATTGGCCGAAGGCAGGAAGTCGGGTGAAATCGAGTGGGCGAGACCAGACTCGAAGACGCAAGTGACGGTGGAGTACGAGGAAGACTCAAGCGGTTGCCCCGTGCCAGTACGAGTTCACACTATTGTCATTTCCACGCAACACGACGAGCAGGTCTCCATGGAACAGATCAAAAGTGATCTCATGGAAAAGATCATCAAAAAAGTGATCCCTTCTTATCTCTTGGACAAAGACACCATCTACCATCTGAATCCTTCGGGCAGGTTCGTCATCGGTGGACCTCAAGGGGACGCAGGCGTTACTGGACGGAAAATCATTGTGGACACTTACGGCGGTTGGGGTGCCCACGGGGGCGGGGCTTTTTCGGGAAAAGATTTCACAAAAGTGGATCGAAGTGCTGCATATGCTGCTCGTTGGGTGGCCAAATCACTGGTGAAAGCCAAGTTATGCCGACGAGCGCTGGTGCAAATCTCATACGCCATCGGAATTGCGGAGCCACTCTCTTTGTTTGTAAACAGTTACCACACAGGAGTGAAGTCTGACGAAGAATTGACGAGCATAGTGAAGAAAAATTTTGACCTGCGACCAGGAGTGATCGTTCGGGAGCTGAAGCTAAAGAACCCCATATTCAAGAAGACAGCACGTTATGGCCACTTTGGAAGACCTGAATTCACCTGGGAACAACCAAAGGAGCTCCAGTTTTAATCTAATTTTGTCATCATTTTATATTTTGTCATCATTTTGTTATGTATTATGTCATGTAACTCCATCTTTAATTTAAGAAAGTATTTAAATTGATCAGTGTTTTTTACATGTAAAACTTCAACATTACAACTGAAATGAAAAGATGTTCAATTTCAAACACAGAGGCGAAGCTGCGCTTTGCAAACACTTGTGATAACACGACCAAAAAGCAGCTCTATCAAGTGAAAAAAGAAAAAGTAGAAATAAGCCTCCAATTAGCAAAAACTCGAATACGTGTAGGATTCGAATCTGCAACTGACTGCAATCAAGATATTTTGAGTCTCACGCACTTTCCACTCAGCAAGCAAGCTTAACAAACGACCAACAATAGTCACGAACAAAGCAGCTACATATAGTAAAAACTTGCCAATTCGATTCAGAAAAAGTGGCACCAAATACAAATATGCATTTCAAAAAATTTCAAGATATATCGAGTTGGAAAATTTCTGAAATTGAGTTTTCATTATTTTCATGTTGTTTGAAACAAATCAGTTTTTTCGGTTAATTTGATGGGTTTAAAATGCATCAACTGTGTTAACTTATTACTTCGAATTTCAAAGCACATGATATCAAAAAGCTGTAAAGTTGCCCCAAAAGTGGCACCGATATTTGCGACTTAGGTTGAAAAAAAGGTTCGTACTAATACACTCGCTTCGCAAGTGCAATTTTTGCTGCCGCACTTAAAAACTTTGCAAAAAAGCCCTTTTTTGTTCGAATTGCACATTGAAATTCACCCTATTTAACAAAAAGAGGAGCAATATTACAATAGCTGGCAATTTTGAGAACTATTGAGGAAGTGCATCTATTAACCTTGAGAACTATAATGATTATATATTCATTTGGATTTTCAGCTTTTTGTATATATGCTACTAAGATTTTGTAAATACAGTATTCTTCCAGATAGAATACTATTTGAAAACTTAATTTTTACGCTTCGCGCTTTCAAATTTAGCTTTGAAATAAATTGCAAATACTTATCGAAGTATAAGAAAGAGCGATCCAACTATTTAACTTGAATCTACCACCTATTGTAATGCATCACCCAAAAAGCATCGTTCTAAGTTTGAAGTTTTCTCAAATAAATTTTCCGTTGCGATTTGTCGGAAAAACAATTTAAAATTCCGCGAGGTTATTCATAATAGTTATCCATTTACTACGTTGAAATTTTTCTGACTACAATGAAATAACTGGAAAAATCAACGCATTTTTCTGGGAAGTACATAAAAAAAAGGGCCGAAGCAAAAACCAGCAAGCAGTGGCAAAAAAAAACATGAAACCATTGAATGGTGCTGTAAATATTCAGTACTGAAAAACTGTCCAAATCGGAAATCGAATTCTTTCTTTTAGTTTTGAAATATCGAAATTATCCGCTAATTTGCATTTTGACCAAAAAATAGCTTATTCTTAAATCTGTTAAAAGTCCCAATAGTTGATTTGCAGTATACGCTCGAGTCCATTTCCCCTCACCACATTTAAAATGATCTACTTTACTTTAAAAGTTTTTTTTAAAGTTATTATGGCTAAATTATCGATGTTACAATGCACGGATTGTCGAATAAATTTTTGCACTATAGTTGATTCGTTCACCATGCCAAGAGTTTCAATACATTATGACAACGCTAAAAAAATCTCGATAAAATACAAACTTCGCTTGTACGATAAAATCTTGTGTAAACAGTACAGAATGTTCAGACCAAATTCATCTTTGTAAGAAACAATTTTTTCGTCTAATTTCTTTCGGGATTCTCTCTATAGGTTATTTCTGAGAGAACACAAAACGTAAATTTAGTTTTTCGATATCAATAACTAATAGGTCAAATAAACGAAACAGATATAATTTTGCGTTTTATTAAAATAAATCAGGCCTTCGGAAGCAGACATGAAAAAGAGTAAAACTTCCAAAAAAAAATTGAATTGAAAAGTTTCGAACGAACATTTTCAATTTTCGATTAATGAAAACGCCCCAATCGATAAAAACTAATTAAAGAACGACTAATCAGAAACCAAAAAAAGCGACTGAAACGCAAAACAATGTCAAAAAACCAAAGCTTTGAAAGCAAATGAAAAAACAGAATTAAATGAAAGTCGAAAAAAATTTCAAAATAACTATTTTCTTCTATCTGAACTCGAGACAATAGAAAAGCACAGTGAAAGTTTAAATAAAAACTTTTCTTACATTCCAACAAAACTTCTATGATTTTTTAAATGATTTTTTCTTTCTATGATTGACTTTCTTTCTATGGTTTTTTAAAAAATTCACCTCATTTCTTTAGTTGAATCAAGGCCAAATTTACTATCAAACAGCAAAAGTAAGAAATTTTGTCAAAGTGAGTCGATTTTCAGAAAATTTTTTTTATATGTGATGCAGTGATCCTTGGATCACTGCATCACATATTAAAAAAAAATTTCTAAAAACTGTTTCACTTTGACAAAACTTCTTATTTTTGCTGTTTGATAGTAAATTTGGCCTTGATTCAACTAGGGAAATGAGGTGAATTTTGAAAAAAAAATCATAAAGAAAGTCAACCCACTAAAAGTGAAATTCCTGAAAAAACGACCAAAAGCATCAAGATCTATATAAGCGAAAACGGCTTCCTCCAAAAGTAGCGATTTTCGAATATACCGACCCAACGTAAATTTACTGAAAACCATTCTACAATTTTTGCTTTTTCAATAACACTGATGTACGCAAAGCATGTGTTGAAAATGTGACAACCTACTTTTTTGAACATAGCGAATTTCAATTCAGACCATTTTTTATCGACCGCTTCGAAGTCAAACCAAATTAACATGTCACAAGCATACAATTTAATTTTAGGACAATCAGGACGAACAAAATCAAAGTTACACGTGAAACAAATATAATGCAAAAAATGTAACAAAAACTCCATGGAAAAAACTTTTGCGTGCATGGAAGATTTGATGCTTTTTCTTTAATGGAAAAGTAACAACTTTTATTCAATCGTTGCAGTGAAGATTTGAAAAACAGCAAATTAAGTACGCCGATACGAAACAACCAGACGGTAAGAAATCTGTTATTTTTTTGAAGCACATAGGATACTTGCAAAACGTGATAAGTAAAAATAAAACCAAATGCATGTAGTCGGTTCATTTTTTGCTAGCTTAAGTGCCGCATTGAACAAAAAGTTTCCAAATCGTTGTAACTCTGTGCGGCATTTGAGCTTACAAAAAATGAACAGACTACATGCAAGCCAACATTGAAAAAATTGTTTGGAAAGTGTAACTCAAAAGAATAAAAAAACAAGACTGCTCGTATCAGGGTAAAGCCTTGAAAGTTCCGACTACCCCTTAATTGGTCTGGAATCGTTTTTGGTACATGAAATATTCACAAACTACAAATTTTTGGCTGATAATATCAAAGTGTTTAGTCGTTTATGGAGATAATAAGACCAATTAGCTTTGCCTCATTTCAATTTGGAACGATTATGAGTGCGGATAATTTGCCACGCTGGAATGATTTGCGTATTGAAACAAACAATCAAAGTACTATTCCAACAGCGAAACCACACTTAAGTCAAGTGCAAGTATACCCGCTTGGCAATCACAAGATTTCCGGATCGATGCCCATACGCAGTCAACTTTCCTAAAATTGGTCTGAATAAAAAAAATCACCCTGGGCATATATGTTCCTCACTTTCTTCGAAAGTCGGAACAAAAAGGATAGAAAACTTTTGAACAATATTCAACTTTCGAGTTCCAAAAAAACTACCAGATTAAAGCTCTTTAAACTTCAAGAACTGTTTATGATAGGACCTTTTTACTTAGAACTAACCCAATTTGAGAAAAATAGATATATGAAAAACTTATTTTTTCGATAGGAAAACTGAAAATTAAATACCACTTTTGAAGCCAGAAGTCTTTCATATTTTTATGCTACAATTCCACTTTCATACTTGGCGAGCACATTTTGCCTACCTTTTAGCAAACGAACTTGAACTGAACTCAAATAGTGCGCATATAGTTAAGTACATTCATAAACACATGAAGATGTTTGAATGGTCAACTTTAGTAAACTCTGCAGCCCTTCTGTAGTCATTAGAGCATTTTAAAACTTCTTCCGGGAAAAAAAACGGAAAGAAAAATCACCAAGACCTATATCAGAGTCTTCACTACGTTCATCGACTTATACAAACAAAAAATTATCAAAACCTGTATCAGCGAAAAGTGACTTCGTTCTTTTGCAGTTGAAAAATCAGTTTGAAAAAATCGCCAAATATACTTAAATGTGCTAAGGAGGATACCATACAATTTATGAAAGCAGAAAAGGGGAGAAATTTAAAATTAGACAGAGTTATTGATCGGAAAAAGTCTAAATCCCGATAACAAAACACTTGCTTACGCTATTTTAGAAACAAGTCCTGTACACAGTTGCAACACTCGCTGATCGCAAGAGTAATGAATAAACCACGCAAACAATTGAGCAATGACTAGGTCCTGTAACCAGCGGAGCAGGAACACGCGTTTTCATCCTCTTCAAAAACTAAGTAGAAAATAAAAATTTAACTTATAACTAAAATTAACTCAACAAATTTTGGACCAAACACAGCTAGCCAGCAAAATATTTTGACTAATTATCAGATTAAGTTTCTGAGTCTTCTACAATCGTTTCATTCTGAGGGGACGATGTGAAGAGTGAAGCCGATGCCGCTTTGCGAGGACTGCTGGAGCCGGTAGTGGTACTAGTGCGGGGTGATGCCACTTGGTGAGGTGTCGGCCTGGTTCTCGAGGGCAGCGAAGTCTTATGATGTGGGGACTGCTTGGCGTTCGACTGACTACGGTTCAGCATCGGAAGACTTCTTGCTGCTGCCGACGGAATGCCATGTGACCCCTTCAGTAACAAAAAAACCTTTGTTAAAAATTTAGCATCACCATCACTACCTTCACATTTTGCAATGTGTTTAGAAGCGCAATACGTGCAATAACATGTCATGAACACAATATTTGGGGGGAAATTGAAGAAGGATTATGCAAAAAGGAAACATTGAAGAGAGCCCCGTTTCTCGAATTGACAGGGTTAGATAAAACGCACAAAGATGAAAATGAAACAGTGTGGTATAATGAGAAATAAATAAATTGATTGTTTTGACGGTTGTTCCTCATTTACCGGAGAATTGGTGTTATTCATTGAGTACAAAACCGATGACAGCCAAAGTGATTATTTCTAAAAAAAAGTTTCTAAGAATTCTGTTAAACATGTTTTAAAAAAATCATGAAACAAAACGGTTAATTAATTACATTAAAAACATTAGAATCGTCAGCACTGACGCAAACCCAAACAATAAACCTTCTATATCACAAAAAACCATATTAAAACTAAATACGTTAATGCACGGCAATAAGACTAAGTACGGTAACGGAACAGTTTTTCGTAATATCATTAATGCGTCCTTTCCCTTTTCACATTTTCGACCATAGCAAAACTCGTCATATGATGTAAACGAAGTTTACTACCATTGCATTGGTATCCCAGTAATTCATATAACCAATGAAAATTACAAAAGCCAAGCTGACCTCGTAAACACAAGCGAAAAAGACATAGTGAAGCTTTAGAATTGCAAACAAAATTACATAAACATTGAAGCTTAAAAAAATAAAGATTTAATCAACTGCACGAATTAAACAGCTGACATAGTGTTTATAAAGTATTGGCAGAAAAATCCTGACTGGAGTATTGCTGGAAAACCTAACTGAGACACATATCCTAGCTGCTTCCTAGAATTTGCAAATCATCTATAAGTGGAAACGATGCGCTCCAATAGATGATAAAACACACTACCAAGACCGTTCGACTTGTTGTTCCGACCAAAAATTGAGAAATGTCGAAGAACTTTGTATTCGGGTGTGTTTTAGTTTTTTTTTCTCTTCCTTTTTTGTTTTCCAACCAAAATCAGGTAACAACCACAAATAATCATCGGAATGGGTCGAGTGATACATTATATTCAAATCATTTCAGTCGTGATTCAAACGACTTCAAAAAACTTAGAAAAAAAATTTCTAAGTCGAGAAAAACCAGTTTGAAATTTTTGATTTCTGGTCTAATTTCAAGCTAAAAAGGTGAAGCTAAGCAGGCTTGCAAATGCTTATTTCTGCTTAATTCAAGCCATTCACACTTTGCTTTATTCGAATTAAGTTACTTTTTGGAGTTTTTTTAGCGTCGTTCAACTTCATAATTCAACAAAATTCCGCAAAAAAATTGACTATTGCAAAAATTCTTTCTGCAAAAAAGAATTTTGTTAATGATTTTTTGATTTCATTTTTCTCGTCATTTTTCAACAAAAACTGCTTTCCAGTTGGCCTATTTCCAGTTGCTTTCCTATGAGTATCAAATATGCCTAAATTTTATTTTTTCGTTTAGAATTTTTTTACACCACGCAGAAAAAACGATAAAATTGAAAAAAATTTTTTTTTGTATATTTAAGACTATGGTTGGAACATTCTGTGCTATTTGCACAGTAACCAGCTATCCTTGTTTCTTTTTTTCCTGTTTGATTGATAAGTTTCCATTTTATATTACACAACATATTTTACACTAGTTTCCCGACTTTAAAAAAAACTAGTTCTTTATATTCGAACAATTACACTTAAGGCTTCCTGAAAATTAATATCAATCAAAAAGGCAAAACAATTACTCATTTAATTTTGATAGCAGGAATTTTTTATACCAAGCTTCTTAATCAAATTAATTGTGATGGCTAAATTCACAAATTTAGTTTTTCGACTGGCTTTTAACGAAATAAACTTTGAAAACTCTGTCAAACTTTTACGAGTTTATTTCTTTGTTTTGAAGCTTTCAAAACTCCATCGTTCGAGCATTTCACAGAGTTGCTGAACACTGGCTTGATTATGGATCGAGGTTTCTAAAATTCAAGCCACTATTTAGCAACCTTTAAAAAAAACTCACACGACGAAAATTCGAAAGCTTTTGAAATTTAAATAGCTACAGTCAATCCACAAAATGAAAGTTCCCACGCAAACTATTCAACTAACGAATAAGCGAGCTTGAAGTTGCTTTGATAGCTTGATTAATTTGCAAAACATTAGTTTTTCTTCAAAAATTAGCTCCAGGAGCAACGAAATTTTCCAATTGCTCGAATTTCCGATAGATTTGTGATAAAAATGTTAGTTTTGCGATCAATGAAACCTTGAATAACTTCGCTAAAAGATATTTTGAAGCAAGCTAAAGGATAAAGAAACTTTGCCACAAATATAGTTGCTTTTGACGGCTTTGGCTCATTCGCAAATAGTTCTTTCAAGCTAACTAATCAACTGATAAAAACTTATGCAAATGAATTCAAACCATCCATATCAACAAGGAAATTTTCAAAGTTTCATCAATTGAATAGCCTGCTTTGATTTTCTCTTGCATGAATCTATTTCTGAATGAGTATAATGACTTTGGCTGCTATAATCTCTTCACAAAAACTTAGTGTTCTTAAAGCCAGTTATAACAAAACTTTTCAAATGACAAAAAATTCGGTGAAACTTTGGTTTTCTTATTTGAAAACTCAAAATTCAACCCATGTCTGGCATGCATTAAATTCTTTACAACTTACGAAACCATTTTGATAGCTAGAACCCTTCAGCATAAAAAATTGTGTCAAATTTGATATCAATAGCTTAAAATAATTAGAAAAATGAAACTTTTTGAATATAATATTCAAGAGACGATACTCATGAATATAGCCAACAGACAGTTGAAAAAGAGTCAATGAACGCACCCATATAAAAAACTGACTAGCTAATCATCTTGGGAATTTCATCAACTTGCTAATTTTCATTAGAAAAATATATGGTCTTAAGGCTCCTTGAGTTTCAGAACAAATTAAGATTGACAACAATTTTTTGATACAATTATCATAATTCAACTAGGAAATATAAAGACATTTTTTAAACAAAAAGTCGATCACGTTTTTTGCGCCATTTCAAATTTTGTATTTGAAGAGCGCAATTTACCAAACCTTAAGCAGATGAATTTGAATTGAACACTGCATCCAAATTTTTAGACCATTTGAAGTTTTTTTTAGAAAACAAAAAAAACAAGACCTAAATAAAAGCCTTCGCTATTTTCATCGACTCATAACAAACTCAATTTGATTTTGATAGTTAATAATCACAGTAAGCCTCCTTTCAAAACATTCAGTGAATAAAACTTCAGATTATTCCATGTTGAATTTGATAGTTGCAATGGGTTTGCAAGAGGTTTTAATTTTTAAGGAAATTATCCAAAGGATCAAACCTTTTTTCAAGGCTTTTTGCCATCAAATTTCACTAAATTAAAAAAAAATTTTGGTGAAACTACTCAAATTTGAAAAAACTGGAACATATAAAACAAATTTGAGTTTTTATTTGAGTCAATTTCTTCAATAAAAGATGGGAAGATTTTTTATACGAAATAGCTCGGAAAGAAATTAGCACAAGGAGGCTTGAATGTCCGTTACCTTCTGGGTTTGTTTAATGCTCCGGTTATTAGTACCGGTAAAAGTTTATACAAAAAAGCAGTTCGTCCAGTGTCACTGTTTTATACAGAGATGAAGCGGGGCTTCGCAACACTTGTGATGCAAAAAAAAAATCTGAAAAATAAGCTGAAAAAATTACTTGAAAAAGAATTCTGAAAAATTAATTGAAAACAAAAACTTGAAAAGTTGAAAAAATGCAGCTACAAAAACTTCATGGACGTATAGGAAGACGTTAATGAACAGCCTTGAAAAGTATTGAAAATCAATTACTGAGCGGCACCAAATTTTGGGTCGAAACCTGATTGAGCCGAAAACAAAACTGTTGTCAAAGTTTTTACGACCACTCAGCCAATTTGAAACAAAAAACCGCATGCAAAAACGTTTGTTTTCATAGTTATACAAGCTAAATTGACTGAGTCGATACAACAAAATTACTGAACTTTCAGTTGTAAAAAAACGGTTTAACCTGGAACAACACACGACATTTCGCATACTCATTTTATACAGATTATATTGATCATATTGAAAATTTAACGCATGCTTTCAATTGAATTTTCGTTTTGATATTTGGCCTGAAAATAAACTATGAGGATCTATATTTTCCGCACCAAAACGAGTTTGCACCAAAATATTTCCTATCTATCTAACAAAATTGAGCCTAAAACGTTAATAATGAAAATGCAATTTGAATAATTTTTGCTAGTTTTACCCACATAGACAAGAAATGAATTGCAATCGATTCTATGCAGATAATGTAGCTAAAACGACCGAAAAAATTGGTTGGGAGCGATTTAAAATCGATTTAGTTTGATACAAAAATGTAGCTTTCAATCGATTTCAATAGACTTCAAAGCGACTTAAATTGTTTTCTTGCTGAGTGTTTTTGGTTTTGTTTCCTACGTATTTGAGTCTCAATGAAAACGATTTTAAACGACTTTTTATACTGATTTTATACAGACTATATACAGATTATACGCAGAATTAGTAGACTATCAAACAATAGAGAAATAGTGGGGGGAAAACTTTTACTTTATGCTTTTCAATTGACTTTTCATTTTGATTTGAAAATAAACTACGAGGATAGGTATTCTTCTCTGTTGCTTAAAATTGAGCCTAGAACGTTGATAATGAAAATGCACTTTGAAAAATTTTTGCATAGTTTTACTTCTCTTTACAGCGGGAACCCTTAAATTTGCATAATTCACACAGAGGCGAAGCTGCGCTTCACAAACCTTTGCGAGAACACGATAAAAAGCAGCTCTAGAGTTCTAACAATTGCAATAAGTGAAAGTAAAAATAAGCCTCGAAAGAGTTCGACGACGTCTCGGACTCGTACCTAACGCAACCTAGAAATTATGAGTCTCCCACACTAGCCACGGCCGTTTAATGCATCACAAACACTAGCAACAAATAAAGCCGAGAATAGATGCTATGAAACTTTCAATGCTACAGATCGTGATTATAGCAAAAGGCACCTAAGTGAACACTTTATAAAAACTTTATTTTCGAGTTAGGTTAGAAAAAAGAAGGTTCGCACTAAAACGCTAGCGTAAGAATAGAAACCCTTGAATGCAATCGGGTAAAACTCTCATCGAGTGACTATTGCTCTCAGAAGCTCTGATGGAGTTTCTTGACTAGCAAAAATTTCCCAAGCTTCGAAATAAAAACAATAGTTAAGTTAAATCAGTTTTAATGAGATTTTGATGAAACTCACTACCTCGCAAAATCCTTTAATATCTATTTTTGTATCTAAACTTCTATACAGTATATTATCGGTATAAAAATCGATTTCGATCTCAAGTTCGTCTTTGCGGGAACAGATAGGCTAACAAAAAACCCAAAAAAAATGAATTAGTTAGAGCTTCTTGAATTTCCAGAACCTTTAATGATTGGCACATTTTTCATGCAATTAACCAAAATTGAGAAAACAGCAAATGATAATGTTTTTTACTCCGCCGATAAATCTGGAAAATCAAACCTACTTGAGAAACCTAAATCATTCACGTTTTTTCACAACACCACCACTTTTTACATTAAAGAGCGTAAGCTGCTTTCTTTTGAAAAAATGAATTTGAATTGATGAACCTTAAAAAAATCAAAAGAGAAATTGCAAAACGTGAATGAAAATAGAAAAAACTTTAAACCGTTCTTCCTCGAAAAAAACTTAAGTCAAAAATCATCACGACCTATAAAAGTGTCTTCATTTTATTCAGTAAAACTAATATAAAACAAGGTTGCAACTTTTTTTATTCCGCTGGGAAATCTAAAAATTACACAGGCGAAGTTGTACATCGGATACACAAGCAAAAATATGACCGATAACGCTACTGGGAAAAACTGAACGAGTAAAAATTTTGAGTCTACAAAATTTCTTCAGTGACGCACGCCAATTATGACGCATTAGCAGTCAATTTGGATAAAAAATTACCAACTAACATGCCTCAATTTATAGAGCAGTCTATGGAGCAGTAATAACATGAAAAAAATTAAATGTAATAAAAAATGAATTTTTTTTAAATTTGAGATTTATTGTGATAATCATCCCCCCACACGCCATATTAAGTACAAAATGATAAATTTCGATCCTAGTAACAAATCAATTATGATAAATAAGCTTCCTTCAACCAATTTGGAACCATTTCTTTGACGGATTAAATCTACGCTTACGCGTTAATAGCGCGAAATACATCGCGCGTTAATTGTCCCAAATTGGCCAAAAAGGCAACATTTAAATCCCCATAACTTTACAAAAAACGATCACAGGTGAAATCCTGTCAAAACTGGCTAGTTGAAAAGTCAAAAGTTGTCAGAAGAATCCTTAGCATTGGCTGTACTTAATAGATGGTTATTGATCAAAATGAACACTTTCAAAATGAACACATTTTATCGCACCAATATTTGCGGCTTAGCTTGGAAAAAAAAGATATTTCATACTATAACACAAGCATTGCTTGTGTAAAAATCCACTAATGAAACTTTAATTATTCACGTTTTCCTCGCACCACAAGCATTTCGTTATTGAAGAGCATGAATTGCCTTTTATCTTTGGTATGACATATTTTGTCCTAGCACCTACTTTTTCCCCACATCCGTACGGATTCTATAAAAGCACACATTCCTACAAAAAATATGTCAAAGTTCCTTATTAGCTTATTATTCTCTGTAATACAATAGACTATACCTACATAGAGTATGAAAACTCGTGCCAGGAAACAATCCGTCAAAAGCGACAATTCGTCGCAATTCGGAAAAACCTACAATTTAATCAATCTGTACTCACTGCCTAGTTTTTCAATTCAATGTCGAATCCCACACTAAGGCAAGGCCATTTGTTTTTGTTGATATGTTCAATCAATTTTTGATATAGTTTTTTTTATTCTGACGAATTGCTCTGCGACTTATTTCCTCTTTTTGAAATGCTATCATTGTCGCTTGCAATCAATAATCAATTGGCGCGTCACAGAAAACAGAAGAAGGGGCTCTTTTTGTGCATCATCTACCATGTAGCCGCTATCTTCACATGCAAGACCTTTATCGTGCGATACATATAACGAGAAACACATGAAAAGCATATAGCCGCATTTTGCGACACCATTTCGTGCTAAGGATTCTTACCTTTGCTGTGGTCCGATTTTGGAAGAATTACGTAAATAGGCTTGAAAAGAAGTTTTCACATGAATCGATTTGGTTTTTCCAGGTAAGAACTCCAAGAAAAATTACATGTCGCAATCCAAAACCCTCCAAAACAACTTCCAACATAGTTATGAGTCATATGAGTTAGTGTATGGGCATTTTATGAACCGTGACGATAATTTATTACACTAGTGAACCCAGTTTATTACACTAATGAATAATTAGTCTTACGATTCCCAAAAAAATTCTATTCCAAATCAAAATAATTATACCAAATGAATTGTCGATGATTCATGGTTACTGAATCTGGTTGAAATCACAATCAAAATATTTTTTAATGACTTTATGATTGTTTTATTTTTACCTTCCGAAATGTTGTAAGCATAGAATTTTTCGCCCAGCTCTAATTAAGCAAACATAAGGTTTAATTGTGATTTATGAAAATCTTTTTCGATAGCATTTAGATCGAAACTTTCAAAAAATGAAAGGGGATTGGAAATAGCAGCAAAAATAGAATTGGTACCTGATTTGCGTTCCGATTTTTGGAACTGGAGTCGCTCTTAGACCCGAAAATAGACTCGAACAGAGAGGGTTTCGGTGCATTCGTACTTTGCTTTCCAATAATCACATCTAAACAACTAACCCAGTTTTTACACTGAAAAACTCAAAGATTCCCAACATGCTTTATTCGATCCTTTTACATAAACAAGCTAAGGAATTGCTTTGAGAATCTGTTAAAACCCTAAATAATTGTCGTAAAATTTTGACTTAAACTTAATTTGATTTTTTCTCTTTAACTCAGATCAAGTTTAAAAAAGCGTGCTGAAAGTAATATGAATTGAAGTTGACTGACATATCATTTGATTTGAATATTGAATTAGTTGATTGGGCCTCACCTCTCTTCTCCTTTGGCTTATGCACTATTTCGGGTACTTCGGCTCTGAAAATTTCTGAAACAAAATTGTTCAATTAAGAAGCTATTTTACCAATTGGGTAACATTTCCCCCTCAAAATTGGCGGTTTGAGAGATAGTTTTTCTCGAAATTTTAATTCTTTTTTTTTCTTTGGGGTCAATTAGGAGTTAGATATGTTTTGCTTCTTGACAGCAACCCGCTATGTAAATAGTTATGATAACTCGGCTAAATCAGTAGCCGTATTTTGAGATAATATTTCAATCTATAATACATAAAACAGCATTGAAAGCTAGCAGACACGAAAGAAAAGTAAAGCCACTAAGTCCAAAAACATGAAACAAAAATGCGAAAAAACCTAACGAAAACTACTAGATTTAGTCTATGAACGATGTTCTATTTGCGGAAAATTTGTCCAGAAACGCAACCGACGACGTTTATTGAAAATCCAAATACATTTATTGGGCTGCAACAAAGTCAAAAAAACTTGGATAAATTCCCGTCAAACCGAAAATACGGACGGATTTTCCACTGGTACCACTTTTTTGAAAATCGGCAGGGTCGCTTTTGAGAAAAACTAAGATTTTTTGAGAAAAGAAAATTTTTTCCAAAGCGTCTCAAAAAAGTTTAAAAAAATCGATACCGTACATTTTCATAATACCTGTTTTTATCAAGCAAACATTTTAGTTCTTTTTCTGAAAAAAATCATGACCTACATAAAAGTTGCAAGCTCGATTAGTAGAGGTTTAAAAAATTCATTGAAGTTCTTGCTTGTAAATTGAAATTTTTCATTAATGGTTTTCTTGACTAATGCTATTGCATACCCTTATCGGCTTCAAACCACAATTTACACTGAGGCGAAGCTGGGTTTCACAAGCACAAGCGAGAACACGACGAAAAACAGCTTTATGAAGTAAAATAAGAAAAAAGAACAAAGCTTTGAATTATAATTAGCCATGAACGCTTAACAATCGACAAACACAATTCAAAAATAAAGCAGCTACATATGCTAATAAATTGCCAATGCCATGCAGCAAAGGTGACACCAAAAACAAACAGACTCAATTTTGCATGTAATAACCTGGAATATAACAAACTGAAGGCATCCACACTAACTTTGCAAGTAATAAATCGCAAAGCATAAATCCACATTATGTATTAATTATGCATTTCAGAAAATTGCGAAATATTTTGAGTTAGAAAATTTCTGAAATCGAGTTTTTATCACGTCATGTTGTTTGAAAGAAACAGCTTTTTTTCGGTTCATTTGATGAATTAAAGATGCATCAACTGTGTTAACTTATTAGTATTCGAATGTAAGAGCAAATGATATCAAAAAGCCGTAAAGGTGACCCAAAAGTGGCATAAGTATTTGCTACTTAGATTTGAAAAAAAGAATAGTCGTAGTGTAACAGTAACGCTCACTAAATTTCGCTAGTGTAAAGATTGACTTTACCCTATTTGTTACTCATTTCAGGAAATTTGCATTAAAAAAAAACAATTTTCGCCGGATTTTATGAACGTAAAGTAAAGCCACTTTTGAAACTGTTAGCGTAGCTCCATTTTTGCGCTACCTTTACTTTGAACAACTTCTACGGAGGTCGATCAAACTCGGTTGCAAAATTTGATAATTAATGCGACGTGATGCTGCATGACTTGATGATTAAAATAGATTGCAAGCCTTGATTAGCAAGACTTGACACTAAGCCATTATATGCCATTGGTCACATCTCCGTCTCCTATCGGAGGAAGCTTAACATCAAAAGTCATTTTCTAAGAAAGAAATTGTTGAATCATTCGAGTACATTACACAGAGGACAAGCTGCACTTCGCAAACAAAACGCCAGGAACTACTTTTAAAAAAGTAAATGCCCTCGACTGGAATCGAACCACGGACCTAGAGCATCCAAGTTGACAGTAATACACAAAAGTTAAACTCCCACATAATTTATGTAGCAAAAAAATGCAAAAAATGAGCACAGTTTTAAGCGATTGGAATTCGCAATAAGAAATCCCAGTATAAACACAGAGGCAAGTTGCACTTCGCATACACAAGCAAAAACATGACCGATAACGCTACTGGGAAAACCTGAATGAGAGTCTAAAAAATTTCTGAAGTGCCGCACGCCCATTATGGCGCATTAGCAGTACCAGTTAATTTGATTAAAAAAAACAATTACCAATTAACATGCCTCAATTTGTACAGCAATCTATTGAGCAATTAAAACATGAAAAAAATGAATGTAATAAAATAAACAAAAAAATTTAGATTTTTTGTGAAAGCCATCCCCTCACGCGTCATATTAAGTACAAAGTAATAAACTTCGCTCCTAAAAACAAATCAATTCTGGCAAATAAGCTTCCTTGAACCAATTTGGAACGATTTCTAAGACGCATAAAATCTCCGCTTACGCGTTGATAGCGCGATCATATCGCGCGTTAATTGTCCCAAAATGGCATTTTTCAAACCACCATAACTTTAAAAACTTTAAATCACAGGTAAAATATTTTTTCAAATTTAAGCTCAAGACAACAATACCTTTTGAATGATAAAAAAAATTCCGAGTAAAATGGCTAGTGAAAAAGTCGAATTTTGTCTGAAGAAAAAACCACCCCGGGCACAACTATCACAAAAGTCGGAACAATAATAGTCTGTGTTAAAATCCTTAGCATTGGCTGTACTTAATAGCTGGTTATTGATAAAAACGAACACTTTCAAAATGAACACATTTTATCGCAACTATATTTGCGACTTAGGTTGGAAAAAAAAGATAGTTCATACTATAACACAAGCATTGCTTGAGTAAAAAAAGCCAGCATGGGTTAAAACAAAATATGGTATCCCAGACTCTTCTTTTCTTCCCCTTGCGCCGTCTGATTATTAAGGCTGCTCCGCCTAAATTCTTAGCTTTGCTTGGGTTAGCTAGAAATTTTCCAATGTTTACCATTACCCTATTATTCACAGAACCATGTATGTTCAAAAAATCGAATTCTTGAAAGATATTGAAAGGGTTTTAATGAAAGTGAAAAAAATTGCCAACCGAAGATTGAAAAATGAACGCAAGTAAACATTAAAAAAAACTCTTTGACTTGGTCGAAAAAATTTCAAATTTCGAAGGAAAAAATAGATGACCTTTAAGCTCTTTGAATTTCTAGAACGATTTACGACTGGCGCTTTTTTTAATAACCATAACCCAACTTGAGAAAACAGGATCAACAGGTAAATTTTATTCCGAAATCTAAAAAAAATAAACTCCATTTTCGAAACTAGAAATCGTAACTGTTTTTGGCGCCATTTCGACGTTCGTATTTGGACAGTGCTATTTACGTCACTTTCAGCAGATAAAAAAACAATTGAACTCAAAAATGCATATATACCTGAACGCATTCACAAATGCATCAATATGTATGAATGTGCACATCTGTAGTTATAAGAGACTTCTAAGACTTTTTCCTGAAAAAACACAAAAAAAATCTGCAAGACCTACTTAAAAGGCTTCACTACGTTCATAACTCTTAATTAACCACCAAATACCAGCTTTGATTCAAACAAAAACGTACCTAGGTAGTTAATCATTCCATTTTATTTAAAGTATTAGTCTCCATACAGCTGCAGTTTTACCAGCTGCATAAACTTGTAGCTTTTATTTATCACCAGATGAAGCTTTTATCACCTGTTATAATAAAAAGAACTTGATTGTATCTTAAATAATTGTGTTTTTCACTGGAACTTTCGGATCCACCAAAAATAGCAAAAAAACCTTCAAGGAACGGGATGAAGCTAGTTTCAGGAATTATTGTCCCATCTCGCTTTTGCCATCAATATGTAGAATTTTTGAAAAAATAATATATCAGCAGTTAATGGACTTTTTTGTGAAATTCGAATTTTTACCTCATTTCAATTCCGATTTCACAAAAAAAAAACACTCGACCCTTGACTGCCGAGCTAACTGAACGTGCGGAGCTTGATTAAAACCAGATAAAACTGTTAGCCTTGGAAAGAATTGTTTCAATTTTTGACAAAAAATTTGACAGTATAGCCAAATATCCCCATACTCTATCACCTAAGCTCAAAGCATAATTTTTACGCTTTTTATTTCATTTGGAACAAAAAAACCATATGGATTTTGCAAAAGGTCGAATAAACTCTTTTTGGAAGAGTTTTCCAAGAGTTTGAAAATTTGTAGGTCGCAGTTTCTATGTTACACATATAGCTTTTGCTATATAAACAAAGCCAACATTTTTGCGCTAAGTTTATGCAACGAAAGGTGACTTGTGTTAGAAAAAAGTTTTAGCTTTTATCACCAGATGAAGCTTTTATCACCAGTTATGAAAAAGAACTTGCTTGCATCTAAGCAAGGAACGAGTCATCTAAAGTTTCAGGAAGACGTTAATAGGGTAGGACATTGGCTTAGCTCTATTAAACTAACGTTAAAGCGAAAAATAAAATAAAATGCCAATTGCTACAATTCGGTAAACTCTCGCCCTCCGCTGTTACAAATAGACGGCCTTCGACTCCGTGTTAGTTCATGTGTTAAATACCAGGTTAAATTATTGACTCCAAACTTAGTTTCCAATTGGATATAGATAACGTAATTGCATTACTTTTTACGTTGTCTGCTTCGGTGCTTACCTCAGATTTTAGCAGGAATTCAATGACTTAATTGATTCTATGTTTTTGCCGTAGAAACGTTTACACAGAGGCGAAGCTGCACTTCGCATACACAAGCAAAAATATGACCGACAATGCTACTGAAAAAACTGAATGAGTATAACGGTACTACTATGATAGAGTGGTCCCTCGAAAAAGCAACTATGATAAACAGGTCCCGCATGCATTTCGCATGTGATAACTAATTTGTGTATAAATTATTCGTTTCAAAAATCTTGTAAAATATGTTCAGCCAGAAACTTTTCAGATTAAAAATTGTAATCACTACTGTTTATATATTGAAATTTGCTCGCTTTACTTTATTTTACGGTTTAACAAGCATATTATTGGGTTGACTTATTTGTCATCAAAACCCACTATTGGCGTTTTTTTTTTTAAATTTTCAACCTTAAAATGGCGAGGGGGAGGTTTTAAGAGGTAACAAAACATGAAATTTGTATGAGAATATACTGCGACATCTTTCTGAATGACAAAATTATAATGTTAAACGATTTGAGAGCTCTAGATGTCTTATTCTCAAGGGACCTGGTTATTTTCAAGGGACCACTCTATCATAGTAGTACCAGTATAACTTTGAGTCTACAAAATTTCTTAAGTGACGCACGCCAATTATCAGTCTACATAATTGCTAAGTGGCGCAAGCCAATTATGACGCATTAGCAGTACCAGTCAATTTTAAAAACCAAAATTACCAACTAACATGCCTCAATTCATAGAGCGGACGCATTCCAACTAGTAAACAAAAAATGATATAAAAAAAATTCGTCCCTGCCCAGGTTCAAACCCTCTTATTTTGCTGCTGGTCTCCTTCCCTACCTCTACGCTACAGAACCATGATACCTTGAAGTTAAAGTGCTATTTGTAATATAATAGTCTGTGTTAATATCCATAGCATTGGCTGTACTTAAAAGCTGGAGAAAAAATGAACTCTTTCAAAATGAACACATTTTGTCGCAACAATTGCATCGCAACAATTTTTGCGACTTAGGTTGGAAAAATAAGAAATTTCATATTATAACACAAGCTATGCTTGTGTAAACATAATTTAATTTAAAAAGTGACCTCGGAAACTAGCTTCGCTTGAATATGTACGTGAAGTAGACTGCTCCTCACCTCTCATGGTAGCTTGATGTTCTGGGGGTAGAAGGTCACAGGCTTTCCTGCCATAGTAGTCTCTGACGTAGGGTCCGGTCAGAATAGGCTCCAACACCTCTACTCCTCCCTTGCCTCCGTCCACTCCCGCCTTCATCGACTGTTTCTTCTTCAAACTGGGCAGCAAAAACAGCCTCGCAAGTGTAATTTTCTTCACTCCTGGGTCGTTATGAGCCAATCGCACTTGAGCTAGCGTGTGCAATGGTGTCATACCAATCTATGCAAAGAAGACAAAACTAAGTTACTTTGCTTCTCGGACATCCATAACTAATTATCGAAATTAATATCAAAACTAGAGTTTGACTACAGTTTGACTAAGTAGACAATTTTGCCAAATGCATTATCCCGTTTCACGCTGAACTACCTCCAACCAAAACCAAAATTAATTGTATCACAACACCATATCAAATTTGACTTTTTCATCAATGTTGACTAATTGGTCAAATACAATATCACATTTAGATGCAAAATCAACTTGTTTTTATTACAAATAAGCGCAAAAAAGGGACGCAATAATGCTTAACTCAGCCCATTTCATCATGGTTTATGTATCTCTTACCGGCATAATCACTTCAAGTCCCTAAATATAGTACAAAATAAAAGCTTTGGATATTTATGGAAACGCGTCACTTACATTGTTCACTATTGAAGCGTCAACGCCCCTGTTCTTGATTAACTCAATGGCCAGATTCACATTGCACTGAAACAATTAGTTGAATCCTTGACTGCATATTTTAATGCTTCGCGATAAAAATACCTTCGCAAAACTTTGAATAGCTGAGAACATTAGTAAACAGAAAACGCCCTTCAAAAACAGTGAATTAAGGTGAAAGCACATTAATTCCAAAGCTTTTAATATTGCCACCTAAAAACGAACAATTGCATCACGCGCAGTCGAAGCATTGCCATTTGTCTCATTTCTAAAAACTAAAAACTAATCCGATGAAGTACTTTCGAATGAAGTAAGTGTATTAATGCCTCACGCACACATTGAGCTGCGTAGTGCAGAACTGTGTTTCCGTTGATTTTGGAGCGATAGTTCACAAATCTGAAGTGTTGCTGGGGCTCCTCTTGGAAGGGGTGCTCCTCTAGAAACTTCTTAACTTGATCCAATTTGTTGCTACACATTGTGAACTCCCACTCTTTCTCCAACAGGCTCATCTGACACATAAAAGTATCAAATTTTAAAATTAGTCCAGCGCAATTTCATTATTGGAAAGCTCAAGTTTTCTATCATTTGTTAAAACCGATGGAATAAAACTGGGAAAAAAATTGTAGCTCATACCACAGATATTGAATTTTAAATTGAGCATGAACAAAAATTAAGACTCTCTCTCCCGTAAAGAACGACCGTAATAGAAAAACACAACGTTCGTGATCACCCAAGAGCTGACCACCATAGTAATTTCCCAATGATGAAAATTGACCAATACGAGCTTTAATAATAATTAGAGGCAAAAACTAATGTACTTCAATGCAACTGACATATCTCAGTTTCAAATGGTGAAATGGAACTTAGCTGCACGGCAAAAATTGCGACTTCTCTCGGAAAAAAAATTGGTTTCATACTGACACAGGATCGTCTCAAGTTGATTCTGCAAACTTTGAGCTGATTAGGCAAGCGGTTAAAATTGGTGAAAATTCAACCCTATTACGCGGGAACGGAAAATACAACGGTTTTTTATGTTGTTTTGCCCAAAAAAAACTTACTTCAACAGATTAGGGCTCATTACTATTTCTTGAAAATACAGTAGTCTTCCATATGTTCTCTTTACAATAAAGAGACAGCTGAAAATGAACATCATTAGTCCACTGGCAATCTACCAGGCTGGCTTTTTTAAACTGTTCATTAGACTGAAACTATACCGAAACTATTATCGTGAAACTATACCGAAAAATCTATTAATGATAATTGTATGATTACTTCAATTTTTATACGCGATTGATTATTAGAATTAATATGTTTGTAATACATTTTATTAATTTTTTAAAGTTAGGTTAGCAATCGCTTTTTAACCGATGTACCAAAATTTGTTCCTCATAGAGGTTCGGTTGCTTGCGTCGCAATAAATAAAAATTTGAATATTTTGAAGTTCCTACTTTTGTGTAGTGACAGCGTCATAGAAACTGAAGTATATTTATCATTCGCGAGCTGTATAGCAAATGTTGCCAATAATTTACCGGTTTGAAAAACTCGGACTGCTGACTCGTTATCGCATCTGTGGTGGCATTTTGTCCTTGAGCTAGTTGCTGCTCCACCTTCAGTTTCCCATCCATCTCCAGCTCCTTCTCCGCGTCTATGATGTCCTGTATCTTCTTCTTCACATGGCCCCCTTGCGACCCCGCCAGCAGCAACAAATCGTCTGCCATACGCTTGTCATTGTAGTCTGTGGGGATCTAAAACACACTAACAATCAAATCTCTTTTGGATCTTTTACCTACACCCTGCCCCTCCCACCTCATATAAGCATCAAATATGTTTGTCGTGTCCTAATAATTAGTCCGCATGCCAATTTTTCGATCACTCTGACTATGTGAACAAAAAACTTCTTCGAAGGTGGGAGAAAAGGAAGAGCCCACTTTTGTGCGCTAGAAGCCACAAAACTATCCAACACAATTTAAAAGATTTTGACTCTTTCGCCGCGCTTTAACATGCAAAATTCCATTCACCGTGCAAATTTGATAAAATCAGGGCAGTTATTCCCGAGCGAGAAAGAACAATCGATGAACACGAAATGTTAAGCTCTTAAGGTTGAACGCATTTTGACACTTGAACGAGAGCTATTTTTAAAGAAAGGTGAACTACTTTCGGTCCAAATTAATTGGAGACCAATAGATGGTCTTGATTTTCTAAACTATTTTTCAGCGGAAATCTTTAAACATAGCCAACAGACAGTTAGAAAAGGGTCAATGAACGCACGTAAACAGCAAAAATGACCTTAATGCTCTTTGAATTTCGAGAACAATTTATGATTGACACGTTTTTGAAAAACTCACCCATTTTGAGAAAACTGGAATTAAATTCCGTTTTCGAAAATAGAAGTCGACTTAATTTTTGAAAAAGTTCGGCTTTCGAATATTAAAAAAAACCCTTGAAACTCTGTGAATTTTCAGAACACTTATGACTGGCACTTTTTAAATCAAACTAACCCAATTTAAGAAAACTGGATCAATAGATAAACTTTTTATTCCGCTGCGAAATCTGCAAACTTCATTCGATTTTCCAAACTAGAAATTGATCACGTTTTTTGTGACCTTTAAACTTTCGCTGTTAGATAGTGGAGTTTGCCAGAGTACCATATAACGTCAAAAAATTCTTTCGTTAAATATGCAAAAATATTAGTTCAAAAGCTTAAACGTGGCGAGATAGTGAAGCCGTGAAAAAAATCAGAAAACTATCAGCACCTATAAAAAAGCCAGAACTAAGTTCATCGACTCTTAACAGTCGCAATCACAGGCGGAGGCTTGACATAGGACTTCTTTCTTTTTGTTTTTTTTGCGAAAAACACTTATAGGAAGTGATCGCAGCTGCCAAGTATCAAGATTTAAAACTGACAAGCGTGTAACGCACCTCCGGTGCTTCGAGTTTTAAGAACACTATAGAGAGCCGCATCTAGTGGAAATAAGATATACATCGTTTGAGTGTACTCTGATGGCACCTAATTACAGGGCTGGTTATTTCAAATTTTGTAAAGCCCTTTTTATTCAAGTTTATTTAAATTCAATCTTTGAAAAAACCATAAAGTTTTTACATCTTGTTCCTTCGAAAAATTTAAGAATGACAAAAAAATGTCACATCTCGGAAACTAAAAACAAATAGGCGGTGGCATTAGGACGCAAGACTTTCAACTCCTGAGAGTACTTTAACAAAACCCTGCAGGGCGTTGGGAATTTCAAATTTGGAAGAACTTTAATTTAAGTTTTCCATAACTTTTTCTTGACAAATAACAAAAAACGTCATATCTCAAAAACAATAAAGATTTTAGCATTCAAATTTGGAGGCAAAAATTTCAATTTCTGAGGGTACTCTGATGGCCCCCAAATACAGGGTTGAGAAATTCCAATTTTGAAAAAAAAATTCCCAAAATTGAAGTTATCTGAAAATTTTATGAAATTCACACAAACCGTCATATCTGAAAAATTGCTAAGATTTGAGCAGTAATATTTTGAGGCAAAAATCGAAACTCCTGGGAGTAGCCTCGCAGAACCTCACTATAGAGATGGGAATCTCAATCTTTGTGAAAATTGTTTTTATATAAATTCTTTGACCAATTTTAAAAAAAAGAGAACAAACGTCACAGCTCGGATACTAAAAGCGTTTGAGCAGTACTAATTTAACGCAAAATTTGCAAGTTAGAACTCCTGAGAGTACCCTTCAAGGTTGGGAATTTTGAATCATTTGAATTTTTAGAATCCAAGTTTTCTGAAAAAAAATGAAAAATCATAAAAAACACCATATGTCGAAAATCAACATGATTTGAGCAGTCATGATTCGACGCCAAAAAGCAACCTTTGAATGTAACCTGACAGCACCCCCTTGTTGGGTTGAAAACTCAATTTGGTGTAGTTTTTTATGTCTAAATTTTATCAACATTGAGAAAAAATCATAAAAAAAACACGTTATATCTCGAGAACTACAAGGTTTTTGAGCAGTCAGATTTGGAGACAAGATTGAAATCCTTGAAAGTATTCTTAGAGGACCCAATTTCAGGGTTGGGAATTTCAAAGTTTTTGAATTATTTGGTAATTTGTGTATTCTGGTACTCAAGTTTTCTGTTATAGCACATAAATCGTCGTATCTCGTACACAAAAAGGATTTGGGCATCCATAATTGGAGGTCAAATGCGCAACCCCTGCGGGAACTCTGACAACATTCCACTATTGGGCAGCTTATTTTAATTTCGGTTAAATAAACACTGAATTCACACAGAAAAATTGAAAAAACATATATTAACCATTGCAATATAAAAAAAATTCTTTCGTTAAATATGCAAAAATATTAGTTGAATAGCTTAAACGTGGCGAGATCGTGAAGCCCGCAATTAAACATATATAACAGATAGATTTAAACAAAACTTGCTTTGATTAACTGTAATCTTCAATATTGCATAAAATTTTTTAAGGGTTTTCGAGAACGAAATTTACGGCGAAACTTCTAACATTTTTTAGGCTTTAACTGATTCGCAAAAGATTTGGTTTACCAAGCATCCCATTCAAGTCATGGAACCTCGCAGACTCATCTCGATAGAATATAAAGACTTATCACTAAGTTTAACAGTCTACAAAAGAGCTTTGTTAAAATTCGAATGAGCCAAAATCCTGACGAGATAGCATGGCATTTCATTTTTTCGAAAAACGTAAGCTATAAGAGAATCTGTATGTTAAATGGAAATGACCAATTCATATAACGCATCGCTTAGGATTGTTTTAGAAAAGGTGAAGACCTAGAACCCAGGATAAACTTCAAAAGAATGGCGAGTAACACGTATTTGTATGGCTTATAGCAGTAAACGAAAGATGAAGATTTGAAAAAAATATAAAGATTTCGCTTTTTGTCTAGTTTTTGAGAGCTTGCAACATATTGGAAAACCATAAAGTTTTTACATCTTGTTCCTTCGAAAAATTTAAGAATGACAAAAAAATGTCACATCTCAGAAACTAAAAACAAATAGGCGGTGGCATTAGGACGCAAGACTTTCAACTCCTGAGAGTACTTTAACAAAACCCTGCAGGGCGTTGGGAATTTCAAATTTGGAAGAACTTTAATTTAAGTTTTCCATAACTTTTTCTTGACAAATAACAAAAAACGTCATATCTCAAAAACAATAAAGATTTTAGCATTCAAATTTGGAGGCAAAAATTTCAATTTCTGAGGGTACTCTGATGGCCCCCAAATACAGGGTTGAGAAATTCCAATTTTGAAAAAAAAATTCCCAAAATTGAAGTTATCTGAAAATTTTATGAAATTCACACAAACCGTCATATCTGAAAAATTGCTAAGATTTGAGCAGTAATATTTTGAGGCAAAAATCGAAACTCCTGGGAGTAGCCTCGCAGAACCTCACTATAGAGATGGGAATCTCAATCTTTGTGAAAATTGTTTTTATATAAATTCTTTGACCAATTTTAAAAAAAGAGAACAAACGTCACAGCTCGGATACTAAAAGCGTTTGAGCAGTACTAATTTAACGCAAAATTTGCAAGTTAGAACTCCTGAGAGTACCCTTCAAGGTTGGGAATTTTGAATCATTTGAATTTTTAGAATCCAAGTTTTCTGAAAAAAAATGAAAAATCATAAAAAACACCATATGTCGAAAATCAACATGATTTGAGCAGTCATGATTCGACGCCAAAAAGCAACCTTTGAATGTAACCTGACAGCACCCCCTTGTTGGGTTGAAAACTCAATTTGGTGTAGTTTTTTATGTCTAAATTTTATCAACATTGAGAAAAAATCATAAAAAAAACACGTTATATCTCGAGAACTACAAGGTTTTTGAGCAGTCAGATTTGGAGACAAGATTGAAATCCTTGAAAGTATTCTTAGAGGACCCAATTTCAGGGTTGGGAATTTCAAAGTTTTTGAATTATTTGGTAATTTGTGTATTCTGGTACTCAAGTTTTCTGTTATAGCACATAAATCGTCGTATCTCGTACACAAAAAGGATTTGGGCATCCATAATTGGAGGTCAAATGCGCAACCCCTGCGGGAACTCTGACAACATTCCACTATTGGGCAGCTTATTTTAATTTCGGTTAAATAAACACTGAATTCACACAGAAAAATTGAAAAAACATATATTAACCATTGCAATATAAAAAAAATTCTTTCGTTAAATATGCAAAAATATTAGTTGAAAAGCTTAAACGTGGCGAGATCGTGAAGCCCGCAATTAAACATAAATAACAGATAGATTTAAACAAAACTTGCTTTGATTAACTGTAATCTTCAATATTGCATAAAATTTTTTAAGGGTTTTCGAGAACGAAATTTACGGCGAAACTTCTAACATTTTTTAGGCTTTAACTGATTCGCAAAAGATTTGGTTTACCAAGCATCCCATTCAAGTCATGGAACCTCGCAGACTCATCTCGATAGAATATAAAGACTTATCACTAAGTTTAACAGTCTACAAAAGAGCTTTGTTAAAATTCGAATGAGCCAAAATCCTGACGAGATAGCATGGCATTTCATTTTTTCGAAAAACGTAAGCTATAAGAGAATCTGTATGTTAAATGGAAATGACCAATTCATATAACGCATCGCTTAGGATTGTTTTAGAAAAGGTGAAGACCTAGAACCCAGGATAAACTTCAAAAGAATGGCGAGTAACACGTATTTGTATGGCTTATAGCAGTAAACGAAAGATGAAGATTTGAAAAAAATATAAAGATTTCGCTTTTTGTCTAGTTTTTGAGAGCTTGCAACATATTGGAAAACGTTTTTGACAAACCATTCAAATGCCGACACTTTGAGTGGTTTCAAGTTTCTCTGGCAAAATAATGGAAAAAGTTAGCTAGGGTAAAATTGCAAACGTTTTTTCTTCAAGAGCTATGCAATCGATGAAATTTTGAAATATTTTCAGTTGATTGATTTCAAAGCTTCAATTGGTTTTTCGTAGCCTGTCTTTTATATGCCAAATTTAAAAGCTAAACATTTTTGTGAAACGTTCTACAATATTTCACACACCATCCCTATTTAGTTACAAGCCAGGTTGATCTCCAGCAAAATCGGTTGAAATTTGCACTATTTTCAGATATATTAAAAATGCTTTTTTTGCAAAGCTCAAATCATTTACTTAAGTAAGTTCTTGAAACTTGATCGAAAAAGCCTTGATCGAAAATGAGTTTGAAGTTGAAATGTCAATGAAAATAGATTAGATTTGAATAATCTGTTATTTATGCGTTCCGTCTGTTTTCTGTGTAGGTTAATACCTCCAACTATCAAATGCAGATTTGATATCACCAAAATATCAACGGAGAGTTCTCTTCAATGTCCGTTGAACAAAATCTACCAGTGAAAACACTCCTGTGGCATATAGAACTGCCATTTTAGTAGATTGAAATTTTCTCGTGATCTTATAAACTTGGGAAACTGAGAAGGGCTTCCAACCTATATTTCTGGATCTAATTAGAGGTTAACGGTGCAAACGGCACAATTATACGTCGCTATAGACAAATGGGAGACGCCATAGATTCAAATTTACTGCATATTAATGCCAGGAAGGAGTGGTGCTTAGGAAAATCAAGAGGATTAGTGTATTGCGACACAAAACAAAATTGAGAGCAGCTTGAAATTGAACTGAAATCAGATCAAAAACAGACTTACATGCACATTCTTCAGAATATTTATTGAACGAAAAAAAAATGAACAGAAGTCTCTATAAACCCGAGGAAATCGATAAATATTGGCGTTTTAATGTGAAGCTTTTTGAATTTGAAAAACTGTCTACGATTGATATTTTTTCATAAAACTAACCTAGTTTTCAAATGTTTTTTAATTTTATTGGCTAATTTAAAAACAAAATACACTTTCAAAACTAATTCGAAACATTTAGGCTCATGCTTATATCGCACATGGTTTTTTAGAAATAACCAAGCAGCGGTGAATGCGCTTTACCTCAGCAATTACTTAAAACATGTTATTTGAAATGGAATCTATGTAGAAAACCTTTGTACAACCAAAATGACCAGAAACAGAAAATATGAACATAGCCAACGGACAGATCGAAAATGATCCATAAACGCAAGGAGACTGTAAAAAATATATCAACCCTAAAATCGCTAATTGGCTTGTGTAATATAACTAACCCAATAAGAAAAAAAAACAGAGTTACGTGATTTGTTTACACAGAGGCGAAGCTAAGCTTCGCACCACTTGCGATTGAAAACAAACAAACAAGACTGCTCGTATATCAAGGCAAATTGTGCCGATTACCTTCTAAGGTCTATGGAGCAGTAATAACATGAAAAAATTATATGTTATAAAATAAATTTTTTTTTATAACTTGAGATTTTTTGTGAAAACCGTCCCCCCCCCCCAAACGCCGAATACAGAATAAAGTACAAAGTGATAAATTTCGCTTCTAATAACAAATCAATAATGGCAATAAAGCTTCTTTCACCCAATTTGGAATGATTTCAAAGGCGGATTAAACCTCAACTTGCTCGGTAATAGCGCGAAATATATCGCGCGTTAACTGTCCCAAATTGGCGAAAATGGAAATCTTTAAACCCCAATAGCTTTACAAAAAATGATCAAAAGTGAAATATCTGAAATTGAATATTTTTAAAAAATCTGTCAAAAATGGCTAATTAAAAGTCCAAATTTGTCTAAAGAAAAAACCATTCCCGAGCACAAATATTCCGTGACGAAAGTCGAAACAAAAAAATAAGTCGAAGAAAAGGAAAAGGTTGAAAAAAACTAGTTCTACCAAAAATCAAATTTTCGTTTGTCTCGATAGATGTTCATTCTAGGCTAACTTGACAGGAAATTGAGTATTAAATTAGCGTCGAAAAAAACTTACGAAGAGGAAACAAAACAGACAACCTTTGAGCAGACACAAGTTCCGCAGAAAAATATAATTTCATAAAAAATCTTCAAAATTTTAGGTCCCACCTGAGACTAGAATGAATAAAACCTGCACTTTCAACAACTAAAATCAAGAAAACAACTACAAGAAAAGAAAAATTAGTGATGTAGCAACTAAGCCGACAATCTTTGAGCAGACGACTGTTGAGCCCAAAAAAAAATGATTTGAGAAATTTTAAAAGTTTCAAGCACACCTCTCTGAACCTTCAAAGAGAACACTTGAAAACAGATCAACGCGCGAAAACCGATCAAATTAGCAAGACGTGAGTAAAAAACAATAAATTGTTTCATTAGCGAGCCAAAACAGAAGTTATTTCACTAGTGTTTTAATTTTGTTGAAACTACCCATACTTGGAAAAACTCAACGAAATCAATAGGAAACCAAGCAGACATCAACTCAACTTGTCATAGCAAAACGATGAACTCGTCTAGTTTTTTTGATAGAAATTTATTAATTTCTGATTTACCGGCAATTCAAGCTTGTTTGAAATTAGTTTTTCAATTGAATTAGCTACTTTCACAAAACAACATGGACTTGAAAGCGATGAACTAATATTTTCAATTGTTGTAGAAAAACTTCAGAAAATAAACAAAAAAATTTGCGAAATTTCATGAATTCAATTACTTACACCAGAATTGATATGAAAAAAATAATTGATTGAACAATCAAAAGCATCCAAGGCTCAAATCAAATTTAATGTGCAAACTGAAAAAAATAGACAAAAAAAATCAGAAAACTTTTTTAATTCAAAATTTAATTTAAATAGAAAATTTTTTGTGTAAAATTTTCACTTTTTTAAATTGAATCTGCGAAAATGATTTAGATTAAGCTGACGGAATTAAAGCCGACACTCAAGCGCCGAAAAGATTTCTCCACAAATTTCTCTACAAAAATACTTTTACAGGAACTCATAACAGGCACACAAGGCTCATGCCTAACACGTACCCACTACATTCACCTCTACAGTAAACACGTATAATATTTTCACGTGCGAACTCTGTGCCTAAAGCTATTTAAGGGAAAAAAGTCTAGTACCCGATTGCAATACCATTGCTTATGGAAAGGGTAATTACACTGGGAAAAATAACATTTCAAATTCAAATTTCCAAACAAAAAAAAATCATTCACGTTTTTTCGAGTTAACTGTACCTTTGTAATTGGAAAACGTAATTTGCCTTAATTAAAGAGAAAAAACTTGAGTTACACTGAACAAAATCAGAAGAACTGCGGGCTGTTACTCTTAAATAAAAGGATCAATTCAATTTCGAAAATAGACAATCAACAATAAGCATTAATGTCAGAGAAAAAAAAGTTCTAGCTTTTTGACAATATTGCTTGCGCCTCAAGCTAAATTTTGAGAAAAAAAAACAGGCCAACAAATTAGTTCGTCAGCAAAATTTTAGGGTCAAATTGGATTTATTAAACGCAAGTGCTAGGACTCCTTGAAATAAGCAGCACTAACGAGAAAAAATTAGGAGACCAAAAAGTGACCAGGTCACTTAAACTGGCCAGTTTGAGCAGCTTGGCATGAGCATATGTCACATTAAAAAACTGCAAACTGAAGTAAACTTGCTTTTGACAAAAAAAATATAAAATAAAAAAAACTGCAACATACTGCAAATCATCCAATCCTTCAACCTCCAGAGCCATTAGACGCTTATATAATCTATAATTGGCTCTGATTCAAATCACTTGCTCAGAAGCAATCATGCAAGCTGGCTGCTATCTACGGACCAATTCTCAATTTTAGACATCGGCTTTCGAAGATATCTAGAACTCCACTGATATAAATGTTAAATGAAGGACGTTAAGGTGTTAAAATTAGCTTACAATGAATATTCTGAAAAAATATAGAACAACAATTGCCTAGACCAACGAGTTCAAATTGGATTTGACATAGCGTTACCAGAGATAACAGCAAAAAAATTAGTGAGTTCGTTGTGAGTTCCATTTTATATTACGGTGTAACGATTTACGTTCAGCTTTTCGAATAACAAAAACCTGTCCAAAATGAGCTTCTGCAGACTTAAATATTGGGCGAAGAAATATTTTAGCTTGTACAAACAATTTCGAGTCATGGCGGTGACATTTTTGTCCTAATACGCGCAGTCGGATCTTTTCAACGTTTTTACCTAGCAACGAATTGCCACCCTTATAAAAAAAACTAATTCAACAGGTTAAGCATATGTGACCTAGAAACGAGTCTCCCCTTTTGCAGGGATAGTTAATGAGATCCGCTCAGTTTTTTCATGAGAATATTTCATGCCAAATAGAGCAATTGTTGGACAACATTGTTAAAACAGAAAACACCAGTTCACCTTCTTAAAACAAAACACACCAACTGCATACTAAGTCATGCCATTTCGTGCCATGCAGTTACTCAGGTCAAAATAGACAGTTAGTCATAGATCTAACACTGAAAATATTAAGTTAGCCAGTTGCATCGCATGCTGGGTGGGTAATTCACACCCACTTCTCTTCTGACCTTTGGGCCGCCTTGGAAAGTGTCGCTGATTTTGTCAACGACCTTGTTCATGAGGGAGGCGAAAGACGCCTCTACCTCCTGGTCCTCCTCTGCAACTATATCATCTTCTTCTACTATGTCACAAGAAGACGTTGACGACTCAACCGATATGCAGTCGTCCTCGGCCAAGTTTCCACATACACTGCTCTTCATGGTCAAATCAATTTAGTTCGGTAAATTTATATCCTTCGGCATTTTTTTTTCGAATGATTGACTTCTCAGGGTTTTGATATTTATATCTATCTTACATTAAAATATTACTAAAAATATTCGAACGAAAGAGTTTTTTTGTAAATTGAAATCAGTTAAAACATTTTTTTATTCAACAAACATAGCTTGTTTAACAATTTTTACAATGATTTGATCTTGTTCAGACAACATGGAATATGTATTATGATAGTCTAACTGCTTACCTTGGCTTTATTGGTATTCATGATTCTTTGATTGATTGAAGGACTTCGCGATTCTTGTCTGGAGTCCGATGCCGAATGTGTTAGCAAACTCTGAAACTGAAGAATCATAGCCAACAGACAGATGGAAAACCATTACTGGACTCACGACAAAGGATAGCTTTTCAAAAGCAATGAAAATTAAGGTTTTTTTACACACAGGCAAAGCCAGTAGTTAGTAGCTTCGCCCCAATTGCAATCCAAAAACGAACGAATATGGTAAAAAATTATAAGTACAAATTTAATGTATTTCGCAAAATTAAATCAATAACCCAGAGGCCGAGCTTCTCAAAAATTTTTAACGCAACTTATAGAATTTCACAAAAATGAACTGAGAACTAAATAACAATATGAACAGCAATTCATTGTCATAGAACAAATTGCAGAATCTCTAAGGAAGTCGTCAGAGTAAAAAATATATATCTTCGTATGAACCTAAAAATGTTTGAAAACATTGAAAGCCGATGAAATCTCGCTTTCGGATAAAACTGTAAAACTTCGAGTAATAAATTCCAAATAGCTCTCGCCAGTAGTTAGAAGTATTTGCGCGAATACAAAAAAAAATATCAAAGAGCTTGGAAAATATACATTGAGTTTGAAGCGAAAAACCGCCAATCAAAATTATTTAGATGACCCTTTGAGATCATTTTGCTTGTTCGTGCAATTGAAACTATAATAAGCAAATCGTTTGCAAAAACTGCAACGACAAGAAATAACTTCGACAATATCTTCGATATGTAAAAAATCCAGAACAAATTTCATATGACCTTGAATTGAGCACTCGAACAAACCATTGACTAGAAACTAAACCGAAACCAGCAAAAATTAAAAATCAATAATTAAAAAAAGCATCAATGAAAATATTTTAATTTATTTATCCGCACGCACAAAACTTTCAAAAACAATTATTAACTTAGCTTCTACTGAACAAATGATGACTTTTTTGCCCAGGCCTTTTTAGTTGTTGATGTTGTTCGTGAGGGACGAGTTCTATGATGTCGTGGGAGTAGACCTCCCTGCTCTTGCGAGATACAATAGGCCTTTTTAGTCGCAAGCATGCTTGTTACCTCTACGTCAAATACACAGATTGGTTCACTGAATTTGAATTTATTTTTACCTAATTATTTGATGGCTCCTTGAAAAGCATCCAGAGATATCGTTTCCATACCTCGGGACTATAGCAAAAGGCTTGAATCATAAAAAGATTAAACGATGAATTCAACGCAGAGGCGAAGCTATGCTTCGCAAACACAAGCAAAATATGCCAAAAAAGATGCAGGAAAATGCAAAGAGCAAACAGGCAAAAAAGTGAAATCAGGAGTATCACGTTGTCACATCTGCTCCACGACCGCTTGTAACTTAACCGACAAGAAGGTAAACATAAGCCCAACACCAATGAGGCAGCCAAGTTTCTACCCCGTAGCCAATTTATGCAGAAAAAAAAAAATTCGACCAAAAAATAAAACTATTTAAATATTCCGAAATTGAATATCCGACCAGTTGATTAGGAGTCTCACGTCCTTACATCTGCGCCGCACTCACTTGGAAAAAATTTGTGGCCTAGCTAATGCTGGATCTACCATGTTCTAATACTTTTAATCATATATTGTACTGATACGGCAATGCGTAAATTTCAAAATTTCAAATAAAGGACCTTACGCTAAACCCTTGTATTTCTCTGCTTACGCAGGGGATTCACCGCTTATTTAAAAGAGAAAACTACGACTCACTCTTTCAATTGAAGTCTTGACCTCAGACTTGGCTGGGTAGTTTTCGAAAATAAGTGAAAAAGATCGATCAAAAATGTTAAGAAATTGACATTTCACAAATTTATTGATTTTGTCTACTAAAGCATGGGAATAGCCATGCTTCCGCAACCTGATTTTTCTAGATTATAGATTTCCGCACCCTGACTTTGTTTAGATTGAACCCCTAATATCAGATTTAGCAAGCAGTTTTCGAGATTAGTGACGAAAGTTCTAAAAAAAGATTAAAAACGATTTTTTTCCGAAGTCATTATCTTCTTTTCTACAAAAAAAAACAGAGTAAAGCACATAACGCAGGAAAAATCGAAGCCCCTTGATAGTTTAAATGAACTATCAACTTCAGAATCAGCAGGATAGTTATTGAAAAAAAAGAATAATTTTCCAAAAAACGAGCAAAATTTCAAAAACTGTTGGACATTTTCTTAGGCCATAGTTTTTTCAAAACGCAAGGCATAGCCGCTTGCGCGGGTAAGATTCACATAACTGCTTTTTTCAAACTTCGGTTGCACCCTTAATCTCCGATTTGTCAGGGTAGTTTTTGAGAAAAGTCAAAAAGTTTTAAAAATCAACCAAAATACAAAACCGAATTTTAGGTAACTGCCATTTGAGAAAAAGAGATCCCCATAATTTGTTCTATTGATTAAAACCATCATCTCAGATCTGTGCTTTTAATATTTGAGAAACTCAAAACAAGTAGGCCAAACCCCCTTCTGAAATTTTCGAAGGCCGTAGAACGAGAAGTAAATGAATGAAGACTAGCAAAAATTACAGGCACATAGAAGAGCAGCTTGTTTTTCCATTGGTACTATTTTTTTGAAACTCAGTACAGCAGTTTTTGAAGGACATTGAAATCTCTGCGAATAGTGCAAAAATTTTCCACGCCGCAAAAAAAACGAACAACAACAAATCCCATACATTTTCATAATACAGGTTTTTTTCAAACAGGACCAAACAACGCAGTAAATTATGCCATTGAATTGTGTATGCTTAAATTTGCTTAAAGCTTAAATATGATTCAAACAAATATATCAAAAGTGCCACCAAATCAGAACTTTTATTTGCGACTTAGGTTAGAAAACAAATTCTTCGTAATAATACACTACGCTTGGCTTGTGTAATTAACGAAGGAAATCGAATAATAGCTGATCATTCAATCTGCCAAAATTATCACAAGAAAAACACCGCACCGCAATCTGATAGTTGCTTTGACAAAAAAAGGTTCAAATAATAGAGAATTTTTGCTCGACAACGTACATTCTACAGCTGTGCCGATAAAATACGCAGTGAGACACCAGCAAGTGTCAGGAGCAGGGGCGGATTTAGGGGAGAGGAGGGAGGCCGTTCCGACCCCCTGCCGACCCCTTTGTACTATTTTGAGATATTCATTTTTAGCTGACGGACCCTAAAATTTTCTCAAGGCGCTGTGATCACACAGATTCAAAAAGGGAAACTCAAAAACAGAGAAACAACTTAAGCATAGATTGATTCGGCAATTTTTTTTTCAAACATTTCTTTAACACATTCAAATTCAGCTGAAAAAACATGCTCTTACGCCATATTTCCTCAGGTCGGTACAAAAAAGGAAGGCATGAACAACAAGCAGCACTCACTCCGATTGAGTATCTTCTGGGTTTGAGGAAGGACGGCTGGATCGTCAGAAATTTCTCACTCTAAACACATCACAGAATCATTAGATTATCTATAGACACCCTTGTAAAATTGAAAACTGCGTAGGCGCACAAAACATGTCAGACCATTTTTTGAAAAATCACTATGCCCCAAATTATTTTGAATATCTTCTAAGGAAACTATAATTTCTCTATCCACAAATTCTCCTAGATTAAGCATCAAACAGAAAAACCGTGTTAATTAGCGCTTTTTTTTGTCTGAAACTCTCAAGTTACCTTTGATTTGGAGGCCATGAAGCTAAATTAATTCGCGCGTTACACCAATGGACGAAAGTAATGGTAAAGCTTATAGCTTGTACAATTGCTGCCCAGAACAGATGAAAGATATGATTGTGTTTGGCTAGTCTTTATCATTACCAACACCAAACCCAGACGCTTAGAGACATTGAATGACTGCGTTTCAACAACATACCCATTAATCAAATCAACATCAAACTCTTATCAGAAGAAATGTTGTTTATTTTATCCTTTCGCACCGAGAACACTTCTTTGCTAGCTATACTCAATCTCATCAAACTAAGATGATTGTGAGATTATTCGTAACCGACGATAATTTGTACAGGCGACAATTCGAATCAAGCGACATTTCTTAACATATTGGTCACCTCTGCACTTATATTTTTGTGTTTTCATCAGTGTTAATCGCTTAAAATTACGTTACCAATTGTCGTTTATTACGAATTAAGGCTTGTGGAATTGCCGTCTTATAAAACTGAATATCAGAGTTGACGGTGAGGAACATCTTGAAGAGCGCGCCCCATCCCAACCCATACACCCTCTCCCTTCCTCCTCTAAAATCAATTGCGGCAAAAAGCGATGGGGAGAAAACTTCAACCTGAAATTAAAAAAGTAACCCAAAGCACCGAACGCTAACGCATAACACAAAGCATATAGAGTAAACAAAATTACGCACATCTATTTCTGATACTTTACAACATGAGTTGATTGCATTTTGAAACACAACTCGGTTTTTCTCTGAAATTGAAATTCAACTTGTTTCAATTAAGTTACGCATGGGAAAACCCGTAGCTGATTTGACCACTAAAGCAACATTATCTGTTTCTGCGCTTAACGCCACCATTTGGAGCCTTGACTTGAATACATGCACCGATTCAAAAAGAATGAGCATTTTTCGTCATATAATAGCCCATATAGATTATCCACACCAAAAACTCGTATTGATTTGCAACACATGTAGAGCCCTAGCTAGATATAAGGTTACATTAGCTCTTTGATTTGAGATAAGTGATTTCAGGGTGAAAATATGCCTTAACTTCTTTTACTACTGCTGGTTTACGAAAACTAGCCAGCAAAAAATTTAAAAATGTCAGCGCACATCGTTTATAATTACAACTGCAACACGTCACTATCCAATCCACAAGTTAATGGTGCGTGCTAATGGTCAACTATGGCCAAATATCAGCTTTCACAGTTACTAGTGGTTTCATTATCTTAGATCCTATCAATGGAAAGGAAAGAAGCTTGCATTTCAGCAATTAGACCTATCTCGAAAACGGATAGCTAGAGCAGAAACAAAGTCAACTGAAAGTCGGAAAAGAGTAATGAACGCAAGGAAACTGAAAAAATCGACCTATTTTTTTTCCCCAAAAATCTTCAACTTCTGATTTGCGAAGAAAAAATGGATGGCCTTAAAGCTCTTTGAATTTGTAGAACAATTTATGATGGAAATTTTAATGTTAAAATTAACCCAATTCGAGAAAATTCGATCAATAGGTAAAACTTTCATTTCGCTGGGAAATCTGATAATTCGAAATTAGAAGTCGATCGCGTTTTTCGTGACCTTTACACTTTTGCTGTTCGATTGTGGAGTTTGCCTTCCTTTTAGCAATAGAAATGCACTGAAATTAAAAAGAAATCACAAGTAAAACCGCGAAAAATCAAAATTGAGCGTGAACAAATTATAAGACTTTCCACGAAAAAAAAACATCAGCAAGACCTATATAGACTCACTACGATCATTACTCTTAAAAATCGAATTTATCAAAACTGAAGAGCAAAAAAAAACGGAGATAATGTGGTGGTAGGTGCAAGTTGAGCATAACTTACGACGCATGTCTTGGTCTAATGTGGCCAAGTAGGGTCCGAACTGGTGGACTAGTTCTCTGTTGGGGATTGTGTTGTGTCCTCGGTGTACTTGGCGAGCTAGATATTTGATCACTTCGTCTTCTGATAGCAACATACGATTATTTTCTGAAAGAAGAAAACAGTTCAAAAATTATTCTGTACAATTGAGCCAAATTTATTATCCAAATTATTACTATGTTGAGTCCAGCTCATTATAAATTTGAAATAAATTGGGCCTTTTAGGCCAGTGGGCTGTTGCTCATGAAGCTTTTAGCTTTGCTGAGACTGCTTGCAATGAATTAGGGGCGTTCAACAGTGCCGAAGTACAAAAGTGCCGAAACTGAAAATGTGTTCAACAGTCTCAAAAATTGATCATAGTTGATAATTTTGAGTTCTTTTTGTGAATCGTTGGCAGTTTTGCGTAAAAACTGTTTTTTTTTGTGGAGCGAAATCGAGAAGTAAAAATGACAATTTGCTGAGTTAATTGTTAGTTCAGAAAAACTCATGACGCCGCGCTTGGGAACTTATGTTTGTTTAACAAGCGGCATCAATTAAAATGGCCATTTTTGTCTTTTCAACTACCGTCCATTTGAATATAATTACTTGTCAGTGATTTGGGATGAATGAAGACAGTATTCAAAATATTTTTCGGCACTGTTGAACAACATTTTCATTTTTGGCACTGTTGTACTTCGGAACTGTTGTGCTGCCCCAATGATTTTCTAAATACCAAATTCAAATAATGACGACGTGAGCTGAAAGCTTTAAATTGAAATTCTTTCATAGCTGAAGACCCAATGCGAAGGGCAAACCAAGCTCATTGCTTCAAATATCAAAAGTAGCCTAGACACAGAGGCGAAGCTGCACTTCGCAAACACTTGCGAGAACACGACGAAAATGCAACTCTATCAAGTGACATAAGAAAAAGTAGAAAAAAGCCTCGAATTTGCAAAAACTCGAGGCTTAACAAAAACTCGAATTAGAAAAAATCTGCGAACTAGCAAAGATGCGTCTCACGCACTAACCATTCAACTTAAAATCTCCGAAAAATTAGCCACCAATAATGCAGCTACATATGCTAATAAATGGCCAATTCGATGCAGCAAAAGTAGCATCAAATACAATAAGATACAATTTTGCATGTAAAAAGTCGCAAACCATAAAGCAACATTATGTATAAGTTATGCATTTCAAAAAATTGCGCAATATATTGAGTCAGAAAATTTCTGATAGAGATTTTATTATTGATACGTTGTTTGAAACAAACAGCTTTCTTCGGTTCACTTGATGAATTAAAAATGCATCAACAGTGTAAACTTACAACTATTCGAATGTCAAAGCACATCTTATCAATAAGCTGTAAAAGTGCAACTAAATATCAAAGGTGTAACAAAACATCAAAATATCTTCTTGTCAATTCGATGCAGCAAATTCGACGCAGCAAATATTTGTGCTTTAAGTTGCAACAATAATTGCGACTTAGTCGCAACAATATTTGCGACTTAGGTTGGAAAAAAAGAAAGTTCGTACAAGAACACATTGCTTAGCAAGTGTAAAAAAAACCTAACAAGCTCTTCATTCGCAAAAAAATTAAAGCGCTAAATAATATTGAGAGAACTTATTTTATCTAAAAAGTAATTTCAAACCAGTTTTTCTCGACACTCAAACTTTTTCGAATTTCACATCAATCGAATAGCATGCAAGATAGGTAGCTTGCGAACATGTGAGTTACGCAGTAGAATTGCAGGCCGCTCACAGTAGAACGTTAGATCAAATGTTATTCCGCTGCCATGGCCAAGATACGGAGTGGGGATCTTAGATTCATATCATAAGATCACTAGCGAGAACATATCTATAAAGTGAAAAACGAAGAATTCCTTTGATGAGTAACGATTGTTTTTTGAGTAATTTAGCGCTTTTGGAATCAAACACTTCAAAAATTCAAAAAACAGATATATTTTTTTAGTTTTTCTAGTCGAATATGCCTAATCTCCTTCAGCAGTTTTTCCTTCAGCTTTTTTTATCACATCACGCCAAAAACAACGACACGAATTTGAAAAACTTAAAGCTTGAAAAAATGCACCATGTGAGCTCATTTTGGTTTTTTATGACAAGTTAACTTAGAAATTGTTGGTTACACGACATTTGCTCGGGGTTCTACGCCAAAATAATAAGGGGCTTTTTGGTTTCAATATTCTTCGTAATTATTTAGCTATCAACAACCAAGTTCGCTTCGCCTCTTTTCTTGATGGTACTATTTGAACGGAAAGTGCGCAATTCTTCAAGACTGTATATTGACTCATTTTAGGATATTATTCAGAAAAGTTTTTTTTCAGACTTTTTTAAAACTTTTTTCTGCTAGTCAAGCGTTATGCTAGTCGATTGTTCTCCACTTAAGTTCACATGTGCATTTTAATTTGAAAGTCACAAAAGCTCAGATTAGATGAAAAAATTCAGAGAAATCAATTATGACATTGTGAAATTAAAATAATTTTATTGCTTCTAGGTAAACCCTATCAATGTTAGTTCAAAATCCCGAAATCATTAAGGAATGAATTCTGTTTTCTTTTAGTTGCGTAACAAAATGCGTCCAAGTTTTATAAATTAATCCAATTTTGATAATTCTGTGGTTACTATCAAGATTAATGCGCCCAAAAGAAAGATATTTTCGAGCTTCTGTAGCTGCGACGCAAATTTGAAAACAGCGTATGGAAAATTCAATTCGCTAAATATTCTGCAGTATTTATGCTGTTTAAGCTAATTTAACACTAAGATGCCTTTCTGAAACTGTTGCGTCTTTCGCATGATAGCCCCTCCCCCCTCTCCTCTGTTTAGAAAAATTATTGCCCCTCCATAAAAAATTACTGACCTCCACTGAACTTGGGGTGGGGGCTATAATGGGAAGAAAGTCCCCTATCGTTGTCATCAGCAGCGGATTTAGGGGGGGGGGGGGACGAATTCCGCCTTTGTACTGTTTTGAAATATCCACTATTGGCTGACGGACCCTAAATTTTTCTACAGGCGCCATTAATTACTACCAGTGTGTAACGCACCTCCGGTGCTTCGAATTTTTCACAACTCATAAAAAACCGTAAAAATTGGAAAAAAAATCAACATCCTTTGAATTTACTCAGACAGCAACGAATTACAGGGTTGGTAATTTCAAATTTTGAAAAAAAATTCTATTCAAGTTTTTTCAATTCAAATTTTTAAAAACCATTAAGTTTTTTTATATCTAAGTTCTTTGAAAAACTTTAAAATTTTTTGAAAAACTAATTGGGCAGTCGCATTTGGACGCAACACTTGCAAATCCTGAGAGAGCTCTTACAGTACCCAACTACAGCATTGGGAATTTCAAATTTTGAGAATTTTTAAGTTTTATAAAAAAAAAACTTTTTGAAAAAACCAGAAAAAATGTCATATCTCAAAAACAACCAAAAGATTTGAGCAGCCACAATTGGAGGCAAGATCTCTCGCAATCCCTGAGAGTACTCTGACAGCCCCCAACTACAGGGGTTTAGGAACTTAAAAATAAAAAAAACAAATTTAAGTTTTCTGAAATTTTTTGAAAAAATAATAAAAAACGTCATATCTGGAAAACTACAAAAAGTTGAGCAGTCACAGTTGGAGGCAAGATTCGCAACACCTGAGGTCTTGAGACCACTCTGACAGACCCAAACTAAACGATTGGGAAAATCAAATTTAGAAGAAATAAAATTAAATCTAATTTTTCTGAAAACTTGAAAAAAATCACAAAAACGTCTTATCTCAAAATCTACTTCAAATTTTGTGAAATTACTTATATCTAAGTTCTTTTAAAAATGTTGAAAAAATCCTAAAAAACATCAAATCTGGGTAACTGCAAGGATTTGAGCAGTCATATTCAGAGGCTAGATTCGCAACTCCTGAGAGTACCCTCACAGTTTCCAACTACAGAATTGAGATCTTCAAAGTTTTTGAATTTTTTTTTGAATCTTCCAGAAATTTTTTTTTGAAAATTTGAAAGTTTTTTTTTGAAAATTTTTGAAAAAATCATTAAAAAAACACCATGTCTCGAAAACTACAAGGATTTGAGAAGAAAGATTTGGAGGCAAAATTTGCATACCCTGAGACTACCCTGAGCATACCCTGAGACTACAGGGTTTCGAATTTCAAATTTCCAGAAACTTTTAAAAATTAAATTTTTCTAGAAATTTTTGAAAAATCTCGAAAATTTCGGTATCTCGTAACCTAAAAGAATTGGAGGCCAAAATCGCAACATCTGGGGAAACCCTGACAGCATCTCACTATTCGGTTGCTACTTTCAAACTTGGTGAAGTAAACACTGATTTCAAATTGGAAAATCGAAAAAAATTCTTTTGTTAAACATGCAAAAATAATACTTTGAAAAAGCTTAAACATGGCGAGATAGTGAAGCCCGCATTTTAAATATGTAATCGATTTCTGAAGGAAAGCACGCGCCAAAGAAACGCGATCTGGCTTGTTTTTCAAAAAAAGTCTGCGGCGCAGAAAGTTTGGCCAAAAGAGGGCCTTTTTGAGGTTGCTTGGGTAGAGTTAGAAAAATCAAATTAGACAACCTAAGAAAGTCGACATAATTTTCAATTTTTTGATTATCCCCCTCCTCGAGAAAATCCTAGATCTCCCCCTGGTTGTCACTAGTATTTTTTTTCTCTGAAGCTTTCGCCGAATATTTCAATCAAAAATCAGGCGAAATCGACAGGTCCAGAGAAAAATAAACGCTTATTTCGCATAAAAAATTCATGAGAGGTTTTCTGAACTATCGAAATACTCTAAAAATCTCAACTGTCAATTATTCGAGTATTTTGATGAAAATTGATTAACAAAAAAGCTTAAATTTTCAAATTTAACTTTGAGCATAGTTTTTTTTTGTTTTGACGACCAGATTTAGGGATAAAGGTTTATGTTAAAGAGATGCCAAAGCAAATAAAGATGCCTTAGTGTTTCAACGTTTTATTCAACTACTTTATATCCAATCAGGAACCAAAACAGGAACTTATGTCAAATATCACCATGCAATTATAAGATTTAAACTTCAAAGGGAAAAAATGTAAGGTTTAACAAACCCTGAAAATTAACTGAGCAACGATATAAGAAGTTTGCATCTGAAAGAAAGTTGGGACACAAACATAGAATTCTACGGTGGCAGACAGATGTTGACTAAGATATTGAAAATTTTGTCTGATTTCATTTTCATTTTGAGAAAAACTCGAGAAAAAACATCACCGGCGTTTAATAAGTAATCAGAAAAATTTATGGAGTAGTAACTAGGCCGACAAAATTAAGGAAAACTCCCATTGGGCCGGAAAAAACTTGTTGTCATGAAAAACCTGAAATTTTACGCAGCCCCCTTCCGAAAACAGAAAAGATAAAAAACGTCTTTTGCTTTCAAGCCACACAAAATGACAACATTAAGCTGAAAAAAGCTGAGCCAAAACAATGAGACCAAATAACAGATTTAGTATATTTACAATTTACAGCGTTCCAGACACAGCCATAAGAGAAGCTAGAAATTTGAATTTTTTGTTCACCAAGCTATCTTGTTAGCCCGAAAAAAGTCTATATTCCGATTGATACACTTGCTAATCTTAAACAGAACACAGAGACGAAGCTGCGGTTCGCAAAGACTAGCCAGCACACGACAAAAAGCAGCTCTATAATGTGCAAAAGGAAAAAGTTGAAATTAACCTCAAATTAGTTTAAAAAAAATTGCTACATCTCGGATTCGAACCTACGACCTAGAGATTACGAGTCTTACGCACAAACCACTCAGCCACGGACGCTTAATTAATGAGAAACCTTAGTCACAAAAAAGCAGAGAACAGATGTTAATCAATTTCTAAAGCTACAATGAAATTTACATATCAGTGAACACTTTTAACGAACACTTTTATTTGCAAGTGAGGTTAGAAAAAAATAAGGTTGGTATTGATTCATCAACGCTCGCAAGATCGATATTGTATAAGAAGGGGAAAATTTTCATTTTGTGAAAGAAATATTTCAAGTTTTCTAAAAAATACTAACAATTCGGAAAATTTCGGTGACATATCGAATGCCTATTCTATCAATATCACTGATAGCACCTTGACACACATAGCGTCTCTATGATGCAGTCTGAAACGCAAAAAAACTTTAGACCAATTTTCTCATCACCGAGGGAACTTTTCTTTGAAATCCCAAACGTTGGGTCCCCGTAGCTTTAAAGAAATCACATTTTCATCAAATCTAAATTATAATTTTGACAATTTCGCATCTAAACACAATCTTTTATATCTATCTATAAACACACTTTCGTGAAGTTCACATACCAAACTCAAGTTAAAATTATTATTTCTAATTATCTATACAAAGGAAATGTCTAAATATTAGCACCTGCTATAATGGGATCAAAGAGCAGAAGAATGTGATGTTTTAAAGGTGATTTGATACAAAAGAAGGTAACTCCTAGCTAAGTAGGGCAGAACATGTATTTGTTATATAAAAAAAAATTCATACAAAAAAATTCTCGTAAATTTCGACGCTTCATGGGCGCAATTTGATATATGCGTCTTTAAAATCCTGATGCACCTAATGAAACTAAATACAAGAGTACCGCCTATCATCACAGTTCACCAATTTAGAGTTACAAAGTTAGCTACATTCTTATTTGTTTTTATACAAATTCGTTAGGTAAGGAGGGTAGTGGACATACAAATTCGGAATGGTATATTATAAAAATTAAAAGAATTTTTTCCATTATAGCTTCCTTCCCTCCACAGAGCAAATTATAGACCCCTAAAATACAAAACTCAATGCTTTGTGGGTCTATGTCTTTTTTCTTGGTAAAGTGCTCAGTGTGCTATAATAGAAAAGAGCCAAGAAATTCAACCCGCTCTCTTCGTTAGAAACACACACTGAATGATATTGACACGCTTTTTAGCTACAATTGCAAACTTAATTCGAGGTTTCTGAAATACAAACAGAAGTAAGGATGAATCCCTGCTACGATATAAAATGATGACCTTGGATAAAGTAATTACAGTTTTATTTGCATTAAAAATTGCATATATTTTTTTTACTGTTCTTCAGGTCGCACTGGTCTATGATTGAAGTATATTAACAGCATCAGCTCATGGACTAGACTCTCGTATCTGTAGCACACTCTAATGTCCGGAACATTGCTTTGGTTGATGTCGTTGCCCCCGGGTCCGTCGTCCTTCCAGTTCTTGCCGAGCCAAATAGCTTTTCTGGCGCTGGCGAATCCACTCATGACCACACTGTTGCGAGCCAACTCACACATATCACAGGTGCTTAGTTTCCATACCTGAAAACCATGAGGAATCAATCAAGGCTTGTCAAAACATCGCCAACAAAATTTGAAAAGTGTCAATAAACGAAAGGAAACCGAAAGAAATGCCTGACTTGTTTTTTAGAACAACTTTCGAATTTCAAAGAACATAACAATCAGAAAGTTGAAAAAGTTTTAAAAAAACAAAAAAGTTTTAAAACAAAGTTTAAAAAAAAGTTTTTAAAAAAACAAAAAAACAAAGCAAGAAACAAAAAAAAAACTTAATTGGAAATTTTTGAACACTTTTCAACTAAGAAAGAAATACTAAGTCAAAGCGTGAAAATCAAATTTGAACGTGAACAATTTTTAAAGCTACAAAAATCAACTCGACCTATATGTGTCTTCACTACGTTTACTCACAATTAAAAAAAATTCATAACTGATCAACAAAAATGGCCGCTTCTCTATATCATTCGAAGCTACTTGAGACCTCAATTCAGATTTTGATCACAGAGTGTTTACTTAATTCGGCAGGGTTTTAATGGTTTAATCCAGCCAGATAACGATAGATAACGGATAACTGGAACCTAGTTCTGGGCTACGAGGACTACCTGGGCGGCGATGCTGTACTCCTCCATGAGGGGTTCCCTGGTGAAGTGGAACTGAAGGGGGTCATCGGTGGAGAGGGACACCTGGAGACCCCTGGCATGGAACTCGGGGAGGGGGTTCTTGTGGTAGTTGAGGAACAGTGAGTTGTTGCTCAGGGGCGACATCGCTATTCCTATCTGCGTCAGGTAATACAGGTACTGTAACACTGGACTCTAAACAACACAGACATTTAAAAAACAATTCTTCGACGTCTATAGAAGTCAGTAACTGTAGAGACAAGTCAGTCCAATTTTTTGCGCGAAAAATCAACAAAGAGAATAACGAAAACTTGATTTACCGGAGAAGAGGAAGATAGCAGATGTTCATATTATCCAAAAAAAATTATCAGAACGATTTTAGCAAATACTGATAATTCAGCAACAAGGTGGCAACAAGGCAAGAACTAAAATGTCGTTAAACAGGTGATTGAAAAATATTGAAAAAGTAGCGCTTAGTTCTTACAGACAGCAGCGTTTAGCTGATTTAGCTTCTGCTGTATAAAATCCCCCCAAACAAAAAAACTGTGCAATGAAATGTAAGACTAACTTTAAAAATGGTCGCTCCAAAAATTTAAAAGCGTATATTAGACTAATAGACTGTCTTTCATTATTTCAATTGAACGGAAATATTCTGGGACAAAATCATCGTTTTTCGGTGCATTCATTTTTATGAATTTAGCTTTAGTATCAATCATCTTCTGCCTTTATTAAGAATTTATCAATGCGGGAAAAATATTTTGATAAATATAGATAAGGCCAATTTAGGCATTATTTTCGATAGCCAATATATAACGCATTTTTATATTCAACTTCAGTTCTCATCCACAAATCGCAGTCAAATCGAACTTCTAGAATCGGGAAAACGTCAGTGCCCGGCTATTTTTTCGAGCGAAAGCACCGAAAGCCCGATTACTCAACACCTGAGAGTGTCCTATTAAAGACCTTTCAGTCGAGATTCAGATTCCAAAATGCGCAAAATCATTTCAGTGTTTTTAAACACGCGAGCTTGCGAGTTGCACAATTTTACAAAGTTACTCATTTTTGTGCCAAGTTTGTTAATGATACAATTACAAACACGACAAGCTCAAAACGAAAGATTCAATTACTGAACAAGCGGTACCAAAGTCATCTTCTATTTTCAATTTTAACACAGACGGGAAGCTGCAGCTTCGCAAGCACAAGCGATAAAGTTGCAAAAAATTCGGAAGCTTTAAAAAGCATAAAACACAAATTTTGCATGTAATGATCTGGAATGTAATAAACTGAAGTCAACTACACAAATTTTGCATGCAATAAATAGGAAAGTGTAAAGCCAATTTTAGCAAAAATAAGGCATTTCAAAAACTTCACGAAAGTACTGAGTTGGAAAATTTCTGGTTTTATTGTTGTATGAAACAAATCTCTTTTTCCACTTCAATTGGAATTAAAAAACATCAACTGTGTTAACTCATTAAAAAACAAATGTCAAAACACATGGTATTACTGTTTCAATGCAGTCTCCTCATTCAAAGAGCCACCAAAAGAAGCACTTATATTTTCGACATGAAAAATTTGCGGCACTTATATTAGTCACAAGAAAAGAAGTGCGTTAATTTACTTCAATTTAAAGGGCACCCAGAGCAAAAAAAAATGCTTGCAAACAAATTTGCAACAGAATTTCGAAATAAATTGAAACTGTGTACCTTTCTAAGGAGCAGACCATGTGAGATGTTCTCGGCTGCCATAAATGCCACTGCCAAATGAGCAATACCACCAGCCTCGCCTGAATGTGGTCTCAGCACAAAAGTGTTCAGGCCACGCTCCCTGAAAATAAGAATTAGGAATATGACCCGGCTGAGGTAGAATACAAAATAAAGAAATAATAACAAAAATGAATATTCAAACAAGAATAGCCGATTACTGAGCAAGTAGCACAGAAAGTTCCGACTATAGTCTGATAAAAAAATGCAACTTTTTTTTCAAGTTATTGTCGTTTTTTTCGGCGTGGTGTGATTAAAGGAGCTGAACAAAAAAACTGTTTAGGTATATTCGAGTCATAGTCAAATAAGCAAATTGAAAAACAGTTTCTGTAGCAAAATTACTTGAAAGATTCAAAAGAAATCAAAAAATATTTTCGAAAATTTTTTCAAGTTTTGCAGTTTTTTGAATTTTTGAAAATTTGGATTCCAAAAAGGTGCTAAAATACTCAAAGCAAACTAACGTTAATTATGTAAAACTCAGTTTTTACATTTTAAATTAAACTATTGTATGCTTTATTCGCTCGCAATAAGACGAAAAATCAAAACTTTCAAACCGGTTTTTCTCTGTGAAAGTTTGAACTTTTTTAATGGGTTCGAATCATAACTGTAAGTGCTTCAATATGATATATCACTCAACTCAGTCCAATGATTATTTGCGGTATCTGATTTTGTGTGGAAAACAACTAAAACACCTCCCCATTAAAAGTTCCTCCCTATTTTCGATGATCGGAACAAAAATGAAGTTCAAATCACCTACACAATGAACTTAAAACAACATACAGCTGGAAAAAGCCAATGAACTAAAGGAGACCAATAAAGAATGATTGACCTTTTTTGAAACAATTTGAGTGTGTGTGTGGGTCTCTAGAATCCAAAGACAAGTCTTTAAACGTGTTAAAACTTTGTCAGAAAGATCAAAGAAAACAAAAGAACAAAGAGAGCGTCCTTGTTGCGGAATCCGCTTACAATTCACAAAATACACAGTTTAGCCTCGTAATGAAACGTCACATTAAAGCTTTTTCAATTTCAAGCATCTTTCATGATTGACTTACAAAAACAAATCCAATTAACGAAAAAAAGCTGGGTCAATAGATTTGAAAATGCAAATCCACTTTTGACACAAAAGTCATTGGCGTTTTCTTTGCATCATTTGAAATTTCGCCATTCGAGCGCATAATGAATTGAAAAAATGTCAAAAATCAGCTCCATACCTCGGTGAGATCTTATTGCATAAGCCATTGTTATCGAATTGTGTTAATCACTCATTTCACACAGATGCGTACCATTAACCTCAGGTTTGGCAGGTTAGGTCTTGAGAATAGTCAAAAGATTCCAAAAACAGTCAAACTTTCCAAGAGAACAACTTCTTAGGCCATAAAATAAAATTTATCTTAAAAAATCAGGGCGTAGCCGTTCATGCAAGGAGTCCTGACAATGGTTTTACAACCCTTAATCTCAGATTTCGCAGGGTAATTTATGTGAATTACTTCATATTTGGCGGGTTGTTTTCCAGTATAAATTGAAAAATAATGGGTCAAGAATTCACCCCACTGAAGTTTGCGAAGGCCACAGAACGTCATGTGAAGTATGGCAGTAGCCGGCCTTTCCATTACCACAACTTTTTAGAAAATCGGTAAAATAGTGCGAGAAAAATACTATGAAAGGTACAAAAGTTTCCAAATCATCGCATACAATATAGTCCAAAGAGCAAATCACATACATTTAGAAAAAACGGTATTTTTTATGAAATAAACCTTTCGTCACCAATAAACCAGATACGAAAACATAATACTACGAAGCAACAGTTAACCAGATATAAGAAAGCAAAAGTGTAACTAAATGAAAGATCACTTTTGTTTGCGACTTGGTATGGAAAAAGTGGATAAGGTAATAAGAAACTACGCTCCACTTGTGTGAATAAATGTGGATGCTCAAAATTATTGCTAAAAACTTTAGCTAAAAACTGGCAAATTTTCGGATCTTACGTGCGGAGTGCATTGAGGACGACCATATTAGACCAGAGGTAGTAGATGTAGTATGAGTAGGCTGGATTGATGTCACTGGTCCAGTTGTCGGGGGTGGGGTTGGTGGAGCAGAAACGAATCGTGTCATTCTTGCTCTCATCGTCCACACTGTCAAAACCTATCACCTATATCAACACCACAAAATGCCCTTCAAAAATTTGGCAGTGCACAACATTACTCGCAAAACCATATTCAATTTTTCTGGTAATTTAAAAAAATTTAGACCGAAAAAAATAGTGCGGATTAGGACTTTTACTTCATGACTGGTTTAAGCTAGATCAAAAAGATAAGGAATCCTTATTTCTCTTATCATCTCGTCCTTTTGAGTTAAATTTTGCTAAGGCATTTATTTTGGGACTACGCCGCATTTCAAACTTTTTGCGTAATTTCAAAATTGATAAAAACATGTATTTTCATCTTCATCGAGACATCTAAATCATAACCAGGGGCGGATCAAGGATTTTCTCGGACTTTCAAAAAATTTTCGAAAGTTTTATCGGCCGTTATTTTAGCGTGACCAAATTAAGTTTCCGAGCTCTCCCAAAGCATTACAAAGACTGTTTTGGTCAAATTTTCTGCGCCGCAGACAAAATTTTGAAAAAAAAAAGCTAAAAAAGGCATTTCTAGGCACTTTATGGAAATATTTGACAAAAAAACGCACTTTTTCAGCGCCCCCTTCAAAATTAGTATATAGTGGCGCCAAAGGCGCCTTCAGAAAAATTTTAGGGTCCATCACCAAATATGGATATCTCAAAATAATACAAAGGGGAACCATTTGGGTCGGCAGGGGGTTGAATCCTTGAGGGTGGAAGGCATCCGCCCGACCCCCCCCCCCCCCAAATCCACCCCTGATCATAACTGTTACACTAGTGTGAAGCTTTTAGGCTTATGCAGCTCCTTTGTAAATAGCACCCTGTAACAACATGCATGAATAGACTTACATGGAGAAGGAACTGGTATAGCTCCGGGTGTTTGTCAGGGTAGAGAGTGGCGTCAAACAAGGGTGCGAAAATATTGTGGACTAGCTCTCCAAAGTTCTTCACCAGACCCTTGATGTGAAAGATGTCACTGAAAATAAAAAAAAAAGATTTTTAGATTAAAAAACATTGAAAATGTTTAAATGTTTGAATAAATCATTCTTTAAATCCACATACGGTTATCCTCAGCTAACCGGATTATTAAGTATTTGAAGAAATTACGTTGTTTTACATATCATAACACAGATGCGAAGTTGACCTTCACGCCATTAGCGATACGACACAAATATAGCACGGCAGTATACTGAGAAGAAAAAAAATTTTTTTCTTATACTCGTCTCGAATTGGGTTCAATTAAAAAAAACATAATGAAAAACACAATTACCAGCGCAGTACTGAGAAAAAGTTCTCAAAGGGTAAACAATATTTGGTCAGACACTCGTTGAGCCGAAAAAAAATAATCCAAGAGCTGAAAATTTTTGAAAAATGACTTATTAAGTACCCCGTCCGAAGCACACAAAGACAAAATGTCTTCTTCGCTCTTCGTAAAACGAAGCAATAAAACCGATATAACACAAGGCGAAACAATTTGAGCCGAAGAAAGCGTTGGAGTGAAAAAAAATGAAACCGCAAATTATACTAAAATCTTGAACTCAATCGCTTGCATCACTACAAAAGTAGCTAAATTTTAAAGAAAAGTACAGGTTACGTGAGTTAAGGCAAAATAGCAAGCAGATACGTTATTCCAAAATAGGCAGAACATTTCCAGAGCGCACAACAAACAGGCCCCGATCGGACTCGATAACAAAAAAAACAAGCTACCAAATCACTGACTGACAAATGAATCACTGACCAAATGAGACAAACTTTTAACCTGGACAAAGTTTGCTCAGCTTTGATAACGCTTGCTAATGGCAACAGATTTCAATTTTCACAGTAAAAGGCAAACAACGAGGCCAATTGTTCAACAAAAATAAACAACCCCAAGTTTAAATGCGAATTAGAACTAAGCACATTAAATTAGGCATGTTCCATTTTCGTATTAAAAACTAGTACATTTTCAGCTCTGTTACTAATAAAATAAAAACTTGGAAACTATGAGAAATTAAAATTAAATTTTCTCAAAAAATTTAACATTTAGGTCTATAGGAAATACATTTGAAAAAGTGTTTCTGTCTACTAGAACAGAAAAAGACAGGCAACCGATGATATATTAAGTGAGTAATTGAACAAAAAAGGTTAAAAAAAACATAACCAACATCAGGTTGGACAAGTGTAAAAAACAATTAAAACGAAAAAAAAAAGTTGATTGAAAATTTTTGAACCTGAACCTCTTAGATATTCAAACTATTTATGAATGACTTTTTTCTTATAACTCAATTTAAGATGATCGGAACGACGGGTGAACTTCGTTTCACTGAGATTTCTGGCCATTTCCGCTTTCTTGATTGGAGCGCACAATTTGCCTGCCTTTCAGCAAATGAACTTGAACTGAACTTAAAAAGAGGACATATACCTGAGAGCATTCATACATCCTTTAAAATGTATGATGCACTTTCGTTGTAAGAGCAATTTAAAACTTTTTCCTGACAAAAATCTTCAATACCTATAAATGAAAAAAACCACTTCGTTCTTCTACTCTTTGGCGAGAAAATTACACTTCAGCTCTTTTAAGAGAAAATACAATTACTTCATGTAAAAAAAAGTAATTTTCATGAAAACTCTGGTATTACTATCGAATTGGAACTTGAACCTCGCCCTTGACATAACCACTTAGCTATGTCTTCTTATATTCTAATACTTTCACACAAACTATCCTTCGATATCAGGCATAAAGAAAGATGATACAATTTGTAAAAAAAAATTAGCCCATTCCTTAAAAGATAAACTGAAATGTGCTGGTGAAGCCACCTAACTTAAAAAATACGGGACTCTTAGTAACCTTTGCGATTCGTTTCAAGCTTGCAAAACATATATCAGCCTAGAACTCCTTGAAGTTCAACAACACAATTTTGAAACAGACGCAAAGCTGCGCTTTGCAAGCACAAACGAGAAAAAAAGAACAAAAGCGCAGCTCTATAAAGTGAATTAAGAAAAATTGGAAATAAGCCTCGAATTAGTAAAACTTTGTCCATGGGTCCAGGGGCATATTTTCTCGAGGGAGGAATAGAGAGGGCGGAATTTCAAAAAAATTGTCGACCTTTTTTTAGGTCGACCAAATTGATTTTCCGAGCCCTCCCAAAGCACTAAAAAGACCCTGTTTTGGTCAAACTTTCTGCGCCGCAGCCTAAAAAAGGCGTTTTTAGGCACTTTTTGGAAAAGTTTGACCAAAAAAATCGCGTTTTTTTTTGGCGCGCGCTCCCCCATCGAAGTTAGTATTTATTGGCGCATAAGGTGCCTTCAGAAAATTTTTAGGGGTCGTCACCAAATACGGATATCTCAAAATAGTACAAAGGGGGACCCTTTGGGTCGGCAGGGGGTGAAATCCCTGAGGTAGCGTCCGTGCCTCCTGCATGTATCGGATTAGAACCTATGACTTCGCGATTTAGAGCATCACGTCCTTCCCTCTGAGCCACTAAAGCTTCACGATTTGCAAACACTAGCCACAAATAAAGCGTAGGACAGATGCATGAAATTTCGAATGCTTCAGATCGTGATTATAGCAAAAATGCCCATAAATGAGCAGTTTTATTTACTAGAATGGAATAAAAAGTGCAGTCACGCCAATTAACTACGCTAGCTAGTGTAATTATTTCAACCTCATCTGAGAAAACTGGGTTAAAAAATAATTTTTCTCTGCGAAACTTGAAAATTAAAACCCTTTTGAAACTAAATTCAAAAGCTTTTTTTTGGCAATTTCAATCTTGTGAGTACAAGAACGCACTTTGCCTTCCATTTGTTAATTGATATACAATATAAAAATCAAAGCCAAATAACAAATACGAGAGTGAAAATAAATGGAAGACCTTTATAAGCCTAAAATCATTTCGATCGTTAATACTCAAAGACTCGAAGAAAGAGCATAAAATCATATAGAAGCAGCACTGACTATACACGTGGTATCTGTATGAGCCACTTGATGTGTGGGGAGAAGACATTGTTGGAGATGGCGAAGTGTGCCAACAGCTTCCACTCATCTATGTCAGTTCCATAAATGGAGATCCTGGGCTCTGCATACTGGTACTTACTGTCCTCCAGGTCACTAATAACCTCCTGAAAAAAATTATTACCATTTCTATCAAACTTTGTGCTTTGCTTTCAGACCATACAAAAAGGTAAAATTTCCACAACAGGATATTGATCGTGCTATATGAAAATCGGAGGATCTTAGATCAAAAGCGGAGAACACGAATGGGGGGCTAGTTTATTTTTCAATGGCAGATAGAAGTAGATCAAATCGAAGTCCCCAACTGTGAATGAAATATTAGATGGGTGGAGGAAGAAGTGAAACTAGCCTTGAGTATCTCGGCGAAGTATTGTCCGTTCATGTTGTTGTTAGTCTTTATGAATATTTCGCGTAACTTGGATTCTCCGATGGGGTTGTACTTAGCATTAAACTTGTCGAAGCGGTGGAAAGTGTTCCGGTCTGCGTGACAGTCCAACAGATCCACCGACAGATGGTACGAGGTCAAGTTCATCTTTTTAAAAACCTGGAAACACAATTTTCCCAGACAGGCACTCAAATCACCAATATTATGAAAAAAAATTAACATTCGAATAAAAAATTACTTAAAAATAAAAATACATGGTTCAAATCTTTTTGATTGACTTTTTTTTCACAGGAGCAAAGCAAAACTTCGCAAAAATTGCGACAGAATACAAACATAGCATTGCAACTAATTTAAAATAGCGTCGAGAAAAAAAAACTACACATACATAAATTTTAACGTTTTTCTGGAATGATATTCACTTCGAGAAAAAATTGCCTTAATTATCGTGAAAGCATGATTGAAAAAGATCTTTGCATATTTGCAACTTTTTATTATTGACACTTTTTTAAATAAATTTAACCCAATATGAGAAAACTGGATCAATAGGTGATATTTAAACAGTAAGCATAAAAACAAACTATTGATACCTAAAAATCATCAACGTTTTCTTTGTGCCAATTGACTTTTTGTTATTGGGGTTTGAGCAATGCCTTCATTTCAGCAAATGATTGAGCTAAACTTGAAAAAAATAGAGGCCCTTTCAGCTTTTTTCGTGAATTTCTGGAAAAAAATTTGTTTGACGTACAAAAACAGAAAAAAAGTGACTCCGACGATTGAAAAAATGGACTTAAATATTTTTAAATATAGACGCGAGAAAGTGAGCTTGGCACCACACGATACCACACAAACATTAAAAATGTTGAAAAAAACTATTTGAACCAAACCTTTCTGTATCAATAAAAACAAATTGTCTTGCTAAAGATAGAGATACGTGTTTGATATTGCAAAAATTTGTTATAGTGATGTGGAACGATTTAAAAAAATTGGACTTTGCCCAAAACCTTAATTATTTATGTTAGACGAGTGAAAGACGCCCCATCTGCAGGACCATTTCTCGCAACCGGTTCTTTCGATTAAACTTTTCATATCAGATAAGGTAGTTTTTAATAAATTCAAGTTTTTAAATGACGGTCAAAAGTTCAAAAAGTGGTTAGAAATTTTTCGGAAATCCATATTTTTTAAGCAAAAAGCAGGTTGTAGCCACTTAAGCAGAGAAGATTTCCCGAAACCGAGTTTCTCGATTGAACACATAACCTGATAATTGGTACGGTAGTTTTCGATAAGAGTCAAATTTCCAAAAAAATGTCAAATTTTCAAAACAAAACTTTGACTCGTTGGAAGGCCATAACTTTTAAAAAAATTGTAAACAGTCAATTTTAAAACTAAGCTTTCAACAAACTTTCCTTTTGACTAAACCTATGATATTGGCAGGATATTTAGCCTGAAAAGGAAAAAAAACGGTCAACAACCAAAAACTGAATGAACTCAAAATGAATTAGGAGGATAGTTCTCGAGAAAGTAAAGAAGTCGAAAAACAAAACGGTCAAAAATTTGACTTTTCTGAGGGTCGTAAATTGGTGTGTCAAAAAATGGGCGTAGCCAATTATGCAGCGGAGCTTTTCATATCAGTTCTTATTATTGAACTCAAAAACTCAGATCTGGGAGGGGCAGTCATCGAGTATAAATTTGATAAAAGCTATAAATGTTGCAAAAATTGAAAAAAAATTGAAACGAAAAAATTGGGGTTTCCTAGAAGAGAGTCAAAATTAGGTCACAAAGCCGAAAAAATAGACCAACACAATTTGGGCCGAAGAACGTTTTCCAGGGAAGCAAAAAAAAAACAAAGGAAAAACGAAGTTAAGGCAAGTAAAATTACAAAATGTAAGAGAAAATCAATCAGTTTAAGAAACATTTAATAAAAAGTGCAGAGCAAAAAAGCGATTCAAAGATTTGACAACTAAACCGACAAAAAATAAGCAGACAAATAATCGGCCAACAATTTTATTTGAAACAGAATATTTCACGTTTAAAAAAACAGGTCCTGGTCAGATTCCAAACCAGGACCTTTGCCACCACAGGCGTATTCGTTAAATGGTGTCTAAATGGGCCGGAAACGATAAAAAAAATTTGACACAGAAGTGAAGCTGCGCTTCGCAAACACAAGCAAAGAAAAGGCAAAAAAGAGCTCTAAAAAAGCAAATAGAAATAGAGAAAAGTATACGCGAATTGACCAAAAAACTTTTTTTTGAGAGTATCACGTCCATTTACCTGCTCTTCGACCGCAGGTAATTTTACCAATAAAGCAGCTCAAGTTGCAATCAAATAGCAAATTCTATGCAGCAAAATTTCGACCACACAAAAAAAACTATTTCAATGTTCCCGGTTCGAATCTCCGACCTGAAAAACTAGTAAGCTCAAGTCGTCCCAACTGCGCCAGAGAGTCGCACGAAAATAAACTACTGGCCCAGCTAATGCTGGATGCACATGTTTTCATATATTTAATAGTAATTTGTACTGATACAGAAAAGCGTAATTTTCAAATGTCAAAAAAATGGTCTTTACGCAAAACCATGGCGATTTCTCAGCAGGTGATTAGCCGTTTATTTATTGCAGACCACTACCACTCGCTCTTTCAACTGATCTCAGAATTTGCGGAGAAATTTTCGAAAAAAAAGAAATTTCCAAAAAACAATCAAAAATTCATATCTTTTCTTTAGAAAAGCACGTAGACAGCCTCTTAGGCAGGAAAGATTGCCGTAACCTGTTTTTTGATTAAAATCTTGATATCAGAGTCAGCTAGTAGTTTTTGAGAATAATACTCTTCGAAATTGAAGAGATTTCTAAAAAGGGGTTAAAAAATTTCCAAAAAACGAACTTTTCGGAAGTCCATACAGGCTATTCTACAAAATAAATTCGGTATAACAGTTTCCTAAAAACGTTCGAAAGTTCAAAATATGTACATTTTCTAATGTCCTAACTTTTTTCTAGGTTCATAAGGGCGTAGCCATTTATGCAGGGAAAATTTCGAACACTTTTTTTTGGAATTAAACCCAAGAAAAGAGATTTTCCAAGAAAATAAAGTTCAAAACTTGAGCAAAATGTCAAAAACGGCTTATTCGATGCCATAAAATTTTTCAACGGAATTTGATTGAAACTTAAAATCGTATTTGTGCAGTTGAAATTTGACAAAAAGAAAAAAACTCGAAACAAAAAACTCAAACTTTCGAAGGCCAGAGAACGTGAACTAAAATGAAAAGAAACTAGCGTCCAGAGAGAAGAAAACACTAAGGAGAAAAACCGGCTTTTCCATTGGTACCACTCTTTTGAAAATCGGAACTAAATTTCAGCGAAAAGTGATAAAATTTTCCAAAACAACAAACAAACAAACCACATGCAATTTCGTTGAATCTGTTAGCTTTTAAACAGGAGCTAAACCTAGCCCAAAAACACTGCGACATACGCTATCAAATTGCCTATGCTTTTATAGGCATAATTATGGTTTGAAATGAACCATATCAACGAAGCCACAAATTGAGCAGTTTTATTTGCGAATTGGGTTGAAACAATTTCTTCGTACTAAAACACTGCAATTCGCTTGTGTAAACATATTATGAAACAAGATACCACTAGAGATGAGTTCAGATAAGTCCTGAATTAATTACGAGAAAAAATTCTAGTACCCGATTGCAATACCCTTGCTTATCGGAAGAGTAATAAAAGTTTATTATTATTATGATTTACTCTGTTTTTATAATATGAACCCAATTGAGAAAATTGGATCAAAAGGATAACTTTACATTTCGCTGGAGAATCTGTTAGCTAAATTCCACTTTCAAAACAAGAAGTTTAACAACGTTTTCGTAACCTTTACACTTCTGCTGTTCGATTAGTGGAGTTTGCCTTCCAACAATTGGAATGCTTTGCACTTAGAAAAAAGCTCATATCAAACCGCGAAAAATCAAATTTAAGCGTGAATCAAATTTAAGCGAGAACTTAAACAAAATCATCAAAAATATATAAAAGTTTTGATGATTATTACGTTCATTTTTCTTAATATAATTAACTATTTTGAGAAAACTGAAACAAGAAGAAAAACGCTTATTTTGCTGGAAAACCTAATAATTAAATTCTAATTTAAAAATAAGAAGCCAATCACCATTTTCGTGACCTTTACACTTTTGCTGTTCGATAGCGGAGGTGGCCTTCCTTTTACTCTGAGGTGAATCTGAGCTTCGCAAACACAGGCGAGGAAAATGCAAAAAAGAGCCCTAAACAGGCAAAACAAAGTGAAAAAAAGAAAAGATTAAAAACAAACCTTGAAAAAATTATTTGTTGAGATTAGAGTATCGCGTTCACGCATCTGCTCCACGACCGCTTGTAATTTACTTACACAATCAACCAATAAGCAGCTAAGAAAATGCCTGATTCTAAAGTTTCTAGTGTTTCTCGGCTCAAGTAGGGGATTAAGCGCTTATTTAAAGAAGAACACCACTACTCGATCGTTCAATCGAAGTCTTTATCTGAAATTTGGCTGAGTAGCTTTCGCAAAAAAATAGAAAAGGATTCCCAAATCGAACAACTTTTCTACATCGATAAATTTTTCTCTACTAATGCATGGCAAGAGCTCTGCTTTCCACACCATGATTTGTAGATTGGAGATTTTGGGTCCCTGATTTCGTAGATTGAGTCCTTTAATATTAGATTTAGCTAGTCGTTGTCGACAAGAAAGACAAAATTTGTTTTAAAAAAGTTAAAAATTAAAAAGAGGAAATTTTCCGAAGTCCATAACAGTTTTTTTTCCACAGGTTATACAGATTACGCAGGCAAAACCCAAGCGCCATGATAATTTTAGTGACTTATCAACGTCAGATTCAACAGGTTAGCTGTTGAAAAAAAACTGTTAGCAAAAACGGCGCAAGGGCATAGCCGCTTGCGCCGATTTGGCAGGGCAGTTTTTGAGAAAAGTTTTGAAAATTAATCAAAATGTCAAAAAAATGGGCTTGCTTGAGGCCATAACTTTTTTCTACCGAATTTAGCCAATAGCCGCTTCAGAAGGGATATCCCATAATTTGCTCTTTTGATTCTAACGTTCGTCTTTGATTTGTGCATTTAATACTTGAGAAAATAAAAAAATCCAAAGAAGTCGGCCAAAAATCCTTCTACTGAAACTTTCGAAGGCCATAGGACGTGAGGTAAAATGAAAAGAGACTAGGGAACTATGCAGGCATATAGAAGAGCAGCCGGTTTTTCATTGATATCATTTTTTTTTTGAAAATTGCTTCTGTGGTTTTTGAGCAAAATAGAATTTCTGCGAAAAGTGTTTAAAAAACACCAAAGCGTTTCAAATAAAAAAAAACAAAACAACAGATCCCATACATTTTCATAAAACATTTTTTTTTCGAATGGGACCTAAAACGAGCCAAAAACAAAGCAGCAACATACTCCTTTAAATTATTTATGCTAAAATAAGCCTAAATATTATTAAATGGAAATATACCAAAAGTACACCACATGAGCACTTTTATTTGCGACTTAGGTTGGAATAAAAAAACTTCTTCTAATGATACACTACACTTCCCTTGTGTAAACAAAGGAAACGAACAGAACATTATAGAAATCAAAAGTCGATCCGCAAAACAAGTAAATTTGAACAAAATTTAAGACTTTTCCTGAAAAAAAAATCGCGACCTTTATAACAGTCTGAAGTACGTTTATCGACTCTTAAAAAGCGGAGAGCTGAAGTATTTGCTTGTTTTAAAAAAACTAAATGCCTGGCAATCATAAATTGAAAACAGAGGCGAATCTGCGCTTCTCAAACACTAGCGAGAACACGAAAAAAAGCTCTATAAAGTCAAATAAGAAAAAGTAGGAATACGCCTAGAATTAGTAAAAATTCGGCCGCCTGTCGGACTCAATCCTGCTACGTAGAGATGAAGAGTCTCCCGCCCCAGCCACAGACGCTTAACAGCTCACAAACACTAGCCACAAATAAAGCAGAGAGTGCTATGAAATTTCCAATGCTACAGGTTGTGATTATTGCAAAAGCGCCACCAGATAAGCACTTATTTGCGAGTTAGGTTGGAAAAAAAGAAGGTTCGTACTACACACTAGGCTAACAAGCTTGCTAGTGTAAACAGACCTCATCCAGAGTAACTGGTTTTCCACTCTCTGTTCCCACTATATCATCTGGGTACTTCCGGAGTTTCTTCTTCATAAATCTGAGCAGATGTTTCTGGGTCATAGATCCCGCAGCATGGATGTGAGTGTCTACCTTGCGAACATTGTAGAAATCACGATGAGGAACTTTGCGCTGAGCCGCCAACTCTTTCACTTCATTCAACAAGCAATGCATTTTATATTTCGATTCCAAAAAAGTTAGTCTCTGGTAGCAGTAAGATCTCCTAAACAGAAACAAAACAGAATGACACAAAAAATTTATAGAACGCAAAAATAACTGTAGAAATGCCCCTCACATATTTCTTGAACTAAAACTGCAATAACCTAATCCGTCAATGTCGCCAAATCAATTAGCAATATTTTTCGCTTTACGGTACTCCAATAGATGTAAAACAAAACACTCTAAATGGACGGTTGCTCGTAGAAAAATCCAAGCATAGCCAACTGACAGTTGGAAAAGAGTAATGAAAGCAACGAAACTGAAAAAACCGACTTATTTTTGCAAAAACCTTCAACTTTTGAATTTCAAATAAACAATTAGATCGCCTTAAGGCTCTTTGAATTTGTAGAACAATTTATGATGGACACTTTTTTGTTAAAAGTAACCCATTTTGAGACAACTGGATCAATAGGTAGAACTTTTATTTCGTTGGGAAACCTGATAATTAATTTCCATTTTCAAAATTAGAAGTCGATCACGTTTTTCGTGACCTTTACAATTTTGCTATTCAATGGTGGAGTTTGCCTTCCTTTTAACAAAATAAATGCTCTGAACTTAAAAAGAAACACAAGTCAAACCGCAAAAAATCAAAATTGAGCGTGAACAAATTTCAAGACTTTTTCCTGAAAAAAAAACAACAAAAAATTCAGCACGACCTATATAAGAGTCTTCACTACGTTTATTACTCTTGTCTAGAATTCTAGTCTTAAAATTTATGACCAAGCGATGAGCAAATAAATGAAACAAAGATGAAACAGCCAACAGACAGTTGAAAATGAGTCATTTAACGATGTGAACAGGAAAAAAACATTGATTTGAAATAAAAAAAATCTCAACTATCGAATTTCCAAAATAAAAAAATGGATGTCTTCAAGTTTCTGTGAATTTTACATTTTTGCTGTTTGATAGTGAAGTTTAAAATCCTTTTAACAAAAAACGAGCCAAACTTAAACAAAATTCTGTTTTGTAAGAGCCCTTGAAAATAAACAAACACACGTCAAAAATCAAGTAGCTATATGTGCTAATATATTGCCAATGCCATGCAGCAACAGTGGCACTAAAAAAATAGATTTTAAAGTGCAGCTCTTTAAAGTGCAATAAGAGGTAGAAATAAGTCTAGAATTAGTAAAAACTCGGCTATGTCTCTGATTCGATCTGCGACCGAGAGATTGAGTCTCACGCACTAACCACCAAGCCACTGACGCTTAATAAATTACAAACAACAGCCACAAATAAACCAGAGAACTGATGATATGCAATTTCCAATGCTTCCAATTGCGATTATTGCAAAGTGCCACCAAATAACTGAAAACTTTGAATGAATACATTTATTATCGAGATAGCTTAGAAAAAAAGAATGATCGTACTAACACACTGACGCTCGCGAGCACTCGAGAGTAATTATGAATTTCAAAAATAATGCGAGATATATTCAGTTGGAAAATTTATGAAATCGAGTTTTGAACATTGTAGTGTTGTTTCAAACAGACAACTTTTTTCGGTTCATTTGATAAATGAAAATCGCATCAACTGTGTTAAGTTATTACTAATGGAATGCCAAAGCACGTAATATCTCAAAGCCGTAAAGGTGCCCCAAAAATAAGCACTAATATTGCAATTCAAGTTGGAAAAAAAGATGTCGTACTCGCTTAAGCTCGCAAGTGTACAAAGCAACAACTAAATAAGTAATTTCCACCACTATATTCAGTTTTCGATCACCAAAAAACAGTCCACAGAAAGTTGGAAAATGTCACTGAATTCAAAACTGAACACAAATTTGCGCTAAATACATCAACTTAGAGAAAACTGGAACAAAATCAAACCTCGAAACAAAAAGCCTTTCATATTTTTAGCGCCATTTGCGCTTTCGTAATTGGGAAGCAAAATTTTCCTTCCCTTTATCAAACAAAATTGAAGTAACTTAATCCTGCTCAAATTGGGTTTTCGCGGCAAAAAACCAACGTAACTTCAAAGTGTCTTCACTACGTTCATTGACACTTAAAAACTAAAACAACCAACATACAATAATAATGCACTGACAATTTACTTTTTTGATTTTCTTCCAACCTTCGAGTTCCCAAGATAAACGTTTGTCACCTAAAAGCTCTTTGTTTTTTAGCAAAACTTCATAAGTTACACATTACTCGATAAGAATACTCACCAAAGTGGGCGAATAGGTATTTTTCTTTAGTAAGGGAAAACTATAATCCACGTTTGAAATTAGAATCCACTTGAAATTACAAGTCAGACTCCAACTTTTCCGTCATTTTCAATTTTGATACAGAGCATAATTTGTCTTACTTTTAAAACAAAAATCAAACCATCAAAAAAACAAATCTGTTTGTGAACAATAAGGCAAGCAAAAATTCCTTACGTGGGGCCATGGGCCGTTATGGCCAACAGTTCGTTTAAATCTTTCACAAAGGTATCTCGATCAGGATAGGGATAGTCCAGTTCCACCTCCACCTCTGTTGCTTCATCGCTCTCTACTGTCGTTTTTGAAAAGAGATGGAACACTCCGTCGACCATTTTGGCAAACACTCCAGCTTTCGGCTCTACCGGTTCCACCGTTGGAAACTTCGATAGACCTTCACTCGACACTAAATAAACAGTGTCATCACAAAACTAAAACTTATTTTGCTGTACAACAGAAACGGTGACCTTGAGAAACAACTACAATTATAATGTGATACAGTTTGCTCAACCATGCTTTGGGATTTTCATATCAATTTCGAGCAAGATACCTAATACATTTATTTTACAGGCACCAGTTCAACAAAAATCTCCCTCGTTTTATCGAGGAATCGCATTCAGAACTGCGCATACAATTATTACATGACTCAGCACTGGGGAAGGAAGGTCTTAACAAAAAATGAACTCAAAATGCATGTGCTTGAATTTCTTCTGCCCGATAGAGGAAATAAATCATAGACCCATATCAAGCATTGGTGGCATAAGGGTGAAAGTGAACAACTCGAGTAAAGCACTTTAAATTAACCAGTTCTGTCTGCAATGGTTTGAGTTGTATAAATTCACCGACATTCCAGTGATAATTCAAGCCGGTCCTGGTATAGAGAGAGCCCAAATGAAATAAGACATAGGAATTCAGGGCAAAACAGACAAGGAGTACTAACCATCGTCACCCAGAGGAGCACCGGCCACTTCTGAAGGTTCAAAAAGATTAATAAAGAATCATTCATTATTTTAACAGACTTTCAACTGTAATTATGTCATTACTTGGGTTTGCTTACATAAACTGAAAACAAAAAATTATCACGGCCTTTGTAAGATTACAAACTACGTTCATCAACTCTTAATCATCAAGACCTATATAAGAGTCTTCACTATGTTCATCTTAATAGAAAAAAATAATATTCCTAAAAACAATTTCAGCTACACGAATATTTTTTCTGGAACTTTTTGAAAACACAAATCCAATATGAAGCAAGGATAGCCGGTTACTGTGCAAGTAGCACAGAATGTTCCGACCATAGTCTTAAGAAAATACAATTTTTTTTCAAATTATTGTCGTTTTTTTTTCGTCGTGGTGTGATAAAAGGATCTGATCAAAAAAACTGGGGATTAAGTATAATCGACAGTCGTAGTAAATTAAATAAACTGAAAAACACTTTTTGTAGAAAGATTACTAGAAAAACGAAAAAAAATCAAATAATATTTTTGTTGATATTTTGATTCCAAAAAGGCGCTGAAACACTCAAAGTAAACTAACGTTACTCAAGTAAAACTTATTTTTTACGTTTCAGAATAAGCTATTGTAAGCTTTTAAGCAATTAAAATAAGACTGCTTGCTTGATTTATTCGTTCGAAATAAGATGATAAAAATTCATCAAACCGGTTTTTCTCGACACTGGGATTTTTTTTTGAAATTTTTCAAAGTGGTTCCAATCACGACTATAAGGGCGTTAATATGATATATCACTCAATCCAGTCCAATGATTATTTGTGGTACCTGATTTTGCGTGGAAAACAAAAAAAAACTAAAACACCCCCGAATACAATGTTCCTCCCCATTTTCAATGATCGAAGTAAAAATGAATATTCAAATCAGCTACAAAGTGAGCTTAAAATACCAGAGAGTACCACAAAAAAATTTTCTTATGTTTTTATGTTTTGTTTTCCAGATTTAGCGTTGCCAACTGACAGTTCAAAAACATAGCCAACTGACAGTTCGAAAAGAATAATGAACGCAAAGAAACTGAAAAATAACTGACTTTTGAATTTCGAAGAAAAAAAACAGATGGATTTGAAGCTCTTTGAATTTGTGGAACAATTTATGATGGACACTTTTGTGTTAAAATTAACCCAATTCGAGAAAACTGGATAAATAGATGAAACTTTTTTTTCGCTGGGAAACTGGAAACAAAAATCACCAAGACCTATATGAGAGTACTCACAACGTTCATTACTCTTAAAAGAAAAAGAAATAACAAAAACACACCCGAATACAAAGTTCCTCCCTATTTTTAATGGTCGAAACATACACTGGGTGAATATGTTACTTTCATTCCGCAACGAAACCTTAAAAATGAAATCTCCACTTTTGAAACTTAAATGCTTACACATTTTTCGCGCCATTTGCTTCGCCATTGAAGAGCGTATTTTGCATTCCATTGGGCAAAATAATTTGAAATTACCTTCAAAAGAAATCAAACCACAAAAAAATAAATTTGAGCACAAAAAACTATTCAGAGTAAAAAATATAAAAATCACACGACCAAAATAGGTGTCTGCGATTTGCTCATTGACACTTAAACTAGATATATCTAAGTTTGTTTTAGTAAAGCACAGGGGCGGATTTGAAGGTAAGCGGACCTCACCATCCTCCCTCAGGGATTCGACCACCTCACCAACCAAAGGGTTACCCCTTTGGTATTATTTTATGACATCCATTTTAGGCCAACCAACCCTAAAATTTGGCGCCAATACATACTAACTTTGACGAAAAGAGCGCGCCGAAAACACGCTATTTTTGTCAAAAACATCCAAAAAGGGCTTTTTTGCCGTTTTTTTAAAATACGGCCTTTTTAGTGTTTTGGGAGGGAGTGCTCCGAAAATCAATTTGGTCGACCTAAAAAAGAGGTCGACAAAAATTTCAATTTTTTTGATAATCCAACCCCCCCTCGAGAAAATCCTAGATCCGCCCCTGGGAAGGAAAATTCTTCGCCATAAATGAATCAGTAAGGCTCACCAAATTTGGTTTCATCAAACCCTTTGAAGGGCGTGTCTCGCGAGTAGAGTTTGTGGGCAACAAATGTCTGCAGCACATTGTCCAGGCATTTGTCGGTAGCTCTAAAAACCACCAAGAATCATTTTTTGGAATATATTTGAAATTTCCATAATTTGCGTTCATTTTTCATTAAATTTGAGATTTTTGACAAAAATTTGAGATTTTTTCAAAAAACAAGTCAGTATTTTTTGTTTACATGGGTTCATTGACTCTTTTGCAATTGTCTGTTGTTGGCTTTGTTTCAGCTAGATTTTTTGATAGAATTTCGTTGTGGGAAAGCTATTTGAGTATTGAATTCATGTTGGCTTGAGCATGCTCTCCATCTGCCGTGAGAATTAATAGCTTACTTTACTTTATTTCTGTCAGTAAGGAACATTTTTTTTCGGAATATATTCGAAAGTGCCATAATTTGCGTTCATTTTCACATAAATTGCCACAATTTGATTTTATTTTTACATTAAAAATCATTAGGCATATTGGATATTAATTTTCAAAAACTATTTATTCAAATTGTACTATGTACAGCTTTTGAAAATTAATAGCCAATATGCGTTATGATTTTTTTATGTGAAAATGAACGCAAATTATGGCACTTTCGAATATGTTCCGAAAAAAAATGTTCCTTACTGACATAAATAAGTAAAGTTATCTATTATTTCTCACGACAGATGGAGATAATGCTTAAGCCTACAAGAATTCTATACTCAAATAGCTTTCCCCTAGCGAAACTCTGTCAAAATATCTAGCTTAGACATAGCCAACAGACAGTTGGAAAAGTGTCAATGAACCCATGTAAACAAAAAAAATACTGACTTGTATTTTGAAGAAATCTCAACTTTCGAATTTCAAAGAAAAGAGATGCCCATAAAGCTTATCATTGGTATTTTTGATTAAACTATTCAAATTTGAGAAAACTGGATTAAATAAAAAATCATTTCGCTGGGAAATCTGAAAATTAAGTTTCTTTCTCGAAACAAGAATTCGATCATGTTTTTGTGACCTGTACACTTTTGCAGCTCGATTGTCGAGTTTGCCTTCTTTTCAACAAAGGAAATGATTTTAAAAATAAATCAAAAGTCAACTTAACCTACATAAGTCAAATCACAATAGAGAAAGAAAATAAAGTAAACTCAAGAAAACCAAATAGTGCCAATTGAACTGGAACAAAATTTTCATCTTTTTTTCACAGAAAAAATTATATCAGATTTGAGCAATTTAAATTTCAGAAAGCACTTACAAATGGCTAATTTTAGAACAAAAGGATCTACTTGAAAAATTACCCTCTATGGTATCTAGTCAAGAATTGCCACCTATGCAAAACAGCAGTGAATGTTTTAAACCAGAGCAATGTTTTTCAAATTCGAGTTTTGCTGCATTCTGACTAACTTAATCTACCTCAAAATTCCTCCCTTCTTGAAGGGAGGGTTTAATTGTTCAGTATATCCGATTAAACTAACCAATTTTCAGAATTTGAATCTATATTTTTAAAACTAAAACTCCAGCTCAACTAGTCCAGCCATTCGTAGTTGTATTATTCAAGATTAAAATAAAAAATCACCGCTCCTGATTTGTGTAAATTTAAGGGTGAAACGAGTGATTTGACAAGGTTAAACCTTAACCAAAGAAACAGAGGCAAAGCTTCGCTTCGCACACACTAGCGAAAACAAGAGAAAAAAGAGCTCTATAAAATGCAAAAAGAAAAGTAGAAATAAGCCTCAAATTATTAAAATTTCGGCTACGGCTCGGATTCCATCTGCGGCCTAGAAACTGTGAGTCGCACGCACTAACCACTCAGCCAAGGACGCTTAAAAAATCACAAACGCTAGCCACAAGTAAATCAGAGAACGGATGATATGAAAATTCTAATGCTACAGAACGTAATTGTAGCAAAAGTGCCACCAAATAAGTGAAGACTTATAATGAACACTTTTATTTGCGAGCTACGTTAGCAAAAAAGCAGATTCGTACTAATACACTACGCTGATGACTAGTGTAAAGAGAACCGAAGCGTGGTGACTGAATCGCGTTCTCGAGAAAGGGGCTTTCGTTCCCGCCCCCGATAAATCCCCTGCGTAAATAGATTACGATGATTTTTTATTGGTTGGTTTAATAAAGGACCAGAAAGTTTTGTAGTTAAGGTGTATTAAAAAATGATTCTTGAGGCTGACCTAGATCCGTGTGCATTGTGTATGAATGCAGCAACAGTATTCGGGAAAGACTGTTGTGAAATCGTCTCGTATCTCTCTCTGATTTTTATCGCACTGATTAACTTCTTCGAAGCCGATTGCAGATCCTCGTCTACGCCCTGAAAAATTATTCAAAGTACAATGCCATTTTTCATAAGTGATGCAGCCGATTTGAGCCGAAATAACAAAAACATCAGACCAGTTTTTCACGACACTGAGAACTTCTTTGCCATTTCGAAGAAAAATCTAAGCCATGTCTGAAAAAGCCTGATTATGTAACTGCGACTTGGCCCCGTGCGAACTTTCTTTCAAAGAGGTCAAAAAGTCATAGGACAGTTCAAAAAGAGTCCATGATCATTAGGAAGCAGAAAACAAATACTGACTTGTTGTTTGAAAAAAAAAACGTCAACCTTCGATTTGTATAGAAAAAAACTATATAGCCTTAAATCCTTTGAATTTCAAAAACAATTCATGATTGACACTTTCATGATAAAATTAGGCCAATTTGACAGAACTGGACCAATAGATAAACTTTTTATTCTGCTGGTTAATCTGAAAATTTAAATCCACTTTCGAAATTATAACTATAAGTCAATCAGTTTATCGTGACTTTTACCTTTTTGCTGATCGATAGTGGAGGTACATTCATTTTAACAAATGAAATAAATTGAACTTAAAAATAAATCATAAGTTAACCACGAAAAATCAAACATCAGCGAAAGCATATTTCGAGACTTTCCCCGAAAAAAAAACAAAAGACCTCAAAAAGTGTCTTCACTTGATCATTGACACTTAATAAGCACCTAAAACATATACCATTGCCAAAAAAATGGATCAATATATAGTTTCTTTATTCCGATGAGAAATTCAAATCCATTTTTGAAACTGAATGTCATTAACATTTTTTGCGCTCTTTGCACTTTTATAATTGGAAAGCGTAAGATGCATTCCATTTAGTAAATGAATTTGAAACGAAACGAACTTAAAAAGAAATCAATAGTCAAATAGTTAGAAATCAAAACTAAGCGTGAATAAACTTGAAGGTTTTTCCTGTTAAAAAGTCGGTTTGGCAATTGGAGTGTTCAAGGCCGCCAATACCTCCAACTTATTGACATCAAATTTAAATGAGACACTTACAGAAGTGAAATCCAGAGACTGTTCTGTGATTTGGACCCTCTGGTAGTCATCCAGCTCCTTGTCTATTAACGTGTGTTTCAAGATCTCTCTGAACTGGGGCTTGGCGAGAGGCAGAGACTTCGCAGCTGCGTTGATCAACAGACCTCCTGAACAATGAAGGGTGAAAAATAACCAAAACACAACCTAACCTATGATGAGTCTGCATTTGATCCCACTGATTAATTGACGTCATTCGCATTGAAATGAATGTACTTTTGAATTATTTAATTTACAGAACTGTTAGAAATCATAATCAAGTGGCCACCTTTGTATCACAATACGCATTTGGACTAACAACTAAACTTTGTTATTTAACCAAAACTTTACAATTGTGTAACTGATTACATGGAGAATCCACAATCCAGAAAGACTGAAATTCCGGCCATTATGTTAGCCAAGCCTAATTCAGGATTTGAAAAAACTGAACGAAATCAGCAAGAACATCAGCTGATGATCGTTTAATGTAAGATTGATTGTTTAACACAGTGGCGATGCCGAGCTTCGCATCAGTTGCGATACCAAAAAATTAGCATTGCAAGCTAGCAGACAGGAATGGAGAAGAGAGCCACTTAGTCCAAAGAAAAAGGAAAAAATTTCGAAGAACTCACAACTGAAAAAACTTAAAAAGTTGTCTTGTCTGGAAAGATGTTCTATTTGCGAAAAACACGTCCAGGAACACAATCAATGGCTTTTGAATAAAAACTCAAAAATTATTTTTGAGCGAAAATAAAATTGTTGTCATGAAAAACTTTGAATTTTAAATTCTATTCTGAAATTTTTGACGTTTTCTGCAATCCGGAGGAAAGCATAAAGTTATGGTTTGCTCAAATGACTCAAAATAAGGTGAGTAAGCCGATAAAATATAAGCCGAAATCAATTGGGCCAAAAAAATTTTAAGCGAAAATAGTCCAAAGGACAATATACGAAGACAAGGCTGGTAGAATTACGAATTACAAGAGTAACGGAAAACATAAAAAACAACTACAATTAAAACTACATACAGCAAAAAAAAAAACTAAGATGTGAAAACTAAGCCGACAAAATAAAAACAGACAAATAATACGCTGAAAATTTTCATTTAAACGGAGAACTTCCCGTTTGAAAAAAAAACAGGCCCAGGTCAGTTTCGAAACCAGGACCTTTGCCGTCTCCGTATTCGTTGACTCAAGACTAAGTCTGCCGGAGACGCTTAGAAATTTGAATTCATTATGAACCAAGATACCAAGTGATTCTGTTAAGTAATTAGTTAACCCAAAAAAAGCGTAATATGACTAGCATATTCGATTCTTCTGTCATAGAATAGCCCCGCCCTATTTTATCTTAAGCAGCAAGTGTTTATATTATAGCACCTGAAGAATCCAGACCCAGACTGCTCTTGGCCGTTTCCAAGGAGGTCTTCTTGATATCATCACTTTCAGCGGCGGACTCCCGGGGGAAGAGGACATCCAACGTGCTCACTTGTCTAAACATTCAACACTAATTCATATTGTTAGTCCGTCAAAAATCAGTTGACGTGATTGATGCTTCCTATTTATTGCTTGCTAATATACCTAACATCAATCTTAATGCAAGTTAAGGGTTAGTTACCTTTTTGCCAGTGTTTTTTATTATTGTTTAATTGGTGGATTTTTTTTTGTTATTTAAATGTCTTTAGCTGATATTACTATAGCAGTATTTTGGAAGCAATATTTGAGAAGGTACCAAACAATTAAACTACTATATATCCAAGTTCATCATGACCAGCTGGTTCTCTTCCTCTCTAGAAACACTGGGCTTCATTATCGGACAAATTGCGATGTTGGCCAACATATAGAGTCCGACTCGTGCATTGCTGCTACAGTGAAATAGGTGACACTTAACTGTAGCAAATCAGAAACTCAAACTCTTTCAAATTAAATTTTTGGAGGATTTATTACAAATGCTCGGATACTGAAGGTGCATATGGAATTTATACTGATCAATGCGAATTGGTGCGATGACTTTACTCAATTTATGAAATAATGACAACAATCATTTTTCAATTACAAAGTTTTGATGAAAACATATTGTCGAATTAGCAATCAAATGTGCAACAATGCATATTCAATGCTGATTAAAACGAAAATGCGTATCGCCGCCAATTTATTTTTGCAACTCGGTAATTTCTCTTAAGCTTCAAACACTAATTTCTACAGTTCAAAAAAATGAATCACGACCACTTAAACATCGATTATACTTCATAACAAACCTAGGTGAAGGATGATTCCTAAAATGAAGAAGAACTAATGAACTGTTTGATTAGGTTTTTATAAATGAGCTTCTAGATTAAGTTTTAATAATACAATAATCGATATAAAACTTATTGTAATACTCATTCATTAAAAAAACCAGCCAACAAACAGCTGGAAAAGTGCAAATGAACTGAACTAAAACAGAAAAAAAACAGTTGATTGATTTTTTGAAACTTTCAAAATTCGATGATAAAAATATATCACGTTGAAGCTCTCTAAGTCGTTTTCAAACAGTTTTTTTTTCATAAAATTAGTCCAAGTAGCAAAAACTGGATCACCAGGGAATTTATTATTCCGCTGAAATATCTCAAAATTAATATCCACTTTTGAAACTAAAAGTCAGTCACATTTTTTTGCGCCATTTCCGCTTTCTTGACTGGAGAGCGTAAATTGCCTTCTTTTTTAGGCAAATGAATTGGAATTGAAGATGACAATCAGAATTCAAACCGAACAAGATCAAATTTGATGCGATAGACTTTTTCGGGAAAAAACGACTTTTACACACCTAAATAACTCTCCTCAGTACGCTCATTGTCACTTAAACAGCTAAACAATATTCTAATAACTAATTTATTAAAACACGGCGGTATTACAAAACCTGAACATGCAATCATTTCAGCAATATCAGGCGCGGATTTGGGATTTTCGCGAAAGCGTACTTCGAAAAACTTTTGTCCACCATTTTTTGGTCAACCGGATTGAATTTTCGAGATCTCCCAAAACACTATTAAGATAATTTATGAAAAACAGGCCAAAAGTTGGACAGTTTTAGTGTATTAGAACATGTTTTGCGCTAGCCCTTTAAATTAGTAAAAATTGACACCGAATGAGTCTTTTAGAAATTTTAGGGTCTGTCAGCTAAAAATGGAACTGTAGCTCTGATATTAATGCTCTGAAATACTAATGCTTTGAAGCCAGCGTCAATGCAGTGTTTCATCTTGCATGTCATTTTTGGAGACCACGGATTGCAATAACATGCATGTTCCGTAATTATGGATATCATTCGGATGGACATATGCTCTATGCAGTCGCCGCTAGTGTTATTTGATATCATCACCGATCTAAGATTTTCTCGAGGGGCCAAGGGGAGGAAGGCGGTGATGTTGAGGTCGATCAAATATAATTTCTGAACACTTCGGTAAAAGCAAATTTTAAAAAAAGTTCGACAAAAAGGAATATTACGAAAAACTGCACAATTCCGAGCCCCCTCAGAAACTCCGCCCCTGATTAATTAGCGCACGCAACAATACAGCAGCTAAATCTATTCAAATATTAAGTTCACGGCACTACAGATCAGTAAGAGTTTAAGTACGAAAAGAACGAGATTATCAGGTTAGTTGCAAACATGGAGTTAGAGGACCGCGTGCTGTTGGCAGACCAATCTTTATACAACATTATTGCTCAAAATATTGAGTTAAGATTTCTTAACTGTCTTTCAATAATGAAAGTCACCTTAGATCGGTTTACGACATGCACTGATTCGATGATAGTTACGTGAAAATGAATTAACGGATGAATACGCGATTTCCAAGAATGCTATACTAAATATAGAAGAGAGCAGTCTTAGTGAAATGAACAAGTACACTAACGCTTTCCGCTTCACCGGATGTTTGATGGTGTCGATACTTTCCGATTCCGAGTGCTGCTTCCGAAAGCTTTTCAATAAAACTATTCAAATTAGATAAACGAAACTTAGCAATATTACTCATGTCGAATCGGCTATCAATTTCATACAGTAAGTTTTCAAGTTATTTTTGGGTGCAAAATCTACGTTGCTTAGTTTCACAATTCGATTAAATGACAACCTGGATTTAATGAGCAGGTGCACGATAAAGTAAGCCAGCGCATAAAGTAATAGCTTGCAGGATTCTGGTTTACCTTGATCGAGGAGATACGATTAGGTCATGAGGTGTCGTCGCACTTCCGTCCACTGCAACTGAATTGGCCCTCCTGAAACAGTTTTAATCTTCTCATTGGGCAAAAAACGAAAAAAAAATTGACTAAAACAAGGATAGCCCGATGCACGTACACAGCATGTTCCGACCATATTCATGAAATAGAAAAACTTTTTTTTGTTTTCTTCAACTTAGTGTCGTTTTTAGTGCGTGGTGTGATTCGGGAACTATGCGATCGCGCAAAAATTGAGTGAGCATGATCGACAACTTTTGTTTTTTAAACATAGCCAATCGAAGATTGGAAAAGAGTAATGAATGCAAGTAAACATAAAAAAAACACTATAATTTTGTTGAAAAAATCTCAGCTTACGAATTTCGAAGAAAAAAAGAGATGACCTTTAAGCTCTTTAAATTTTTAGAACAATTTATGATTGGAGCTTTTTTGATAACATTAACCCAACTAGAGAAAACTGGATCGACAGGTGGAAGTTTTTATTCCGCTGAAAATCTAAGAAAAAAATTCCACTTTCGAAACTAGAAATCGTTCACGTTTTTTCGCGCCATTTGCACGTTCGTATTTGGAGAGTGCTATTTACGTCACTTTCAGCAGATTAATTCAATTGAACTCAAAAAACGCATATATACTTAAGTGCATTCATAAGTACATCTACATCAATATGTATGAGTGCATATCTGCAGTTATTAGAGATATTTATGCACAAAAAAAATAGCAAGCCTAACCCTAACCCTACGTTCATTACTCTTAAAAAAGAAAGTAAAAAATCTTTATTTATAAAAAAAAACGGCAAAAAACAACCAAAAATAGTTTTCTTGATAGTAAAATCAAGTTTTGTGAGCTTAAAATTATTTTAAAAACTATTAATTTCCATATAACGAGCACTACTCTATCATTCTTTGCTCCTAATTGATCCAAAAATTTCTCAACCATCGAAAAAAAAAATTGGAAAATTTTTATGTCGAATCACGACTGAGAAGGCTTTAATATGATATACCACTCAACTCTCTCCGATGACTATTTGTGGTAGCTGATTTCGCGTGGAAAAGAAAAAAAACTATAACAATCGAAAAAGGTTGCTCCACTTTTTCAATGGTTGTCGAAAAAAATTTCCAGATGTTGTCTAGAATGATGTTCTATCAGCGAATAACACGTCCAGAAACACAATCGAAGTCATTTAATGAAAATTCAAAAACAGTTATGGAGCGACAACTGAGCCGTCAAAACTTAATTAAATTCCAGTAGAACCTAAAACAAAACTGTTGCCATAAAAAAACTTTGAAGTATAAATTCTATTATATACATTCTATTATAAAAGTGTGTGATCCGGAGTGGAGCATAAAATTGTGTTTCCGTTGAAACGACCCAAAATGACGACACTAAGCCAATGAGAAATAGGCCGAAAAAATTTGGGCTGAGTAAATTTTTTAAGCGAAACCCATAAAAAAGGAAACACGAGGTCAAGACTAGTACAATTACAAATTACAGGAGTAAATGAAAACAAAAAAGGCAACTGAAATTAAAAATGCATTCAGCAAAAAAAAAAACGATTCTAAGATAAGCCAACTAAGCCGACAAAACAAGCAGAAAAATAATTGGCCAAACATTTTATTTGAAACAGATTTTTTTCCGTTAAAAAAACAGGTCCTGGTCAGGCGTCCTGGTCAACTTGGCCGTCCCAGACGTTTTTATTAGCTCCAGGCTAAGTGTGCCGGAGACGCTAAGAACTTGGAATACATTATGAACCACGGTACCTCCAAGAGATGAAACCAGATGAGCCCTGAGAACAAAATTGTTTACAGGAAAACGTCTACTACCCGGTTGCAATACCCTTGCTCATCGCAACGGTAATAACATCTGAAAAATATCGATGCGCTGAGCTAAAATTAGGTAGAAAGTTTTCACCAGCAATCACTTTTTTTGATGGGTTTGACAATGATCATTCTGGAAATCATGGTCTATTCAACAAGCGCACTATCTTTCTATTGATGCGTAGCGCAAGCAGCGATTTAATCCGGCTCAGAAATCATTTCAAACATTGTTCATATGATAATTGTGCCAAAAAAATCCCTGACCAGAAAACTCTTTCTAGATGAGAAATGGTGTCATAAAACTTAACACCTTGACCTTAACTTCCAGTGTTTTAATGCCTAGTCGTTTCTTTCATTCATATTTTGAATCCCAAAACATTTAATTCATAATTTTTACAAGTCGAATCGAAGCCTCCACCTCAAACACTCAAAATTGTTCCTCATCAAACGACACAATCAGAGGCCACTAGGCCCCGACCTAGGACTTATTAACCCGAAAATCAAGTTGCTAGAATCACAAACATTCGCTTAGGACGGATAATTAAACTGCTAACATACTCAAAACTCGTCTATTGCAGAATTTTCAATAGAGCGGACCAGTAGATGAACAAAGTTATTTAAGGGAAAAAAACTAGTATCCGATTTGAACACACCTGCTATAACAAGTGTAATTAAACTTAACAGAAAATTATGCTGCTTTTAAAAGTATGTTTAACCCTTATTTTCCTTCTAAACACCGAACTTAATCCTGTAAAACTTATTAAAAAGGAATACTTTGATTCGCATTAAAATGCTGTCTAACTGTAATGTAAACCTGGGAACCCTTCAAGTTTTACGTTTTACCCGACAAATCAAAAAAGCTGCGCAAAGCGAGCGTTACATAGATTAAGGGATAATGTTATAGTAGAAATTAAATACTTCATACAATTGTGACATTGTAAAAACCCTTTTCTTAATTTTGAATAGGGTCAAAAGCAAAACCAACGAGCTATCTAATTATGTTTTCAATCTGGCAGACTCGCATCTACAGCAACAACCCTATTAGACGCATACCATTTCTCGAGTCTCCGACGACTCTACATTATCGAGCATTGGAATTGCGCATGGATTTGCGCATCCAAATTTTTTTCGTTTATCAATACATACCTTTATTTTGCTTAATTAACGTGAAAGGAATTGAATAAGCGCGATAATGATGAATGAGCGTGTTTGCCGCGCGTAGTGAACTGAAACCGAGAAAACTCACAAATGATAGAGACTGCTGCTGCAAACAGACCACTGTCCTTAATACACACTGCCATAACTTAAGCCTCATTCTAGTTCATTAACTATACACATAATGTGAGTTTCCGTTTCTCACTCATTGATACTTGCGCAGCAACCGACTGTCCTTGATTTTTGAGAAATTGTTTTTTTTTTAGTTACCGCCACTTTCATCTTTGTAGAGAAACAATTTTTAGTTATGAATGTTTCTTTATGGTATAATAACTCCTAGTTTAATTGAGCTAGAACTGATAAGCTATGAAAAAAGTGCCCTGGTTGTAATAAGAGCCGGATATATCGCATAACAAAAAATTTAATTTGCCGCAAAAATTTGATTTTTTTTTTCATATATCGCATCAAGATAGGTACTAAAATGAAAACCATTTTTTTCCACTTTTTATTCAAACCACTGAAATTTTGGTTAAATAGGTAATGAGACCTAAGACTTACCCTTCAGCTACGTAATATCTACGAAAAAAAGTGACATTGATATCTTCAGCAGAGAGAAACATAACATTGATCTTTGACAAACAGCATAAATATCATCGCATAGGGGCGGTAGCACGAGCTTTGAATGCAGGCGTTTTTGTTCTATAAAAAGGTATCCTACAAAATGTTCATACGCTGACCAATTAACTGCCTCTTCATCATGGAGCTTTAAAAATGTCTAGAAAATAGAGTTTTGAGTTTGCACGTACTTAAAATGCGAAATAAAGGCAACCAATATGAGATTAGGCAAAATATAGGTCTCAACGATTTAACTCAACGTCACATTCAAAAAGAGAATAATATTGTAAAGTTTACAATTATGAACACAAAGGAACTTGACCGCGAACGTTTGCGCCCCGCAGAGTCCTAAAAGGGTGAAAAATTTCACTTTTTTCTCCAATTTTCCTTTAATTCTTGAAGAGCATGCTTTAGGATATTCGAAGTCCAACCTCCAAAATATAAAATGTTACAAATGTTCTTGAAAAAACAACATGAAAACCACACAGCCCAATTAAAAGAAAATTTCCTACAGTTATTAAAAACAGAAATGAATCATTGACTAAAACAGAAGCAGCTTGTTACTGCATACTGATCTTTATAAAATGGCTGAAAAATAGTAAAAATTGGGTTGAAATTCAATAAAAAACTTAGTTTCAGGAGACTCCCCCACCCCAGAAAAAATTAGACAGAAAAATTAACAGTCACCGATAAAACAGATATCTTTAAATAAAGAGTTATGACAGATATACCGTAGGAGACGCTTGCTTAAAAAATCTTATAACGCCAGTAAGCGGTACAAAGATAGATTAGCGAGATTAGAGAGTACTGCAAAATTGCTAACAGCGTAAATACCGACAAAGAGAAATCATTAACACAGAGGCGAAGCGGAGCATCGCACCACGTGTCATGCAACAAATACAGGATTAAAACGGCCTTCAGCTCGATGTTACCGTTGAAGGACTAAACAGAAAAACGAAAAATATATTTTTAAAATTGAAATTATTTTTTTGTTTAATTTTATTAAAGTTTTTTAAAGAAGTCCAAATGGGGTTGAATCTGCGCTTCGGAAAAATTGGAGCCAGATTTCGGATCAATTGAGCTATCCCCCCGCCCCCCCCCCCCCCCCCGTAATGACCAATTGAGCTATCTCCCCCCCCCCCCACGCAAAAACGGTAAAACGCTACAAAAAGACGTCAGCAAACGCAAGAAGATGGTAGATATGTTCGTAGCACGCAATCAATTGGCCGATTGAAGTTTATTTTATATGAGTATCGAGAAAAATTTTGAAAAAGAAAAAAATCAAATTTTATAAAATAAATTCGATTCTATAATTTTTTTGTAAGCTTTTGTTTGGGCGACCATTGCCTCATCAGAAAGCAAATTATCAGGGTTGATGCTCTAGCCTTGGATCTCGATATTAAGCATTGCTCTCCGCAACACCTTAATATTGTGTGCAAAACACTTTTCATCCTTTGAGTACAGAAAAAAGTAGCTTTATTTGCCTCAAATTTATTGATTCTTTTTCACTTTAATTGTAATTTTTGAGCTTTGATATTGTAAATTTTGGCCTTCCTCATTCGTTGGAGAATCTGTTTATGATTTCATATCATCCAAACTATTTTCAAGTGTTTATAAACATGTCTCAAGAACCTATTGAGCTTTATCCCCCCCCCCCCCCAAGCGAGAATGGGGGGGGGGGGGGGGGGGGGGAGATTGCTTAATTGATCTCAGATTTCTATTGATCGAGCGATATCAGAAAATTTGTGGAAAAAATATTAGGCAAGTAAGCCGTCATACAAACTGAGAGTACACCGAGTTTTTTCGGCAAAATTATATTTCAAAACATACATGTACTACCCTCATAGTATCCACGAGTGCCATATAAATACTGAAAGCACGGCGGTCTACATAATTCGGTAACTGAACTGAGAGCTTAATCCACGACCATAAAGCCGAAAAACCATCAACAAAAAACTGTTATCGAAATTATATATTTATACGTACAGCTAGCTAGACCTATCAAAATGATTGAAGACAGTTTGAAAACAACACACACACAATAGAAAGCAAATTAGTTTTGGAAGAAAATTTAACAAGCGGTGACAAAACCGAAAATACTGAGCACAAACAGTAAAAAAAAATTGAAAAGATTCGAAACTAAAACATGACGCACACATCAAAAAACACGACGCACACAAAAAAATTTCGATCATCAACCGTCACAATATGACCCCACTAAGCCGATATGAAATGAGCTGATACTTTTTAGGCTGAAAGAAACAAAAATGACGTTTGAACAAATCGAATCGGAAAAATTACAACAAACACAAAAAGAAAGCCTTAATACAGAGGCGAAGCTGCGGCTACGCAAAAACGAGCAAGAAAGCAGCAAAGATTCGGATGCACAAAAACTTTTAAAAGTACAAAAACTTGAAATTTGCATGAAATAACTTAGAATGTTATAAACTAACGGCCACCAAACTAACTTTGCATGCAATTAATGCGATAATAAACTTAATTGCCAAATTATGCATTTGAAACAAATTCGCAAAATATAGAAATGAAAAACTTTTTAAAATAAATTTTAATTATCCTACTGTAGTATGAAACAAATAGCGTTTTCAGGTTCAATTGATGAATTAAAGACAATAGCAAAGCTGCGCTTTGCAAACACAAGCGAGTAAAATGCAAAGAAGAACTCAAACAGACAAAAGAAAGTGAAATAAGGAAAAAATTGAAGATACAACAATTTTTTTTTGAAATTAGGAGTATCACGTTAGCACGTCTATTCCACGACCTCTTCTAATTTTGATGACACTGGCCACCAAAAAAGCAGCTACAGTTTCTATCAAACTGCCAATGTTATGCAGCAAAATTCGAAGGAAAAAACTATTTAAATTTTCCGGATTTGAAAATTTGACCTGTTGATTAGGAAACTCACGTCCTCCATTTTCACCACGGACGCTTCGAAGTAAACTAGTGGTTTAGCTAAAGCTAGATCTAGATGTTCTAATAATTTTAATCATATATTGTACTGATCTGGAAAAGCGTTATTTTCAAAATTTTAAAGATTGGACTTTACGCTAAGCCCTAGTGATTATCTGTTTAAGTAGGGGATTAACCTCTCCTTTAAAGGAGAAAAATGCTATTCGCTCTTTCAATTGAACTATTTATTTCACATGTGGCTGTATTGTTTTCAGAAAAGAAGTGAAACAGTTTCCAAAAATCGATCAAAAATTCAAAAAATTGACTTTTCCTAAGCTCATATTTTTTCTAATAACGCATGGGAAAAGCCTCTGCTTTTCACGCCCTAATTTTTATATTGAAGATTTCCGCATCCTTATTTTTTAGCTTGAACCCTCAACATCAGAATTAGCTAGTAGTTTTCGAGCACAAGGACGAAACTTGAAAAAAAACGGCAAAAAAACGAAAAAAAGAACTTTTCCAATGCCCATATCAGTTTTTATAAATTTAAAAAAAAAACAGGTTACGCAGGGAAACTCTGAGTAACATGTCAGTTTTAAAAAACAAGAAATCTCAAAACCAGCACGTTAGTTTTTGAAAAAACAAAGAATAACTTCCCAACCGGCAACATTTCTAAAATTGTGAACGTTTTCTACGGCCATATTTGTTTCAAAACGCAGGACATAGCCGTTTGTGCAGACAAGATTCGCATAAAAAAAATTTTTTTTAGCAGGGTAGTTTTGAAAAAAGTCAAAAAGTTAAGCAAAATGTCAAAAATGAACTGGTTTGAGGACTATCTTTTTTCTAGCGAGTTTAGGGAAAAGCCTCTTGAGAAGGGGAGATTCCTACAATTTGTTCTTTTGACTGAAACCTTCATCGTACATTCGTGCATTCAAAATTTGAGAAAATGAAAAAAAAACTCAAAACAAATAGACCAAAAATCTCCCTACAGAAACTTTCGAAGGCCGTAGAACGTGAGGTAAAAGGAAAAGATACTAGCAAAATATGCAACCACATAGAAGAGCAGTCAGCCTATTTTTTCATTCGTACCTTTTTTTTGAAAATCAGTGCAGTAGTTTTTGAGAAAAATTAAAATTTCTGTGAAAAGTGCAAAAAAATTCCTAAAGCGTCGCAAAAAAAAACGAAAAACAACAAATATCATACATTTTCATAATATATAATTTTTTCAAACCGAACCTAACACTAGCCAAAAATAAAGCAGCAACATATACCATTAAAATAACTATGCTTAAATTAGCTTAAATATGATTAAATTGAAATATACCAAAATGCCACCAAATGAGCACTTTTATTTGCTAAGGTTAAAAAAATCTTCGTGATAATACACTACGCTGCCTTGTGTAAATAGCATCACCTGTGTAAACTTATAACTAATCAAATGTCAAAGCTCTATTATACTGCTAAAGCAGCCTACTGATTCAAAAGCCCCAAAAAACCAAGAAATTTTATTCGCGACTTAGGTTTGCATCGTACTATCACACTACACTCGTGTAAATAGGACGGATGTTGAAACTTTTACAGGCCAGCGTGTCTGTTGCAGTATTTCGAATAAAGAGGATCATGAGATGAATGAGTCCAGGAGATGCTACATGTGAACAAAGTTTTTCAAGGGAAAAATGTCAGTACCCGATTACAACGCCCTTGCTGATCGCAAGGGCAAAAGTAGGCATTTTTTGTCAAGACTGATAAACTCTCGGTCTCTTAAGTTAAACTTTTTAAATAAAAACAATTGACCTCACGACAGAACCAAATGGCCTTTGCAAAAACCATTTTATAATGATATCAAATCGTCATAAGCATTAGCAGATGTGCTAAGGAGGGGGTGGGGGTAGGAGTCAGGCGTTACGTCCATTTCTCCTCACATTCGCCTGATGATCTCCTTTGCAAGTGCAGTTAAAACAGCACTCAAGTAGCGCAAATGTTAAGAGGGGAGATTGGTTTGCTCGTAATAAAAAGTAGCGCAAAATTAAAAAGGTTATCTGGATATTCACCCCTGACTGCTGAGCTGACGGTCCACTTGATGTTTCTTGTCCTCGTTGGTGAGGATGGGCGGCTGTTCATCCAAATCGATGCCCCCTGATCCACCCATGCCCATACCCATGGCAGTGGAAAAGTTACCCTCCACCTGCTCCGCTATCATTTCATTCTCCAAATCCTTCTCACTCGGCTCCCGCTTCGGCAGCTGTAGCCATACACAAAATCAAACACCATCATTAAGCAAAAGAATAAAGGGCCGCTTCCCAAGCTAGACTAGAGGACCCAACATTATACTATAAAGAAATGCTTACTAAACTTGTCCATCAGATAACTCGAAAAAGGATATCATCACAATGAAACCAAAGTTCGTAGAAAAAATAAATCAGGCTGAAGTTCTTTGAACTTTTAATACTGTTTATTAATGGTATTTTTCGTTAACTTACCCCATTTAGAGAGAAAAAGAAAAATGGATCAATAGGAAAATTTTATTCCGCTAGAATTTCAAAATTACAGACCATTTTCACAACTAGAAGTCAATCACATTTTCCATTACCTTAACACTTTTACTATTCAATAGCGGAGTTTGCCTTTCATTAAACAAATAAAATGAAATGAACTTTGGAAAAATCCGCAAAAAATCAATTTTGAGGGTGATCGAAATTCAGATTTTTCCAGCAAAAAAAAAACAAAAAGATCATTACGACTTATTTAAGAGTCTTCACTAAAAACAACAATTCTTCAACAGTTTTGTTTCTGCAATTCACAGAGGATGTTTCAACTCAGGATGCCCGTTTCAATTATTCTTCCACATTCCCCAGACAGCCATTTTACTGAGCGTAGCTCTCTTTTGCGAGTCAAGGTGGTTTGCTATGCGTCTAGAATTTTCCCTTGATACCTCTAATGCAGCCAAATTGGTCAGAATGAGGTAGACCTGAAGCTAGAGATCAGGTGATAGCTCGGTCTCAGCCATTATAATTGCCATTGCAGGGGATCGAATACAATATCTGGCCATAATAAAAAGAACACACACCACTATGCTAAGGTCTAAGATTCGCCGAATTCTCAATTTTCGCGATATTTCTACTTTCGTTATCAAAGAGCGTAATTTGCTTTGCATCTAGCAAAAGAACAAAAAATAAATCAAAATTCAAACTGCCAAATTAAAAAAATTGCATTTTAAAAAATTTCTCATGAAAATAGACAATTTTTAGTGGTGTGTGTTCTTTTAAATAAAAAGAACACACACCACTATGCTAAGGTCTAAGATTCGCCGAATTCTCAATTTTCGCGATATTTCTACTTTCGTTATCAAAGAGCGTAATTTGCTTTGCATCTAGCAAAAGAACAAAAAATAAATCAAAATTCAAACTGCCAAACTAAAAAAAATGCATTTTAAAAAATTTCTCATGAAAATAGACAATTTTAGCGAGAAGAGCCAGTTGCTGTGCAACTAGCACAAAAAGTTCCGACCATTAACTTTTGCGTCGAATCTCTTTTAAGCGCGGATTGAGCAGATAAACATAAATTTATTACGTAAGGCTTTATTATGACATATCACCCCATTCTGATGATATTTGCAGACACTGATTTTGCAAAAATTGGGACACAACCGAATACAAAACACCTCCGTCTTCATTTTTATAAGGCTGGGAACAGTAGCTGCTTCAAATTGGAAAAAAAAACATATACAAAATCCTTCCCAGTGCTAGGTCCAATCAAACACAGTTATAAGGACGACAGCAATAACACTCAACAGAAAGATACGACAAATTTTAACACTATGGCGAAGCTTCGGTGTGCAAACACTAGCGAAAACACGACAAAAAGCAGCTCTATAAAGTGCAATAAGAAAAAGTAAAAATAAGCCTCGATTAGCAAAAATTCGGCTACGTCTGAGATTCGAACCTGCAACCTAGAGATTTAGTCTCACGCACTAACTAACCAGCCACGGAAGCTTAATAGCTCCAAACACAACTCAAAAATAAAGCAGAGAACAGATGCTATGCAATTTCCAATTCTAGAGTGAAATTTACAAAAGTGAACACTTTTATTGAACACTTTTATTTGTGAGCTAGGTTAGAAAAAAGAAGGTTCGTAATAATATAATACACTAAGCTGATCGCAAGTGTAAAACCACGGCAAAGCAGAGTCTCTCATCACTTGTGATAGATAAATATCACAAGCAGATTGATAATTTCGAATAAGCATAATGCAATAGTAAGAACGAAATTGAAATTATTCCAAGTCCATTACTCATTTCATTTTCTTTGTTGGAAACTGGCAATGTGAGTTTCATGGCATATTTACGAACAGCTTAATTAGTACATACTAAAAAAACTTTAGTCGCCCAACATAGTGTAGCTGTGAAAAAAGGCCTATTACGATTAGTTAAGAAAAATAAAAGCAAATACTTGATAAAAAAATGACCGTCAAAAAAATTTTCTGCAGACAAAAAGCCAATAAACCACGACGACACTGCTTTTGAAGAAAAAAGAGAGAAGACGCGGAGCTTCACAGAACTTGCAAAAAATCAAAATTCAAAGAACTTGCAAAAAATCAAAAAATCAAAAGAACAAAAAATAAATCAAAATTCAAACTGCCAAATTAAAAAAATGCATTTTAAAAAATTTCTCATGAAAATAGACAATTTTTAGTGGTGTGTGTTCTTTTAAATAAAAAGAACACACACCACTATGCTAAGGTCTAAGATTCGCCGAATTCTCAATTTTCGCGATATTTCTACTTTCGTTATCAAAGAGCGTAATTTGCTTTGCATCTAGCAAAAGAACAAAAAATAAATCAAAATTCAAACTGCCAAACTAAAAAAAATGCATTTTAAAAAATTTCTCATGAAAATAGACAATTTTAGCGAGAAGAGCCAGTTGCTGTGCAACTAGCACAAAAAGTTCCGACCATTAACTTTTGCGTCGAATCTCTTTTAAGCGCGGATTGAGCAGATAAACATAAATTTATTACGTAAGGCTTTATTATGACATATCACCCCATTCTGATGATATTTGCAGACACTGATTTTGCAAAAATTGGGACACAACCGAATACAAAACACCTCCGTCTTCATTTTTATAAGGCTGGGAACAGTAGCTGCTTCAAATTGGAAAAAAAAACATATACAAAATCCTTCCCAGTGCTAGGTCCAATCAAACACAGTTATAAGGACGACAGCAATAACACTCAACAGAAAGATACGACAAATTTTAACACTATGGCGAAGCTTCGGTGTGCAAACACTAGCGAAAACACGACAAAAAGCAGCTCTATAAAGTGCAATAAGAAAAAGTAAAAATAAGCCTCGATTAGCAAAAATTCGGCTACGTCTGAGATTCGAACCTGCAACCTAGAGATTTAGTCTCACGCACTAACTAACCAGCCACGGAAGCTTAATAGCTCCAAACACAACTCAAAAATAAAGCAGAGAACAGATGCTATGCAATTTCCAATTCTAGAGTGAAATTTACAAAAGTGAACACTTTTATTGAACACTTTTATTTGTGAGCTAGGTTAGAAAAAAGAAGGTTCGTAATAATATAATACACTAAGCTGATCGCAAGTGTAAAACCACGGCAAAGCAGAGTCTCTCATCACTTGTGATAGATAAATATCACAAGCAGATTGATAATTTCGAATAAGCATAATGCAATAGTAAGAACGAAATTGAAATTATTCCAAGTCCATTACTCATTTCATTTTCTTTGTTGGAAACTGGCAATGTGAGTTTCATGGCATATTTACGAACAGCTTAATTAGTACATACTAAAAAAACTTTAGTCGCCCAACATAGTGTAGCTGTGAAAAAAGGCCTATTACGATTAGTTAAGAAAAATAAAAGCAAATACTTGATAAAAAAATGACCGTCAAAAAAATTTTCTGCAGACAAAAAGCCAATAAACCACGACGACACTGCTTTTGAAGAAAAAAGAGAGAAGACGCGGAGCTTCACAGAACTTGCAAAAAATCACAAAAAACACGGAGTCAAGACGAAAGCAGATAAGACGAAATCCACTGAGTCGAATTCTTCAAAGTCAAAAAACGCCAATTAGGAAGTTTAATGTGTTTGTTTTGAAGGATGTTCAATTTGAGAAATATATGCCCAGAAAATTAATTTCTTGCAATCAATTAAAATTCAGAATTTCCCTAATAGTAACAAATTATCGGTAATAACGCCTCTAGCGAGATTAAAAAAGATTATTTGGTTGTAAATTAGTAGTCAAAACCAGGGACAGAGCCATGTGTTTCTCGAGGGGGAGAGACTGAATTAATTCCGGAGCTCTCCAAAAGCACAACCATCGCAACGAATCTATACAGACAAAATTTTCCGCGCCGCAGTTAAATGTTTGAAAAATCAGGTCAAAAAATACCGTTTCACCGTTTTTGTGTACTTTAGGTAAGGTTTTGATTAAGATAAACATCACCGCTTTTTCCGCGCGGACTCTCCTTACAAATTAAAAACAACTGGCGCCAAAGGTGCCCTTTGAAAAATGTTCGGCGCAATCGGCCAAAAATGGATGACGTAAAATAGTACTAAAGGGGGTTACTGAGGTGGTCGAATCCGTGAGTAGGCCACCTCCCTTAAATCCAACATTAGTTTAAACGCTTTGAACAAAAACAAGCATGCTCTGTGTAAGATTCTTTAGATGTCTACCGATTTCCAGTGTCTATCTGCTCAAACTAAGCATGAAAAATTCTCAAATTGAAAAAAAAAAACGAAAATTAAAAATAACGGGTTGCAACTTTCTGAGCTACCATTACCTTTTGAAAAATCAGTAGACAACTAGCGCAGAAATTTGCAACCAGTTATTTTTGATATCCAATTTTTCTAATTTGAGAATTTTTCATGCTTGATTTGCGCAGATAAACACAGAAATTCTATGAGAGAAATTTTTACAATTTTTACATTAAACAATTTACTTTAAAAAAATATCATCCCTAAAGACTGAAAAAGTTATTTTGGTTGTAAATTAGAAGTTAAAATGCTGTAAACATTAACATGCTTGATATGGTACCTCAAATCTAGCTGAGTGTGGAGATTTGGGACTGACGATTTGGTTCGCACTAAACGAGTTTGCCATTGCCAGTCCTCCACTGGACAAGGAGAGACCACCACTGCTCCCATTTACAATGTTCACATCCACTGTCAGATTATCGACATAATGGGTTCCCCCTCCACCTCCCGTTCCATTCATATGAGAAACCCTCCCACCTCTTTCTTCTCTTTCAGCTACCCCATTGTGCTGATACTGTTTGTCACCTTCATTTGTGGCCATTTGTACAATTAACTATCAATGGACACCTCGCGGTTGAAATAATAATACCGACAACTAAGTAGGTTTTATCGAAAACTCACACTGACCTGAAAGACGACAAAATTATGATTACAGGGAGAGGCTAATCAAATATATATAATTGAACTATGTGAAGAATTTATCTAGCTGTCAAAATTATGCCCATAATTGTAGCTTTAAACCTGTCATAACTGCCACTATAATATCAAGATGTATCAGAGGCACACTAGCCACTAAACTTTCTTCACAAACCCTCATTTTGCACAGAATACTCGAAGTTTCTTTAATTAAAATACGCAAACTAAAATGTTCAAACGACAAAAAAAATCTTGGTAACTTGAGTTCTATGATTCTAAGCCGACACCCGTTGAGTCCAAAAAATTGTTTACATAAAAGCATTTAATAAATATGAAATTACCCCACCAAATGACTGATACGCATATTAAACTTGTTTCGCTCAACCACCGACGCAATATGATGCCACTTAGCCGATTAGGTATAAACCGATAAACTTTTACTCCGATTTAAAAAAAAAAACGAAAAAAAAAAAACGTAAATTATACCGACCGGAGCTGGTAATATTGAAACCAACATAAAAACAAGTCTTGAATAGAACGGGTGTTTTAAATGCATAAATGCTCAAAATATTTCTGTTGATTGACGCAGATTTGAGAAAATGATTCAGTTATTTTGTTGGACAAGTTGTAACAAGAAAGAGTTGTATTAAGAAATTAATAAGGCCTGCTACTCGCGAGCATAATAAAAGCATGCGTAAAAACTCCGCGCAAATAAACCGACGCACCTAAAAAACAAAACATTTACTTTTTTAAAAGTTTTACTTAAGTTTTCAAAAATTAAACCAAAATTCCACAAAAAAAAATCCAACTCAACTAACTCCACTAATGGTACTTCTGAAATGGCATTCAGAATTATAGAAGAAAACTGAACCTTCAAAAAGAATTCGAGTCACGCAAGGGTAACTAAGCCGACAAAAATTGAAAGACTGACAATAGTCCGAAAACGCACAAAATTTCGAACCACAAGCCTCGCTCGTCTCTAGCAGGTGCGCTGGGTATCTCTCTCATTTTGAATTTACAAGGAAGCAAGTTGAACTACGTGTATCTTTCACGTGCAAAATCTTCGTTAACGAGATAACGCTCTCTTCGTTAACGAGCTTTTCGAAAAACTGGAACCACAAGCAGTATTTACGACAAAAGCATTGACTTCCATTCCTTGTCAACTTTTGAGCAAAATATAGCCAGATAATTCTCGTAGCTAGCAGAAAAAATACATAAGATTGAGTATCCTCCAATAATTTGTGCTCGAGTTTTATGGAAACTGCACGACTCTTCAGCGTAATTCAATTTCAGAATTTTCATGATTGGCACATGCTTGGTTCAAGTGACCGTATCAGTTCGAATTTTGTATTCCGCTGTGATTTCTGAAAAATCAATCGATTTTCGAAACCAACATCAAGCTCTAGATTTCTGGTCTTTTTCATTTTGTTATTATTAGCGTAATTCGCCTTCCCTTCAAGAAATCAATTAGAAATATGAGCTTTGAAGAATGGCAAACAAACAAAACAGTCTGAAAAGACGCAATGAAAGCAAAGAAACAGAAAAGAAAAACAAATGGCCTTGAAGCCTTTAATTTCGAGAACAATTTAACAGGAAAAATCAAATTTGAGCGTGAACAAAATCTCTACTTTTCCCGAAAAAGAACATAGCCAACTGACAGTTCGAAAACACGGCCAATCAAAAATTGGAAAAGAGTAATGAACGCAAGTAAACACAAGAAAAAGACTGATTTTGTTGATGAAATCTCAACTTTCATAATTCACAGAAATTAATTTCCATTTTCGAAATTAGAAGTCGATCACGTTTTTCCAAAAGACGGGCAAAACTTCAAAAACTGGAAATTTTCTACAGCCATATTTTTTTTCAAAACGAAGGCCACAGCTGTTTGCGCAGGTAAGATTCGCAAAACTGATTTTTTTTGTTAAACTCTCAATCTCAGATTTGCCAGGGTAGTTTTTGAGAAAAGTCAAAGTTTTAAAACTTGACCGAGCCATATCTTTTTTTTCTACCAAATTTTGCGCATAGTCACTTGAGAAGGGGAGATACCAATTAATTGTTCTTTGATTGCAACCTTCATCTCAGATTTGTGCATTTAAAACTTGAGAAATGAAAAAAAAATTCAAAACAGCCAATCGAAGATTGGAAAAGAGTAATAAATGCAAGTAAACAAAAAAAAAACAACTTTCTTGAAAAAATCTCATCTTTCACATTCAACAGAAAAAAATAGATCCCCTTTAAGCTCTTTGAATTTCTAGAACGATTTGAGATGGGCGCTTTTTTGATAACATGAACCCAACTAGAGAAAATTGGATCAATAGGCAAAGTTTTTATTCCGCAGGAAATTTAAAAATTAAATTCAACTTTCGGAACTAGAAATTGTTCACGTTTTTTCGCGCCATTTCCACGTTCGTATTTGAAGAGTGCTATTTACGTCACTTTCAGCAGATGAATTTCAATTGAACTCAAAAAGTGAATATATAAACTAGAAATCGATCACGTTTTTCTTGAACTTTAAACTTTTACTGTTTAATAGTAGAGTTTACCTTTCTTTTAAGCATTGCAAATCACTGAAATTGAAAAGAAATCACAAGTCAAACCGCGAAAAACCAAAACTGAGCGTGAAAAAATTTTAAGATTGTTTCCTGAAAAAAACAGCAAATCAACAAGACCCATATAAGTCTTCACTACGTTCATTCCTCTTAATACGTTTAACGACTCTTAAAAACTACAAGCAGAGTATTAAAATAAGAAAATCTTCGTTGCTTAGCGCCCAATTCTCCAGAGAAAAGTATTCAATTTTGCGATCTAGTTGCCCTGGAAAAAATCGGAAACTAAGCTGACACAACTTAAGCCGGGAGAAACGAGGTCGTAAAGTCGCAGGAAAAAAAATTAAAATTAGAATTAAATTTTTTGTCTACCGCAAAAGAACTATTAAAGGATCCACAGAAGAAATAAATAACAGACTGTTGAACAGAAATATCCGGACTCACGCGTACAGCTAATATGACGCCACGTGCTGAAACCTGTGAACAAGTATATACAGAAGATGTCTAGTGTCCGATTACAACAAACTTAATAGTGTAATTAGGACGGATTCTTTATACAGATCCGAAGCAGAGCTTCGCACGATTTGCGATACAACAGAATCATTTTAAAGCATAAGTCGAAAAAATTGAAACATGTTGAGAAAAGTAGGTGAACCAAAATTTTCGAATGTCTCGACGAAGGACACATATGGCCCAGCTACAGCTGAAGGTACGTGTTTGATATTTTTTGTTTTTTCAAAGTGATCCTGGACGAAATGCTTAATTTCAAATATTGGATTTTGCCAAAAATCTAAGTTGTTTCTCTACTAAATAAATGAGAAGAGTTGATATCTTTGAGATTTTGGAATTTTCTCAGAGATACAAATTTTCTCTTACAAAAAAACTAAGGAGCAACCGCATCAGTAGCAAAATTCGCCCAACCGCTTTTTTCGATCGAATTTTTCCTCTCAGATTTGTTAGGGTAGTTTTTAGGACAATTCAAAAAAATCTTAAAAACGGTCGAAGTTCAAATACTCAAATTTCCGAATTCCGCAAACTTTTTCTGCGAAAATCAGGCCGTGACCGGTAAAAAAGAGGATATTCTCGAAATCTGGTGCCACGATTGAACACTTAACCTGAGAATTTCTCAAAAATCAATTTCTCAAAGAGTAGTCAAAAATCAAATTTCAAAAAAACGGTCGAAAGTTCGAAAATTTTATTGGTTTGAAGGCCATAACTTTTTTTAAAAACTGGGCGTAGTAAATTTTAAAGGTAAGCTGAATCGATTAAACCTATGATATCAGATTTGACAGGATAGTTAACGAGAAAAGTAAAAAAAAATTCAACAAATCAGAAATTTGGCATCTCCGAGAATCATAGCTTTTTGTTTAAGAAAGTGGGCGTAATCATTGATCCAGAAGCAATTCTCCCGTACTGTAACTTCGTTCGAGAGCCCACCTTTTGACCGTTTTTTGAAATTTTTTTGATTTATGATTCGACTCGAAAATTACCGTGGAATTTCTCAGGTTAATTTTCAAGAAATGTAAAAATTTTTCAAAACCTGGTCAAAAATCAAAACTTTTGTCCGAGCCATAAATTTCCAACAACCAATTTTTGGGATAGAACTCAAAATCTCAGATATGCAAGTATAGTTTTAAGTAAAATTCTTTTAAAATTTAGAAAAAAACTCAAAAAAATGACTTTTCCGTGCATGATAATTTTTGTGTTCAAGTATAAGAGGCCGCTAAAAAAGCGAGGTTCTCATTCCCCGTTATCTCCATTGAACCCACAACCTTAGATTTGGGAGGTTAGTTTCCGAGAAATGAGAAAAAATTGTCAAAAAAAATTGTCAAAAAAAAAATCAAAAACTTGAATATTCCCAGAGCCATAATTCAATGTCAAAAAAACTTGGTCTGAGCCAATTACTGAGGGAAGCTCTTCAAATCAATTTTATTCAACTAAATGAAAATCTCAGATTAACAAGCTTTATTTTTGAGAACTGAAAAAAACATCAAACATATCGGTAAAATATTCCCTCACAGGCTTTTCGAAGGCTGTAGACAAAAGGGTAGCACGAAAAGATACTAGGTGAGTATGCAGGCACACAAGAACGTAGGCAATCTTTCTACTGATAACCTTATTTGAAAATCGCTAGAAAAAATTTTTAATAGAAAAAATTTTTTTTTTAAAAGTGATAAAATTTTCCAAAGCGTCTCAAACAAAATAAAATGAAAAAACCCAATATCATACAATTTCTTATTACCTGATTTTATCAAATTGGAATTCTAGAAAACACGTTAAACAAAAAACTTCATATTCAAATTAGCAGCTGATTAAAACTTATGAAGCGGAAACATGTCCGACAATCTTTGAGCAGACACCAGTTGAGCCAAAACAAACTGATTCAGTGAAAATTTTTTAAAAAATCATGTCCCTCTGAAACTACCCTGTAGTAACAAGTATTCACCCAGTAAACAGTATTTAAAACAGAATTTTCATG